GGTCATGAATGAGTTTGATGACAGATTTGGTGACGAGGAGATTCGCGTCATAACTATATTATGACCGCTATGAGTAGGTAGGTATCTAAATATCTACCTGTCTATAGTATAGGTATGCTGAGTATAACGAGTGGTTTAAGTGTTTAGTTACTGTTTACTGTAGACCTTCATTTAGGGAAGATAAATTAGGTTTTACGTTGGTCGTAGGTCGTATTAGACAATATGATTGATGTTTATCATAGGTTGTACTCTTCTGAAATGTCTAACTGTAACGATGTTATCAACTGTAGGTACTTTGAATTAAAAACTATTAATTAAGTAATCCATCGTCCGTAATTCCGATGTTGTAATGGAATTTAATTAAGTTGTCATAAATATTTATCTTGTAATCCAACTCATTTAACGTGGCAATGATCCTAATACCACAATAAACATAAAAATACTCTTAAAAAATGTAAGAAATGCAATTGTCTTATCGACTACGACATCTGTCACACGCCCAGTGTTGCAAACGAGGCGATCATTTTACCGAGTAGGGAAAGGATCTAACGATTACCAAGATACTGCGATATTGTATTACATTGCACAAACAAATTTAAGAGGTTCTCCTTTCATAATAAGAGACGTTGAGTAAAGCCCATTTAAGGAATTGTGTAGTACAGTACAGACTACATATATAATTTACGCTCCACTTAAAGCGTTGGACATGAAGCAATTTAAACTTATTTATTCAGTATATTTGAGTCATTTTTTACTGCTTAAGGTGTTTAGGGTTTGACTGGTTGATTATAGTTAGGTATAGAATAAAAGAGGATAAGAATTACAGTAAAACCCAATCTAGGTACCTATATTAGGTAGGTACTAGAGACTGTAAAAGTACCAGTGTCCAGTGTAGGTAATCAGGTATTGATTAATTACTCAGGCAGGTAACTAGACAAAATATTATGCCCAAATAGACGTGTACCTGAGCTACATACAACGGCAGCTTAGATAAGTACCTACAAAAACAAACGAGCTAAAATTATTTCATCACATCAGTTGGCAAAGATGACGTGATTTGCTTAGATACTCATTCAATGATATTGTGTGGTACATGTATATGTATAGTATAGTAACGTACTTACATAGACAGTTTCACTGATGACAAACCTTAGTGTACCTACTATAAAATGGCCACAGTTTCATTTTCAATTGCAAGTAGGATGCAGAAATAAACCTTTCGCAGCATCGCAGCACCTATAGTAGATATGTACCTAGAAGGACTATATTGATCACGCTTTTAGGTATAGGTCCCAGATTCTTATAGTTCATCGGATTTAACCATAATCAGTCCCAGTCAATGTAACCTACCTGATGAAAGTGAATAATTATAGTTTGTTGAAAAGATAAGACAGCATCGTAACACATTTACCATACGAATAGAAGAAAAACATAAAACATTACGCCTTTAATTCTCTGAAGGACAAGGCAGACGCAGAGGTAGAGATAAACCTATTTTAATCTAACTGTATGCTTACTTTTTTCACCAGTTATTGTTAAGAGTCCCATGCATTAGGAGATGATCCTATTGTCTTAAACTTACATATCGGAATCTCTTTTAGTTTCTATGCCTTATTGAATGAGAACCCTCGCTCGCACTTGTGGTTACTGCACTCGATCAACGAAGAAATTAAAACGCTAAGTAAATCGGGCACGAAAAAGATGCTTGTTACAAAACATGATGCTAAGTATTTAACCAGTCTAGTGCATATAGAAACCTGCTCGGATTAGTTACACATTTTCTCACTGTTTTATTCCATTGTGATACAATGATTGTCAAGAGTGCACCAGTTTAAGTAATTGTACCTATGTGACGCAAGTCATTGCATGCAACACATGAAACCTCTATCTGAATTCTTAGGTTAGTACTAAAATGTGAACAAATCTGTTGGCAAGTACATATTATACATATAGCATTAATGTATGTTTTGGGAAGCCCATATATGTAGCTAACTATGATTAGTAGACTAACCTCTCTGGTGAGAATGTGAGCGTAGTGAACGAAGGTCGGAAATGAATATGCCATCTGTTATGTATTTTAACATGAACGAAAAATACGCAACCAGTCACGAATGACCATGCATTTTGTTGATAGGAAACTTCTGAATAAAATCACGATCGAAGATTATTAAGTTTACGTAACCGTAATAGGTATTATGTTATGATCTCTAGCATTGAATCTTACCAAGCCATCTAACTGTCAAGGGTCCACCATTCACCAAAACTAAGTATTCAGTAAATGTATTGGTATTTATAAAAGCTTTTTCTTCTTAAAAAAATATATATATATTTATATATATATATATATCCACCAAGTCTATTAAGATCTCTGTGTTGTGGGTGGGTTTACAAATATGTATACCACAAACAAAACATGAAAAACAATCTGTCGCATGTGGATGTGGAATCACATAGATTTGGTGTTCCGTGGTGCCATACGAAAATCGAACCCACAACTTGTTGCACAGTAGTCAACTGCCCACCCGTGAAATTGGTATCACATTTGATGCTCGTATTTATTCCATCTGGGTTAGGTAGTGTACTGAGGTAGTACGTGCCTATCATGGCTTATTATATTCTAGCACACTCACCTACGTGATAATATTAATTGTTCAATGATACATGGTTTAAAATATTATTTAATTACGCATAAACTCCCCAATGGGGTAGACAGACCTAAGGCAAGGTAAATAGGCCTTCAGTGTCTTCATTATTCCCCTACATTTACAATCACAGTTTACTCAAAGACGAATTTACTTACAAGTTGACATGCGCAGGTCAATAAGTGTTTATGAATGTAGTATTTAATGTGCTGTAATAATTTTGAAAAAGACAATAAAGTAGGTATCTAATTATTTTTATTGTATTTTAACTCGTCGAGTACCGGTTTTATAGACACAATTAAAGAACAATAGGTCGCGGTCGCGGTTTAAATAACATATGTAGATAGATTTTTTTATGGAATAGGAGACAAACGAGCAGTCGGATCACCTGATGGTAAGCGATCAGCGCCGCCCATGGACACCCGCAACACCAGAGGAGTCACATGTGTGACTCCTCTGGTGTTGCGGGTGTGACTCCTCTCCGACAACGCACATACGTTGCCGGCCTTTTAAAAAGGAATACGCTCTTTTCTTGAAGGTTTGAAGGTCGTATCGGTTCGGAAATACCGCCGACGACAGATCATTCCACAGTTTTGCTGTGCGAGACATAAAGCATCGTGAGAAGCGCACAGTTGTGGCCTGCCAACCATCTATATGGTGGGGATGCATATGCTGATATGATTTCAAAATATTACAAAAGGTAGGTTTTTTTGAGGGGGATAATCATCCAATAAGTTCTCCCGCCTTGGGTGAAGCGAGAGGGCGTGTCAGACTCTTAGTGACCAAAAAACTACCCCGTTCCTACTTCTGCTCTTCCAGCCGGAGTCCCGGCAACCCGGTAAGCCCTTCACGGATCTGTATCAGCACCAGCCCTGCTCCATTTGTGGTGGTCTGATGGCTCTTTTAAACGCGATGCGCCGTACGCCCGGGTCTGCTAGGGCGGCAAGTTACCCGTGCTCGCCGTCTGTAGGCCGGTAGGCAGTGCTTACGGTGGCCGGGGATCGACTCGCGACCCCCGAGACCCAGAGTGTCCATCGTGACATTCCAGTCCCACTCGCTCTGTACCATGGTCTGAACCAGATGCGGACGCGAAAGGTCGCCATCGCCGATAACATTCTTGAGGGCACGGCGGTGCTCAGCACACGCAGGGCACACCGCCACCGTATGTTCCACCGTGTCTTCCGGGCGGTCCTCGCAGTGATGACGCCCGGGCGTTCCCTCCCGTCCAGTCAGAAACAGGAAACGTCTGTGTCCGGTAAGCACCTGCGTCAGGCGGCAGGTAAGAACGCCGTAGCGTCTCTTAAGCCGCTACTCAAAGAACTTACCGCTGCAATGATAGCGAGCCCAGCCATTGGTTGCAACTTGCGACAATCGTTGCTGCCATTCCGCCATGAGATCTCTCTGGAGCTCGTCACGCACTAATTTGACGCGGTAGCGTAGTTTTGACGAGGAAGGTATTTTTTTAAGGGGGGAAAATCATCGAATGACTGCTAAATGTAATCAAAAGTTAACTTTTATGACATGTTATCCATAACATATGAACTAAGACAGAGTTACATCATGATCATCGATGATTACGTCCGGATGAGACCCGACCGCGCAAAAACAAAGTGCAAATAGTTCCACTTCCGTAAAGAATGTGTTTGCCGTATTCTCGTACTATTTGCCATATGTGTGATGTCTTCGCTTCCGAGCATTCAGATTATCGATCATATCAGCGACAGATTTCCCAGATTTTAAACAATAGGTAATCTTATAAATTAGGTGATATATAAATCGAATTATGTATATAGTGTGCGCTTTATAAGCACGTTCACTACTGTCAGTTATTACAGTAGGTACTCCGCTATAAAGCCTAGGCTAGAATGAACCTGGCTACCGTGTATTTAGATGAATGCGTTCTTTCTGAGAAATTCTATAACTAGCTTCGGACGGCCAAATTGAGGGCACAGAGTATCATCTACTCGCTTATACCGTCATCTGATTAAAGAGAGCATAGGGACGATTAGTTATATCCCAGACAGAATATTAGTGTTAAAGAATTAACGAGACTGATGTGCAGTAAAACCACTGAATTACATTTTCCGTGTTTACTACGACCGGCACATTACGATTGTACATTTCCAAAAAGGGCGGCATCATAATACTATACTACTATCTGTATCACGGTACTATCTGGTGTTATAATGTATATTCATGTGTAGGTCTAGATACCTACTATAACAAGCTTAAATGTAATAAATAATTAAAATAATTATAGTTCTTTTGCTGACGAAGTAAATACAAGATTAAAAACAAATTGACATCATTTATTCTATAATTGCTAAAATACACACTAATTCTACAGCTACTAACATTTTATTTTCTCTTCTTCCTATCGGCGCGGCTGCCACCCATGTCCTGAAGTTGCTGTTTAAGTTCAATGAGTTGATTGTCAGGCACATATCGTATCTCTTCGTGCGCAATCTCGTGCTCGTGCACGCGCAGTGTGCAGCCTTCAGGTAATAAAGCACGAGCTACACGCAGCAATGTGCCCAGAGCCCAGGCCGGTACATCAGTGACCTTAAAAAAATTGTTCCAACATTATGGAGCTCATTATTCTATTTTAAATTCAAATTCGTTTATTGTTGTACATATTATTTGTGTATTTTTTAATATTAATCGTTACCTGTACATTCCTCTCGTAGATATTAAGATTATACTCTGCATCAACAGCTGTGCCACCCGGTTTAAATCTTTGTACTTTAATTTTCTGTGCAGGTGTTGCCCAGCTAAAAAAAGCAAAACCAATCAAATAACATAATATGTAATTAAGTTTGCATAATATATTGCTTAAATATTTATTTAATATTGATTGTATGGTATTTATTGTTGTTCTTTTTTGTATAATTTATTTTAGTATAGATTAATTCTTGTATTTTGACTTTAAAAAAGAAGGCAGTTCTCAGTTTGACCTGAATGTATGTTTGTGATTGGGTGAACCAAATTCGATGCGGTTTTCAGAAAACTGTTTTTTACCCTTAGGAGAAGGGTTTAGTTTATTAACTGACTTAAAAAAAGAGGTTGTTGAAGAGTTGGCTTTTTTGAACATAAATAATTATTTCATTTATTAAATAATGTTATTCATTATACTAACAAAATGAATATTGGAGGTAATTTTAATTAAATTTTAGTATCAAATTATTGTATTAGAACAGATTTTAATTGTCAGTAAAGTTTACCATTCATCAACTTGAATCCCCATAACCTCAGCATATTTATGGAGTTGACTTTGATAGGCTTCCAATAGGGCAAAGTCATAACCCTTCAACTGCAGGTTGAGGCAATCATATACTGGTTCATCAGGCTCCATGCTCTAAAATAGCAATACAAATGCTTATTTCTCAAAAGATTAACCAATTGGGGCAGTTTAGAATAGACACGGCAAGTGTGTGTATACATGTGTATGTATATATGATAATACATACACACACATGGATATGATCATATCCATAAATTTATGTAAATAAGTATGTAAGGTAAGGATCTTACTAGGTGGCGTTTTGAGGTTTCTGCTTACAAGGTGTGTTTAAAACAACCTTGTAGGGATTCATTCAGAGAAATTACAATTAAATACTAAATATTATTCAGAAATATGTGACTATATAGTCAAGTTTAATACATGAAAGTTTACAAAAAATATTTTTAAAGGTAAAGTGACGCCTTTGCCCAACGGTGAATGTCTTCTGGCTGATGACTGTAAAAACATGCATTTTAACTTACTATTAAATAATCAGGTTCATATAAATCACTCTTAAATCTTCTCTGTTGACTTTGAACCACTGGCATGCTGAGTGTACGCATGGCTATAGGTTTCAAAGATTGCTGAAGTTTAAGCTGTAATAATTTGTTGTTTCATTAGTTTTCTAAGTAAAATTGCTTACTTCTGGATTATCAATGTCTTACTTACAATGTTCATTATTTTTCTACAAAACATTTTTGTTGTGGAATCTAAAGACCCAGAGATTAGAAAAAATATATAAATATGAATGGAACGAGAGGTTATATCATTAGACGATATTTCGTATAATAATACATGTGTGATTTTTTACTGAAACCGGAATGGTAGTTTTGTAAACTGCAATGGTTGTAATTTAAATACAGTCCAAAGTTTTGACCTTTTGGCTTATGTTATAAAATGTAATAATAGTAATTAATTACAAATTAGACACACTGACATCTGACATCATTAGTTCCTATTTGGCATTGACAGATATGACTGATGGATGACATTTGGGCAATCTTGTGTTGTTAGCTGCTAAAAATTACTCTTCGAATTCAGATGAAAATAATTAAAGTTGGCCATACACTGTCCAGCAACGGCTACAGTTAAATGTAAGTATAGTAGTAGAAGAAATTATTGTGCGTATATCAAATTGTGTATATGCACCACGTAGTTAGATAATATTAATCATTAACACAACGTATATGACGGAATAACGAAGGGATTTACCGATCCCTTCAGCCGTTTTGACGTGACGTGAAACAAAAATACACAAAATCTCGCTCACAAACATTCACATTTGTATAATAATAAGAGTATATAATTTATACCAATAGATTAATAAATCTCTGATGATGATGCATCAAAGCTTCATGCAAGCCATAGTAAATGATATTTTCGATGAAACTGGCAGTTTAAAATATCCACATGACATGATTCATGCTTTAAAAAAAACTCAAAATGTCAAAAATTTGTCTATGTTTTGCTTTACCTTCGTGCATGAAGACATCAATGAAATGGAAAGAATGGTAAAGAAAATTATAAATTAGGTGTTCTGTATTTACGATATTTTATTAGTGAATAACTTAATGGTGAATCGTTTATGGTTTTGTACCTTTTGAAGCAATTTCCCAGAAGAAATGGCGTCAACAGGCAGTACACCTTTTCCGAAATGGCAACTTGCAATTCTTCTTGGCGCACCTCTTGCCATCGGTTTAGGTTACCTTTATCTCAGAAAGAGATTGGAAGATCCCGAAAAGAAAAAAGTATCTGAATTAAAAGCTAAAACTACCATTTCATTGGATAATGAAGAAAATAACGCAAAAGTCTCTGAGAGCGCTATCGACCGCGCCATGAAACTGAAAGGTGCCGGAAACCGGGCTTTCCATGCAGGAGAATATGATAAAGCTATAGCTTTGTACAACGAAGCCATTGAAGCATGCCCCCCTGACCGTCCTGTGGACCTTGCCACCTTTTATCAGAATCGGTCTGCATGCTATGAAAAACGCGAAATGTGGGAGCAAGTCAAGGAAGACTGTACTTTTGCCCTGAAACTTAACGAGAAGTATGTTAAAGCTTTCTTGAGACGTTCTCGTGCTGCCGAAAAGAGTGGTGATCTTGTCCTAGCCCTTGAAGATGTTACTTCAGCCTGCATCCTTGAGAGGTTCCAAGTACAAAGTTCTCTGGTTAATGCTGATAGGATCTTGAAAGCTTTGGGTAGGCAGCACGCTCGCGAAGCGTTGGCTAAACGTCGCCCAGTTATGCCATCAAAGCATTTCATTAAAACTTATTTCTCTGCTTTCTCCGAGGATCCTATTACGAAAATACAACTTGATGATAAAACTGTTGGGGGCTTTGCTAGAGCAAAGCAAGCTCTAGATGCTCAAGATTATGATTCCATTGTAGATGCATGCACTGAAGAAATCAAAGACGCTGATGGGAAATACAAAAATGAAGCACTATTGTTGCGTTCAACCTTCTATTTACTATTAGGAAGGCATGATGAGGCCCAGGCAGATCTTGCAAAAGTAATTGACAGTGATGCTTCTACCAAGGTTAAGGTAAATGCTTTGATCAAGCGTGCTTCATTATTTACTCAATTGGAAAATACTGAACGTTGTCTAGAGGACTTTGCAAGGGCTGCCCAGCTGGATCCTAACAACTCTGATATCTACCACCACCGTGGACAAGTGTACTTGCTTCTGGAGCGTATGGATGAAGCTACTGCTGAATTTGCAAAGGCTGTTGAGTTGAACCCTGACTTTTCAATTGCTTACATACAGAAGTGCTATGCTGATTACAGACATGCACAAATCAACAAAAATGTTGGTGCTCTGACACAAGTGCGTGCTGACTTTGAAAGGGCATTGGAAAAATTCCCTCGGTGTGCTGAAGCATATATTCTGTTTGCTCAAGTGTTGTCAGATCAGCAGGAGTGGGGCCGTGCTGAAGCATTGTTTGATGCTGCACTCTCAGTAGATCCCAACAATGCTACTTTGTATGTACACAAGGGGCTGGTGCAGCTCCAGAAGAGCACAGATTTTGATAAGGCTGTTAAGTTGATTAACAAAGCCATTGAGATGGATGACAAATGTGACTTTGCATATGAGACACTTGGTACAATTGAAGTACAGAGGTGAGTTAAATACAAACTATTTTTCTTCCAGTTTACAAAGACTATAATTATTTTGTTAATATAACTTTTGACTATAATTATTTTGTTAATATAACTTTTGTACACTGATTCATTCTCTGCAAAAATAATATATCTACTATTGCTTAACTATTGACATGCTTTACTGGTGTATTATCTATCTGCTGTTATCACTGAGCTGGTTTATCATTCATGGCTGTAAATATTTAAAATGATAAGAAATACTAGATTACATTGTCTTTAAAGAAAAAAAATGTTATGTAAGATACAATAATCCTGCAACTGTTTCATTTGTCTTTTGTATTTATTTATTAGTGACTTCATCATAATCAACACCCTGTTCCTTTTAACTACTGGACTTAACCTCTTTAATTAATTATTACTATAGTTTTAATAGTAATTACTGACCAAGGTTAAGAGATCAGACTCATCATATCATAATGTCATATTTGTATATTACATGTTTAAAATAATCATATTATTCACAAAAATACCAAATTAATTGTTTGCATTGTAATTAAGGTTCAAACCTCATTAAGAGGCAAATTCCTTGTTTAATGTGTGCAACACTACACAGTCCATCTCTATTCAAAGTAACCACAGAGAAAATTTTGTACAACATCCCACCTTTTAATCCCTGTATGCCTGTCTAAGGTAGCCAGCGGTACATTATAATGAAATGTAAATTAAATTGACATCTACTTGATCCATATTTTGTTGTGGTATATTTATACTATTTACTTTACTTAAATGTTTTTATTTTTTTGTTGGCTTTTTCAATTATAAACATATTTATTCTCTTTACAGAGGAAACCTGAGACGGTCCTTAGAATCATTTGAAAAGGCTATATCATTAGCCAAAACTGAACTAGAGATGACACATTTGTTCTCTCTGAAAGATGCTGCAGCAGCACAACTGAAGGTATCTGAGCGCTGGGGACTGGACTGGACTGTCAGTTAGACTTGTGCCACATAGCTTGCCTCATACTCAACGAGAATAAAACCTGGCCGTCCAAGATTAGCCAGAGAGCTCAGTATATTATTAATAAATTATTCTCTCTGTATGTATCCAACTATCTCTTTTCGTCATTGCAAAAAAAAATATTATTTGTGGAAGCTTAAGGAAGAGTGCTTGAGATACTATTATTTCAATGTGTCATATCACTTGTTAGATGTTATCAAAGAAATGTGCCAGATGGTATTCTCGTTGTGGACTACTGGTACCTAGCCGCCGCGGACTCGCATCGCAACGATAGTTAGTATGGTGTTAATGTTCTAGCAAGCTTTTAATGAAGCTTTTAATTTCCCAAACTATTGTACGAATTAGGTGCACCCAATGCATTTGTAAAAATGTCAGTTTCCACAATGTTCTTTCTTGGAGTCAGTAGCTAAACAAAACTATAACTATTTAACAGTGTTTCCATAATATATCACAAAAGATTAACATAGCATATACATGTAGTTAAAAGATTTGTAAATACTTATTAAATTCTATTAAAACTGCCTTTGCAATGTAGATGTATATTGATTTATTGGCATTTATTAGAAATTCTGATCCTAATGTCAAACAAAAATTATGTAAGTTGTATGCCTGCTTCATATTGAAGTGGTGACCTAATCGTTTCTCAAGAAAACCTTTAGTTTAACTGATTATATATTTCTGCATTTAATATGAACAAATGAATAACTAAATTGTTATGTAACTTGATATTAATAAATCCAACAAAATTTATTAATGAAAATGAATAAAATCCTGTCATTTAATTGTAATTGTATTGTTAGTGTAATGCATCTAGAAGTGAATTATTATTGTTGAGACTGAGCGGGAAAGTTACGTAAGTCATGTTCTTTTTCATAAGTTTGTAAACTTATCGTCTTTACATTGTGATATATTATTGTTTTTTTTTATTTGCATTTATAGCCACTGGTATGGATTGTATATTGAGTTTTAAATTTATATAATACCTGTAGTGTTTTTTAAAACATGTACGAATTGTCGCTCAGTCGCTCCATTATAACATGAATAAAATTTTAATGTTTCAATATTGTCTTAGTTAACTTTACTTAATATATTTACGGGGACTCGCTCGATTTGAATTACTTATTCATAATTAAAATGCATGCATGCATACTATACAAGGTGACGACATCATTTTGTTTTGTTTGTTACAAAAAGAAGACAAATTAAGAAATGTTGGCTGTCTGAGTTGCCTGACGTGGTACGCATTTATTTGGGTCCAAAAAAGATTCCGAGTCAGAAACACTTATGGGTCGTAAAAACGTAGGTACTAAACTAATTTTGTTTAATTTTGCTTATTTACGTATTTGGGAGTGCGCCCTGAGTTTGCGGCGGTGTTTGCGTGCTGGGTGCGTTCATTACATTTATTCGCAGTGCAGCGTAGCAAAAGTATCTTACTTTTCATCTGAAACGTACATTAGATCATTGAAATACAAGGTGTCAAGGTGAAGACTGTGGCCCATTTCCATTAAAAGAAAAAAAAATCAAGAAATTATTTTTAGTAACTGTTTAATGGTTTTTAGAAACTGTAATTATTCTTTTAAGCTTATTCATGTTTTTGGGATCATCACGAGTCTCGCTTTACACTCGTATGACAAGTGTGAACTCAACCGCCTAGAAATCTGCTGTTTTCATAGGCAATAGATGATGTTTTGGATGCACCCTTAAATTTTCAGTTAGAATGTGAATTTAGAATTGTAGGTCGCTGAGATGGTTCTACAAGAGTTGTTACCTCACCGATAGTGGATAGTTATCAATTTATGGAAACTACGAAATACATTATTAAAAATTAATTACAATTAGTTTTACTTAAAATTTTATTGCAATGTCACTATTCACTGCTACCCAGCTGCGGCCTAAAAATATCTACATAGCGTGAGTCAGAATCTTGCATCAATATCGAAATAGACCGGCTTTAAGCGTCCTGCATCCGTAGCCAGATTGCATTGGGCAATCTAATCACGTCCAATAAGTTCGGCCCTCTGCCCTTTCAGACCGATTAAAGTGAATACTCCTTGGTCAAACTGGCAGTAATGGATTTTGTGGTAGAATAAAATCGATGAAATTGGGCAATGTTCGGTTCATTCCCATTTTCCTCCATTTAGGGTAAGACTTGTGGGGAATTTCGTATTTTAATAAACGGAATTAGACATACTAATTGTCTAGTTTCAACTTTTCTTTCTTTCTTTCTTTCTTTTTTTTTAAAAAAAAAAAGAACTAACTTTTTTTTATTTATAAATTAAAAAAAAACTAAGAACAAACAGACATTTTTAAAGGTACTTTGTACCTATCCAATGCGCATAATTAGACAGAAATATACGCAAAAGGAAAGCATCAAGGTATGAAATACTTTACCATTGATAACCATGCAGCAGAGTGCAAGTGCAATTAGACTATCTTCATGTAATATAGGTCCAATAATTTTTCAACCCATAAATAGGATTACAACTACATGCTACTATTAGTCACCAAGATCTAGTTGGTCGATCTTGGTTTATATCACAACCACACATGTTAATAAATGTTGTTATTTATAATATTGAATTTCATTGTTATTATCGATAAGTCCTGTTCATTACTGTGTTACAATGGAACATTTACATCCAGTCGTTATGGAAATGATCCCGTCTCCTACAGAGGACTGTTTGGCCCCAGCCGGACAGCTGTTGCAAGAACACGTTGTATGCTAACCATACAGTGCGATCCTTGTTCAGGTTCCAAATTGATTGTTTTTAATAAATTAACCAAATTAAAAGTACTTAGGCCTTATTTTTTGAGGGGGAAAATCATCAAATTACTCCTTCCGTCCGGAATGAGGCGAGAGGAAGGGTCAGAATGACACTGACTAAAAAGTACCCTGTTCCAAATCCTGCATCGAGCCGGACCCCTGGTGATAACCCTGGCGGTTCTTTGCAGGCCCCCGTCCCGGTTAGATAAGTGGGTACTTACCTAACTAATAGCATAGCTAATGCGATTGTAATATTTCATATCATCATACACCTACTAATAACTATTATATTAAGTAGATCACAGATGTAGGTAGTTGCAAATAGCTTGCTCATAAAATCATTACAATAGGTGGGTGGTGCCTAGCTTAAATACGTTATACTATGATACATTCAGGATGCAAAGTAGAGTCAAAGATATTCCTAATCCTGTATTCGTCAATATTTGCAAAGGTAGACATTTGAAGTCGGCCTCTTTCAATAATTGTGTGACATTCTTGATGCAATGTTTTCTGAGATATAAACTGTCTAGTTTAACGCTGTCATAACTTGTATAAATTCACAATGACACACTCGTTTCCTTACGTATGAATGCTACTTCATATAAACCCTGTTCACTCAACGGTGGCTGTGATAAAGTTTCTTCAGATTCCAAATATGCACACACATGTTGTTAATAAAGTTGTGGCTTTGGTTATTAATTTTGTTTAAAACAAATGAGGCACTGCTATGTTATAACTGTTCGACGACACAGCGTGAGTGGTCTCGCTGCGGAGGTGATTTCGTGCCGACCAATCTCGGATTCAACAGCACTCGGATGTTTCTTGTCAATTGTACAGGAGGTGTTTACAACTACCAATAATACTTTTAGATGTACTTTACTGTGATCTGATGTAGGCATAAAAGCTTTTGTACTTATCTAAATTAATTTTACCGCAGAGAACGCTATGTGCTTTGTGAGGTCATGGAATGCAAGGGCGCGTCATGCGTGGATAGTGCAGAGAGGATGTTATCTACCGACAGGAGATGATACACTGCCCCGATCCGTGAATATACCCACAAGAGCTATGTCTTGTAAACAGGAAAGGTAAGTTATGTAACTAATATAGGTACATTATAGAGGTATAATTTATAATAACATGTTTGAAAAAGGATCAACTTGGGTACAACTGAGAAAAAAGAGCCTGCTAGGCTATTCTGTAAGATGTCAATTCGAACTGTCGAAGTGAGCTCGATCGCATTCTCGCCCGTCATTGCTCGAGATTATTTTCACAACCAATGACATGGCGGACCGTAATCGAGTTCGCTTCGACTTTTTTAATTGAAAGTTACAGAATAGCCTAACTGATGGAAGTAAGTGCGCTAAGACTCAATAGGTAGGTATAGGTACCTACCTATAGTTAATACAAATCGCAAGTCACAATAACACCGAATAGGTTTGTCGGTCGGTTACTTACTATCCCCTTGAGTCTATTATATTGCCTTGGGTATATTATATCTTAACGCTATAAAAATAATTTCAGACATGTCGAAGCAGAGTACAAGGTCTGTCTGTGTCGAGCAGACTGGTGCAACTCCGCGTCCAGCTTAGTGCCTTCTATTGCACAATATTTTTATAAGTGGTTAACATACATAGTTGGAAATATAATTATTATTTTTTGAATTAATAAGTTACCCATCTTTGTATAAAAAAAATATAATGTTTACTAGTTCACAACTTACGTCGACGCTGTTTTACTTATCTGCCGTTGACCCTCCATCATACCTAGATGCTCCTTATAGGCTACACTGGATTGCAATAAATGTGACTTTATGGGTTTATAAGCAGCTTTCACTTTATCTAAGGTGTCTGTCTATTTCTACGAAAAGGATGGTAAGAAATGTGTGTGTTAGTGGGCCGCGTCCGCTGGTCGCACGTGTCTTTTTTGTACACATGCATCAATCTAAACCAACATACGTAATTAGAAAAATGGAAAATTATCTAAATAGCAATGTTATCGGACAATATTTGAAGTGTTGCTAAATGAACAGAAAGCTTCTGAGAATAAAACTTCAGTGTTGCAAAAAAATATTCGCTATATTTGTTTATTTAATCGTAATACTAAAATAAATACATTTACTAAATAAGTACATAGTTACTAAACTAATTAATACAAAGTATAGTCTCATTAAAATCCAATTCGTCATGTTCGCCACTTCAACTAGCTCTTCATTTGGTAAAACAAAGTAATTTATCGTTACGTTTAACATTTTTTTTTACATTCAGGTCATATAGACCGAAACTATAATATTGGTAGACATTTTCCCGAAAGGGATTCAATACCTAATATGTACTGGGTACTTATACCCATTGTAGGGAATGTGAAAATGATTTTATGTCTACTTTATTAATACATACATAATAATCTCCTGTTGTGATGCGCATCTGACTTTTATATGTAGAACCGGCTGTAGGTGTTTGCAAGTGCGTGGCTATATTATTGTATAATGCAATCAATCTGATCCATCGGTGGGGTCAATCAAATATAATTCTGTTATAATTTAGGTTTTTAAATTTTTGACGCTCTTTCTCTGCACCAAAATAATTTGTTTTTTGGTATTGTGCTATGTAATTTAATCTAATAGGTCTCAGAAATGCGCTGAGGTAAAGTTCATCTCCCATCTTCTTGTTCATTGTCATCATCATCATCATCTTCATCCAGTTCATCAATGGCCTGCGCAGCATCACTTGTAACAGCTTGCGCAATTAATCCAGTAACACTTGTTTCATTTTTTTTACCTTCTAAAAAGTTATAAACGAATTCATCAATAGTTTCTTCATCAAAGGGCAATAAGTCTTCGAGGTCAATTTGACGCTTCGTTCTTATCTCTTTACTTATTTTTCTAGCAGTAGAGTAATCATTTTCATCATTGTCTACAATACCCTTCCGATATATTTCTATTGGTACATCACTACCATCACTAACATCGTATTTTATTCCTAGATCGGTTTCTTGTATTTCTATAGATCCCAGACCACTGTCTACTAATGTTTTTAAATTTTTAGCTTTGTTAGTTCGACTTGCGTCTGTTAAATCCAATTTTTTCGCAGATTTTTTAGTTTTAGGGTGTAAATGTTTAACTTCATTAGTTTCTAAAGATTTGGAAATTTCATTATTTGCTGTTTCTTTGCCAACAGAAGCTTTTGGTTTTGAACTATAGGTTTTAACTTTGGAGTGACCTTGTATTATGAGATACATTGGCACAGTAGGCATTTCAGTCGTTTGTTTGGCGGTTTCTGAATACTCTTCTATAGTTGTTGGTATCGGTGTGGTAAAACGATTGTGTAAATAGGGTCCATGCGTGTACAAGGCTGGCATTTTATTTGAGACCTGTGAGTTTACATGGAATGGTTGCTTGTGAGGTACTGTTGGATTTTCCACGAGTTTGGCTGGGGGTGGCGGTTGCATAGTTTGCATTGTTTCAATTTGTATGTCCTCCGGCTTCTTTTCATTAAATACGTGAACAGTATCAGAAGCGTGAGCATAGAGATTATCTTCGAGTCTTTCGGGACCATTAACCATTGGCATGGACATCATAGGGCCAAGCATATCAAATAGGCTAGTTTGTAATTTTGTTTCTGTAGTAGGTACGGGTGTAGGTTGAAACACAACGGTATTTGTTTTTTCAGTTGTTGTTTCTTCTGGTATTTCTGTAGAAACTTCTATAGTTTCTGTTGATTTTTCAGTTGACCATGCTACTTGAGTGGAGCTCGCAGTAACAGATACTGGTGTTGTCGGTGGTAATGCAGTTGGGACAAATGTTGAAGTAACGAAAGTGTTTAGTATTAACTTGGGAGGAGGGGGTGCTTCAGATAACATTGGTTTGTAAAATGAATACGGATGTCTGGAATAATCGGAATGGTCGTTTAAAATTAAATTATGCGTTTCATTTGCAGCATCTTTATCATCAATAGGTGTGGTTGGCCCCATCCAGCATAATCACTACTTACAGCATTCTCTTGATTTTAGTTTCATTAGCATTACTTATCCAATTTTGGGTAGTTGTTGAAGACTGATAAATTAAATTTGATTCTTGCAATGCGTACAAAGATGTAAGATGTTCAGAAGTGGGCGTGGTATCCTGTATTACGCTCTGAAGAGGATGATTTATCTGAATTGGTGGCGGGACTTTTTTGCTCACGGGAGGTTTATCGTCCGACAGGATAAAGAGCGGTGGTTGGTGGCCAGGTGGAGGTGGTGGCGGGGGCACTAAAATTGTCATTGGATAGTGCTCGCTCAGTTTGTAAGTAAAGTCTTCGTACTTATTCGGCAGTGGCCTGTGTGCGGGACGTCTTGGCAGTAAAGGTGGCTGTCGAGAGGTAACACTCGGCTTCCGAGAAGATACACCGAGCATTAATACTTCTGACTTTCTCTCTGGATAATGTTCTCGTTCCAATCTAGTATCGTCTGCCCAGTAGTGGACTCGCTCGAGGACAGGAGGTTCGTAATCATACGTCGGGTCGTTGCGAAGCGGGTCTCCACGGCCAGTTAGTGGCTTCCATTGCTCGAAGTCCATACGAGGGGAGAATATCGACGTCAAGGTGCCTTGGTTATCAGTTTCTGCTCCATCTGTAATTAATTTTGAGTTCACGTGTTACCTTTATTGTTTTTGTTTTCGGTTTCTGTTATCATTTACTATTTACTTTAACTGTAAGTAATATTGGTTATAATTTAAATTATTGTATTTACAATTACAAAATTATTAAGTACAAGTTCTTATGCATGTTGGATTAATTTAAAATAGTTTGCTCTAAAACTTAAACTTGTCCACAATATTTTATACCGACTCTCTTGCACTCCATCTATGTATATCTAACGGAAAATTTTGTAAAAACGGGCACATGGTTATTGGCACATAAGTGTAGGTACTCTAATTCTTTAATATGTGAATACTTACATGTAATATTGGCAATTTGGTTAATGGGCGCCGTATCAGTCGCAATCAAGTCGGCGGAGAACGAACGGGAAGAGGTTACTGCCACCAGGAACAATAACAGCAGAATATGCCGTAGTATCTGTAAATATAAAGAAACAAGTTATCTACAAGTTTATAAGTATTTCTTTATCAATTTGTTTGGAAAGATGTCACTTCAATAAGCTCAGCAGAATTGTAGAAGTAGGCACACTTAATTTTGCTTGCTAACAAAAGGGCCAGGGCAAAATTACTACTTTCGGCCTCGACTGTAATGTCAACTTTTAGTAGTACCTAAGTACCTACACAGATCCATATCGTTAAGCCTGTCTCCCATCAGGGTACGGGCAGTCATGGTAATACTTTCCTATTTGTAAAAGATCATTTTACACACTATAAACTTATGTTTTTATTTCCATTTAGTAGGTAATATAAGATTTCTCTATTATGCATGCTGTGTCCACATCTAGTAGGATATAATCTTAATTAAGTTTGTTGCCGTATTTTATAGGTATGTTTGATAGTAGATTCAGTTTTGTGAACCAAATAAAAAAATATCAACTGAAGTTGCTTTATTTTGTTAATATGTCACCTATGTATTTAACGCCTTACGACATAAGTCCATCTTCAGCAGATTTTTGAACGTATTAGCTGTGTAGTTTCATTTAATAAAAAACATTTTTGTACAGTTGAAGTAATGTAGGTTCATAATACCTATTTGGTACAAGTAAGTAGGTATATTATGTTTATTCATGTATACGTTAACCCATTCAATGCAAATTTTTGTCTTGCTTTACTTTAACATGATTAATATTTCAGTTTTTCGATAAAAAGGTTTATGTAGGTATGAAGATTGAAAACGTGATTTTCATCCAATTAGAGTGCAGCCGATTGTTTTTTTTTTTGGTACCTTTAAACACGACAGTACCTCATTAAAATGCCGGCTGTTTCGGCGGGAAGAAAGACGAGCTAATTTAATATTTTAACCATCCTCTTTATTTATGTATACGAATACTCGGCCTCAATAGCTGTTTATGGAAAAAGCTGTACAAGTTCAAGTTGTTTTCTTGTTCATTTGCCTTGTACCATATTTGTTTGCTGAATTAAATCACAAATTAAGTTAAAATGTACAACACCTCATTAGTACAACAACATAGGGTGAGACACCAAGTTTCTTTTTATGTAACAACAGATTCACAAGCTGTTCATTTCAGTTCCGTGCTGGTGTAACTCTAGGTAAATAACATTATATGTACCTATTACTTAATAAAAATTCATGAGAATCATTCTAATTTAGCTAAGTAATACTTTAGTATTGATTTGGGGACTTGACTAATAGTAATGATAATAATTAAATTACATAGAATCACCTAGTATGTATGCACTTAATTTACGGTTATTAATTACTTGATTTACTTTCTTGGATACGGACCCTTCCACACCTCGAAGTATCTCATGTATTCTATTTACGTAAACGCAGATACAGCCTGTTCGCGATTCTCATAAGATAAATGTACCGTCGAAAACATTTGCGTGTGGATCAAATAATCCCGACTTCCGCCTGTTGTAATGGTTATTAGAATTTCATTGGGATGTAAGACCTGCTGCTACCAACACCTCAGGTACCAGGATACAATGGACAGCAGCAGTGAAAGCGGCGCGTGCGCCGAATCACTAACACGCATAGTACTTGACGGGAATCATATTAAGGTGTTTTGCATTTAATTTAACCTATTTTGAAATGTCCTTTCACTCTCTTAAATTTGTACTGACATTAATGACTAGGCTATACTGTGAGCCTATCTAATACTTAATAGTCAGCACATGCTAAATAAACATGACGCCATGTTTGTATCAAACAAAAACGTAGGTTTTTCTGATTATGTAAATCAACCGGATTTTTATACTTTAGTACGTCAAAAAGTACCTAGCCTACCTACCTAGCTAGTAGCTACACCTACCTACATTTTCTTATCAAATCAACGCAATTAAATTTATTTATAGGTGGTAATTACTCTCAAGTGCAATGTTAATTTGGTCTCCTCGCTCATCCAATCGGCACGTTCAGTAAACATTTGTTCGGTCCGAACGTGGTACAACTTTCCATTTCTAGTTCTATAAGCATTGTGGTTAACCGAGTCCTCTAGTTTTACTAACTGATTGATATAATACACTAACCACTATCTTACTCAAGTTGCTAGTGAAAACACCATCGAAGCCCGCATGCTTCACTATATCTGATTGTGATTAGGTAGGCTTATATGCATTATGGCGTTCTATATATCTGATTACTACGGATAACTCTTTAATTCTTCGCTTGTTATCTTTGGTCAAAATAGATTTTATTTCTATTGAATCATTATCTGTTTTATATTCAACAAGAAGAAAGAAAAGAAGCAAGCAGGGCATAAAGCGACTACGTTTTTTCACTCAGGAAAGGAAAATTGCCTACGGGTAAGTGAACTTTATAAGTTTTATGACACATAATGCATCTGCCGACATTATATATCATTACTTTTTACTTACGTCCATCTAGTCGCTACTTGTGTGGCTACAAGAGTAAGCAGGTAAGTATAATCATGTAGATACACTAAAGAACTGATTATATGTCTTCTTAGCAGGTATGGGATATGGCGAGTTATGTACGTATGTTGTGCTTCCGCATTTAAGCATATAAATGTGTACGTAATTAAGTTATTTTGATAAGATGCATCCATTAGTCGACAAAGATTTGCTTAAAATTTTTTTTCGTAAATAGGTGTATTACATGACATGACATGACTTCTAACATATACATGTTTTAACATTGATTGCTATAAAATATAAAGCTTGATAGAGATAGGTAAGTTCCCCACATACTGCATAGATTTTCAATGGATCTAACGGATGAATAACATCGAATGATTATTATCGCCCCCAGAGTCGACGAGACGGCTGAACAAGTATAACTATCCACTTATTTTAATGGATACATGTAGGCACCAAGAATTACCTACGTACCTACACCTCTACAATGGACGTGACATAAAACTTCGAACCTGTCTCCGACACAGATTCCGTTAGGCTTCGGTGCCAGCGATGCTGCATACGGATACCAATATAAGCGCATGCATTATATTTACTTGTACATCTGCCTTTTATTAAGTATACCTATATACCTAGGTATAATCCACGTACTTATGTACAGTACCTACAGGGATATATGTTTCTCAAAGGAATTTAGTACGTAAGTGCTTTAAACTCACGTATCCTTATCTCTCAACTAGTTTTGCTAAAAACTACTAATGTATGGTTTTTATAACAAAATGTAACGTCTTATGGAGTGTTGGAAAATTTCGTTTTAACTTCGAGTAAGATTTACAACGACATAATTAATAATAATGACGGGCTTTCACTGAAAGCTCTGAATGAATATGTTACCATAAAATCGCTTATTCTAAATGTAGATTACCAGTTTCGAGCCTCATGATTTTAATTGTATTTTATTATTTTTATGTAAATCAATCGTTTTCGGCAAAGCGAAAACAAAATCAATCTAAGAAGTTGTGAATAGATTATGACAAATGAGCAATTTATCGATTTGACCTACAATCAGGTCTATAACCCAGTTGCATACGAAAGAACTATAGACTAGTTATTATCATTTATTTCCTTGATTAAATACTTTATAATTATGAGGCTATAGTTATCGACATTATTTATTATTAAGCATTTAGGTGCACGTCGACCAGAGGTTTGGCATGCCTTTGGCAAAGAAGGGGGTTCCCCCTCCCTGCCGTATAAAAAATTATTTGGGGGTTACGAAGAGTAAAAACATTTTTGCATAAAATAGATATACTAATAATTTATGTGAAAATCGGAAAACTATCCAGACTCTCTCTGCCCAAATTATCGGACTATGATTACTTTAGCTAAACATTCTGCCAACCTTTGAACGCATACTGAAGCCAGAAAACATCATTTATTTTGACTTTTGCGATTATTGAAATGAAATAAAAATACATTTGCACGGGGGCCCCCTATAATCTATACGGCAGATACGGGGTGACCAACGATCCAGACATTTTCCCCTGACGCCGAAAATGTCTGGATTAACAGTAGTTAATCCAGATAATTAGGCAGACGTTAGAAATATTATTTACCTGCTTTATAAGGTATACGCCTCTAGTGACAACCACGAGATAGTATCTAGGTGGGTGCGTATCTAGTTTCTACAATATTTTATAAGCGGTAGTAAAATAGTTTAATCGAGCAATCAAACTGAAAACGACGCGGTTTACATGCGTGCAATCAAACCGTAAAACGATACGCGCAGGCGTATCCAGTTAATCAATTAGTGCTAATGATGTCTCTGCAGACAGACGTGTTGAACGTGAAGAAATGTAAAGAACTACACTAAAGTCAAAGTCAAAGCATTTATTTCAATTAAACCATAATTTGGTACTTTTGAAACGTCAACAAATACAAAGTAAATAATAGTCTGTCAGTCAGACCGTCAGTGAAGCTAGGTGAAGCTAGGTGCTCATTCTAAAATGTCGATTCGAATGGAGAAGAACGAGCAAGAAACTCCATTCGTTTTTTTTTAAGGGTATGTTCTACAATGCCTCTGGTACATACTCCAATACTGTACGTATATGTGAGAACTATTTTTTTACTAACACAACCACATGCTGTGTACTAGCACATACTACCGTCTACAAGTAGCGTGATGGTATCATCGCGTGATAAGTACTGTGATCACTAGAGCGACTGAACATCTTCGGCTTGAATGTTACCTAACATTACACTACTAGAAAATACGAGTATGTACTAAGAAACAGCTTAACTGTTTCGTTTATTCGTTATCTTATCATCCGTGGATATACAAACGGTGATACCTATACATTTTAAGCGGACTTTTAGACATAAATCATTATTCATGTTCTTCCAAAAAGTCGTATATATTTGTTAGTGAAAGTTTTAAAGCATTTATTTATAAAAGTCGACGTTGATTCACGAGAGGAGAGGAGTAGAGGTGGAGGGGTGGGGGCGTGGGAACGTCGCGCGCTCAGACCGAGCGGCGCCACGGGCGGTTTGACGCCAACGCAAGCAACTGCCCGACCGTCCACCGCCTTCCATGCCTCCATCATGCTCTTAAATACCTGATCCTAAGATCCCATCGTTTTAAACTTCATATTCTTTTGTGTTAAACCATATCGAAGAATCCAAGGAGTTTATATTTTACCAACAACAAAAATGTAAGTATAGCATAACCGCGAGAGTCCTATTTAGGATTCAGTGAATACTGAAATAAAATTGATTCTGAACTACAAACGTTGCAAATGGAAGAAACCATTTTAAATAGTAAGAATCTTTTATTTGGATTCTATCTGAGTAGATATGATAGTAAATAAATAATTTATAGGTACTATACTGTACTGTACTCTAGCCCCACATAGCAACTTACGTAATATTCCATATACAATATTTAATAGTTAAGTACTTCATTTGAAGTAATATAAAAGTAGGTACCTACTTGAATAATCTGATTATGTTTTAGCCTTTTACATAGATAAAATAGATAAGTAAGAAAGTTGGGAATAAAAGCGTTACGTTATTTTTCAGCATTTATGTACAAGTATCATTTCGTGCTGGTCTGAAAAATATTAGAGTTTCGGCAGTTTTTTCAAATGGTTTTAGACTTTAGTTAATGGATGTCGATAGTCCGGCGGCACGGCGACGCGACACCGAGCTTGGCGTGTGGGTGCAGAAGGAAAGATAACACTTTCACACGCTTTATGTGTCGATGACCCGTCGGCTCGGGCAGGCAGAAGACTTGCCCACGTACGGCCGCGCCCGCCCGAGGCGGCGGCGGCGGCCGCCCGAATCCCACATTGAGTACCGAGCCGAGTGATTTCCCTGGATCACTAAACCGAGCTGCCGTCGCCACCACCGCCGACAAGAAGCAATCACCTTATTGTTCTTATACTCTTTAATGTTACACAGTGGAGTAATATACTTATTTCTTTTATGACGAATATATTAAAATATCTATAGTTTTAGGAAGGTATTTATTGTTTGATGAATTGATATATTCGTATAAAAATGAAGTCGGTAAAGAGAACAAATTGAGATGAAGACAGTATGAAAATTAAAAATCTAATTAGTCCGTAAGTTAGGTAATATTAAACACGTATTTTTTTATTTTGTCGTATATTAAAACAATACCTAGATAAAACGAAGTTTAGAAGTGTCGAAAGTATTCGTTTCTGTAAGAAAATAAAAAATACGTGTCTAATGATTCAAAATAATCTACCAGGCGGATATAAAAATAAAAATTATGCACCCTATTGCAACATGTAAAGAAAAATTTAAGGAATTTTATTGAGCGAGTTGGTTTAAAAGTACAACGTTCGTGTAGACCTACAAACATAGTACAACTGTAAAAGTCATAAGTTGTGGTACTTTACAATGTGCTACTAAGTAGGTGACTGCTGAACTTCTTTCAGTTAAATATTGTTCTTCGTAAAGGGCTATAATATAGTCTGGATGGGTACCTTGATTATTATTATTATATTAAATAGTTCTTTACTCTATATCACGGAGTTATGAAATCCGTAACTATTATACACGTACAAATGACGTTTAAATAAAGCATACCAACCACTTACTATGAACCTAATTAAAATTATGTAAAAGACGGTCAAAAGATACTTAGCTCTAACTTAATCTATGTAAAAATATTTAATTACATTTTTTTACCATTTCTTATGTTATACCGGAAATTGGAACCTGATGTAATATTAATAATATTACACAAGTTGTGTATAATTATAGTTACGTAAGTTTATTCATATATTATATCAACTGTAGGTATAATCTGTTCTATAATGACAGCATAAATGTTGTGATAACCAATTTCTGTTTCTGACGCATTATGTCAAACTGATAGATGCGATTTCCCAGGATTACGTTAGCCTCGCTGCCTCGTTACATCATGTTGTTATATTTTATTATAGAAAAAGTTTTTTGTTTTGCTTGTCGAAGCTTGTCTAAGAAAACTTGCCAGCACTTTGCCTGGAATTCAGTAGACAAGTCAATTTACTTGTCTGGTACAAAACTTTATTGCGCGCCTTTGACCCACACTTGACCGGTTTTAGTGTATTCGTTTAGACACCACATCAAATACGTCTTAAATCTGTTTGCACTTCTCACTGTTTATAGATATTTACCTACTCAAATGTAAGTTATAGATTTTACTTAGGTCAATAGATAATGACATTTAGATCAGTTATAAGTGATTATTGAACTAAAAATGTCGAATTCGTGATTTATATTGTAGAATAAAACATTTTAAATAATTAGGACTGTAAAATATTGACACAAAACTTTGTGACACTTTTCGCGCGTTGATGTCTTTTGTTCGCAAGCGCAAATAAGGATGTCTTCGTCGTTACGTAGAGCCTGTCGTATTTTACAGAAATATAAGAATGGTAGTATTTAATTTATGTATATTTGTAATAGCCACTATTAAAGAATTGCTATAATTATGATTTTATAAATGTAAAAACTTGATATTTACGTCTTTCAGTGTAAACTGAATAAATGCGAATAATATTAGTTAAACAGAGTATTTTGCTCGAACAAAAAGCTGAAACATTTCAAATGACGGATAAATAAATAAAACTTACCGAAAACATGATTTCTGTAGATCCGTCGCGAAGGATCACACTATACACGAATGTCACAGATTGTGCGCGCGCCGGTCGAGCGCGTTTCCCGCACGACGTCTGCGCCTAGTCTGCGTCTGCGGCCGCGCTCCATTCATAGCGCACGTGAGCACGCGCCTCGCTCGATCCGACACACGAGCCCGCGACTTCTCCAATACAACAATGCTTTTCAATTATACTCAAACGATTAACAGACACGCAAATTAAAAGCTACTTCTGTAAAAACAACGCGTAAGCAACAATTCTTTTTAAAATGCAATGCGTATAAATTGACAAATTGTCATTACATTAACTTTGCTGATCCAACAAACTTACTTAAGTAATAACAAAAAGCTTATAGGCTTATGGTTTGATTATAGGGTTAATATATTTTTTCTTACTTTTCTCTCTGTAACAATTATCTATACACTTACAGCCTCTTCGATCCATAAACCGCTGTGGAATCTAAAGAACAAAACTCTACCTACCTTCTTAATTTAATTAAGAATTACATAGAATGGTTTCGCATTTAATATCTAGGAAACTCTGTTCTTGTAAACATACAAGAGGCGTTTCTAAACTTTCGTTTTCCTGGAAAACCAATGTAGGTTATCAGTAAGTATCCCATATTTATGGATGACCTACGTACACAGTGCGTGGGTGGTAGACAATGACTACTTATGTGGATACCTTGGTCAATTTAAAAATGATTATCGTATTCAGCGTATCCTGCTTGATTCATTACGTTATAAAGATGAGGAGAGAATTCTTTAACTGAATCTACATTATACATTAACCGACCTCGTTATGAAACATTTAATTTGTTTATTTTACTTTTAATCTGATGTTTTGGTTCATGTTTATATTTTTAAAACCGCTAGCTTAGCAGTATTGTATGCAAATGTAGTTAAGGAATGGGGTGACATGGAGACTGTATGTTAACCATTTACACTGTGACAATACAGCGGAGCTGCCGCTGACCTGCCGGCCGTCGGCCGTCGCCCACCCGTGCAGGCGCCGCCGGTCACCGCGCAGCGGCTGCCTCGCCACCGACAAACATACATATTATTAACTTACTTGTTACTCTATCTTGAAATATTTAAGTAACTTTATGTAGCCTTAGTTATTGCAAATACCTCTCAAAAACATTTGGTAGAATAATTACATTTAAACTAGGCCATCTGATGGTTATCTAGTATTTATTTAATTATACATTGGTCTTGAAAACTGATTGTGTAAACCTTTTAGTTAACTAAATGTTATTGCTTACCATTGTGCAGATGCGGTGATCATTATAGTTTATATCCTGCCTACCTACTTATGTAATCTAAATATTATACCTAGTTTTTTTTAACGGGAGAAAATCATCGAGTCACGTCTCCCGCTTAGGTGAGGCGGAAGGGAGTGTCAGACTCTTACTGACTAAAAACTACCCCTGCACTTCGGCATCAGCCCTATCTTTGGGCTCCATCCGTAGTGGTCTGATAGCTCTTTGAGGCGCATGCGGAACGCAACGCGCCGTACGCCCGGGTCTGGGTGCTTACTCTTGAAACCAATCTCAATATTAATGCAATTTCAATCCAATAAAATCTCAATAATTATTCAATGTCGTAACTATATAACCCCTGTTGTAGCTATTAAAATAGCATTCAGAGAGCGGAATATACAGCCAAACTCAATACCATTTAATTTATTAAATATCCACGCAATACGGATGCAATGGGCGCTACTATTGCAACTCAAGAGTACAAAATTTCACAATACCAATGTCGATCGATCGGAGTTGGATTCAAGAGTAAGCCTCCAGGTTCTGGTCGGGCGGCGAGCCATCCATGATCGCTGTGCTCAGACGCGCGCTTACGGTGGCCGGAGAAGATATTATACCTATAGGAACGTACCTCGAAAGTAGGTATAAGAACAATGGGACTGAATTTATTTGTTTCCCTTATGTATATCTGATATCGGACTAGACTTACATCAAAAACATGTACCTAAGTACCTAGTTGTGTAAGTTAGATAGGTATGTGAAATTCGCAGTTCACTTCTCAGTATGCATACCACGCGTCGGCTACCTTAGAAAGAGTTCACAACAACAAATGCGTTAGGTAGCCGTGCCAGTGAAACGCGAACATTATTCGAAACGATCAATTAACTACTTCTATAGATATAGAAAAGTTACAAGCGACGCAAATGCTAACTTAGTTGTGCAACATTTCCAAATACAAAGTTAATTTATGATTGTTACATTATTAAATGCCTGGCTTATGTAATCAATTAGTGTAGATGTGGTAGTACCTACTAATAACATTTTATGTTATGCTATTGTCACCTTGTCCAAAATTCAAAAATCTTCTTTTTAGGATGACTTCAAATGTTTTAGAAGAAAATTTACGCTTCGTGCCGATAATTTAAATCACATTATCTGGGAAGGTACACACATACCTGTTGTCATGTTCTTTCTTAACTCTGAGTGCATGGATATTTTCGTGATAGTTATTTTTCGGTATTTCCCTCTCAAATACCTAATTTAGTAACTATATATTTATATTTAAATCTGCTGTACTAAATACTGCTTAGTAAACCAGCCGCTAGCCGGGTCGACAGCGAAAGGTAGGCATTAAGATGATGCGTTACATATCGCGGGTTCGATTCCCGTTTAGCACGAAACAACTGTGTGATCCACAAACAATCGACTCTGCCCATTATGGCGAGATGCTTTACATAGTAGATGGTACTCCGTTTAACATGTTCGCTACTAAACTGCAAAGTGAACTAAATGAAACAGTGATTTTAGAGCATAGGTAATAAATTAATAATAAACAATTATTTTTGTCACATTTGATTTGTATTTTTTATAGCATTGGGCAGACGATGACGATAAGAGCACATGGACCATCTGATGGTGGTTAGCAATCGGCGATCTGACTATGGTGCGGATTGCGGCGAGATGAACTGGAAAGTCGTCTCTTCCATCTGCCTAGCAGTCATACTAGCTAAAGAGGTAGAGAAGCGCGTAAGGAAACGATCCTCCTCCAGCCTCAGCCGCCGCAGGAGACACTTCGGGCGACGGGGATCGCGCGACGATCTCTGGCTTGCCGTGTCGGACAATGATGACCGACGCTAATCGATAATTAGGCTTTAATAGTTGTCGGCAGTTGCCGACCTGCAGTTGGTCTGCCGCCCGGCCAAGACCAGATTCCACACATAACATCACGCCTTTTATCCCCGAAGGGGTAGGCAGAGGTCGCAGTGGTGCACATTACGGCACTTAATGCCACTGCACATAAATAGTGAAAAGTGGGTGTTAACCCACTTTTCACTATTCATGTTATGAGTCCCATATAATAGGGGGTGAGCCTATTGCTGCTGGTCACAATTCCAGACTCCGTGCTACTACTGAGAATTAAAAAAAAACTAGTAATATTTTGCCCGACCCGGGAATTGAACCCGAGACCCCTTGCCCGGCAATCGCATTGGCAAACACTCGACACATGAGGCAAACCAGATTCCACAAACCTGATCCAAGCATACGACACGTTTCGTTCCGACCGGGACTCCGGCTCGAAGTCGGCAAGAATTTGACTACCTCTCACTTCACCTAGGGCGGGAGGAGTTACTTAACGAATTTCTCCTTCAAAAAATAACCATATCAATTGGTAGTTTGATACTCTATACGGGAGATACTAATAATAAATCATAGTTTTAGCTAAATCTCCTAGATTTTGAAACTATTTCTTCAATAAACAGACCAGCCCGGTCGAGATCTGTCTACAGTCTGGACAGTACGGCCTCCATTACAGGTCAAGGCCAGACCCACCCGCATCCAATCAATCAATACGCAACTATGCAGTAAGGAAACGTAGACTAAGCACGACTGTCTAGATTTAATTACTTTTTAGAGATGAACAAGCAGGTCTATCGATACTTGGCTAGTTTTTCACAGAATGTTTTTGGTTGGATTTGACTTCGATTTGTAAAAACTTGGGCATATTGATTTATTTTATTTATATCTGAAAGGGAAGCAATCGCCGAGCAATGGCGCTAAAGGCCAGATGAAATTTGAAGACGTCACCTACGCTGGATTTTTGCAATGACAGTTGATTTTCATATACCAATTTTGACATCAAATGAAGCAGTCCACCAAATTGGAATTTTTTTTATAAAGCCAGTACATGTCAATCTCTAATAATTTGATTGGGCTCTTGTGGTTTCTAACCAGAGTCACCCGGTACTCCAGATCTTCGATGATCCTTGTTTTTATAGTTTGTTCTTTATGTGACTATTTAACCCTAACTCTGTACCAAATTTCAGCTCTCTCAGTTTATGGAAAATACCAGTTCTAATTCGATGATCATGAGTTTTCACATAATTTTGGAACTTTGGTTTCTAAGTATGTATTCAATTATAGGTGATGAAAATTTCTGCGTTTTGGTCTTATTCAGAGGTTCTCAAATAGGGGCCTGAAAATCCGGTGAAATGGTTCCAATAAAGGATGGTATGGAAGTGTTTGCTTCACCCTCGACTTGGTGGTTCTACATACTAGAGCAAGAAAGCAGTGAACTACATAGCTAATTATTAATTTAATTGAAATTATTTAAGTAGTATGTATTAGCAATAATGCTGATTGATATGTAATGTGATAATAAATCAAAAACAATGTATGTAACATTTTGTTTATTTGCTATGTGTTTCATAAAAGTATCTAATGGATCATCTTGAATGTTACTATCTGAATTTTTTCTCCCATATTCTTGGACAAGTTTCATATGTTCTTCAAGATTATCTATCTCATTTGTTTCAGAGTCAAAGTATCTGTCTTCAGCATCTTGCGAAACTTGCTGGAGATCATCATACTGCTCGTTATTATCAATACTTTGATAATCAATATCTTCATCTCTTCCTTCTATGAAACTAGAGAACATTTCTTGTAAAAATTCTTCCTTTAAAAGTCTCCTTTCTGGGGCAGTAATCATACTTTGCTTTCTAGGTTCAGGCATATAACTTGGTCTTGTATCTGGGATATCAAATGCACCCCATTGCTTTGTATTCTTTTCTTTACTACTTTCACTACTATCATTTTTATTTTCAGTGTTTGTTATTTTCATAGACTCCATGTCTTCCTCAAGCATCTGTTCATTCTTCATTTCTCTCATTTCATTACGATCAACTGTTTCCAAAATCATACTCAAAAATGTAAGGTTCTCATTGTCCACACCATCACGCTCCCTGATCTCTTCATCAGTCAAATACTGGCCAATTAGTTGTTCATAAAGTAATGGATTTCTATACATCATTTGTTTTTCACTAAAATAATCTGTTTCACTTTGAAGTTTCTGTAACGCGATATATCGTCTGTTACGAACTCTTTTATATTTGCTTTTTTCAGAATGGTAAGTTTTTAATTGTTTAATACATTCGCGGTAGTTGTCATCAGCACAAGATTGCATGTTTTCAAAGTAACCAATATGATGTGGAGCAAGATATTTCCCGAATTGCAACAGAAAGTCAGTCGGCGATCGTTTGTAAATTTCGCAAGCCATTTTTATTTTTTCACTAGTGCGTACTTCAGATTCATTTACATGTGCATTTTTGAAAGAAATTTTAGCACATCTTACTAAATAATCTATAATATCATTAATTGGATCGACATCAACTTCTGCAATTTCTTCTACATCGTATTCTGCTGTTTTGCTTTTATCATTTGACATCGACTCCATTTTAGTCTGAAATATTTATAGTTGCCTTTTATGGATTATGTTGGTTCCGGTTCGTTTCTGACTTACAAGTTCTTTCGTAGCAAACATCAGCAGTAAAGTATTATTTTAGTTTTGGTTTTGCTATTTATTTTATCTACATTTTGCAATGATGCAGCGAGCGAGATAACTACGATGTCAATGTCAAATAATTGTCAATGTCGATTGTCGATGTCGATGGGATGGAGTCGGTTGGAGTCCACAGATAATAAATATCATAAATTACAATATTACGTAAATCCTTTCCAACTATTTTATGTATGCTTACGTTTAGGTGCTCCTTGTGTTTCTCCGCATTATTGTCACTGTGGAGAAAGAGTCGATGGCTTGGGACACCATGGTCTTTCTTGTTGCAGAAGTGCACGCCATGCCAGCATCAACGACATCATTCGTCGTGCTCTTGCCTCAGCCGGTGTACCAGCCGTATTAGAACCTAATGGTTTGGTACGTGATGACGGCAAAAGACCAGATGGTATGTCTTTGCTGTCTTGGAATATGGGTAGGCCTTTGGTGTGGGACGCGACGTGTGTAGACACCCTTGCGCCATCACATCTTTTAAGCACCGCTGCATGCGTTGGTGCAGCTGCTTCCGCGGCAGAGGCCCTCAAACGGCGTAAATATTCAAATCTAGTGGGTAACTACTGTTTTGAGCCATTTGGGGTCGAAACACTTGGGCTATGGGGTCCCAGTGCACACTCTGTGTTTAAAGTTATCGCCCGTAGGCTAATCGACTCTACACGTGACCAGAGGGCTGGCTTTTTTTTCGGACAGAAAATAAGCATTGCCATTCAATGTGGCAATGCTGCCAGTCTTCTGGGAACTTTCCCCTGTGATAGTGATGCGGACGAATACTTTGACGCCTAAATTAAGGGTACAATTTTTGTTTTCTTTTTTTTACTTTCTTTTTATTTAATAGTTTAGTTGTAGTTAATTTTAAGTTGTAAATATTTATGTAGTTATTTACTTAGATGATTATAATTAATAAATTACTATTCCTTAATATAAAAAAAAACTATTTTATTACAAATCGATTTGAGATAATTTAAACTAAATATACGCGGGAGTAAATAAAGGAATAAAATAACAAGTAGATGGCGACCTTTGTAGTCTTCAATTCTATGTAATAATTTTTTTATAATCTCGCCGGCTGTTGGATTTGCTGGATGATGAATGGCCAACTTTATCGAAGAACTATTTTAGTAGTCAACGTGTTCACTCTAGTGATTTGACAGATTTAATCGTTTCGTTTTGCTTTTGCTTACTTTCTGACACTTGACAGTACATTATTCACCGTAAACGCTGTAATTAAAACTTGTAAATAAATAGATGTCCTTTCCTTAAAAAAGGTCCCGATTTGACTAAGTCCCCAGACGGCAAAAAAATGAAAATTTAATTTTAATCTGTTCCATTGCTGTACATAAAGTAAATAATAACAACGAAATGTTATCAAATTGTATAAAACAAAAACTACATCAGAAACAGTGGTGGTGATAAAAGTTTTTATCAAGATAATTCAAAATGCAGTGGCGATGGGAATTTGTGTGCGGTCCTCAGGGACTAAGACCATGGAACGATATAACAAAAGACTTTGGACAGTGCTTCCAGGAATTATTTATTCAAATACCAGTCTTTTTTATCATCGCCATCATATCAGGTTTTTATGTTGGATATAGAAAAAATTGGGTGGTACGCGAAAAAGCTCAAGAAAGGGCAATAGTACTTCGAAGTTTTGTCGTATTAGCGTTAGTGTTTATCCCCATTATAGAGTTATATGTTCTGATTACCAAACCTAACTCTGTTTTGTATCCTGTAAACTACTTTACTGCTGGTGCATCATGCCTCGCGTGGCTATTTCACTTCGGTTATGTGTTGGCGTTGAAACACAGATTGGGACAAAGTGCTCGAGGACCCACTTCTCAGCTCTTAATGTGGAGCTTAGCAGTATTTGTGAATGTGTTGCATTGCGGAGCAGTATAATAACTGGGGGCTCTATGAGTTTCAATATCGCTACAATGTGCTGCCATATACTGTATTTCATGACACTTCTCCCATCAAGTAACTCAAGGCCCACATTCTATTCACCATGCCTGGTTGGTTCACAACATACACATGTAAGTTGACAATTTCCATATTTATTTACTGTTTATTTATTTGTTACACACTATTACTAGATCATTACAGAAGTTTTCAAAGTGATTAGGTAACAAGACAAAAATGTTGGTTTTATACAAATAGGTATATCAGGACACTTGATGATTATTGATATTTTTCTTAGTGATTCAGATTGAAATATAGTAATGTTGATGGTGATAATTTTGTCAACAGAGTGAGTATACTCCCCTACTCCCACATATGGATGAAGGTGTACTGGGGACTGCTATGCAAGGAGCTGGTTGTCTATCAAGGCTAACATTCTCATGGGTGGACCCACTACTACAGAAAGGTTGGTTACTAAACTACAAACAAAGAAAAACTAAAATATTCTATTGTTGTATTTAGTACTTTTATGACTCACCTTTAGTTCTAGCTTATAAGGTTTTGTTCTGATAACACATAATATTACTCCAATACTTTGAATGTCGATTATGACAGCTATGTTTGAACTTTTGCAATAGAATAATCTATCTATATCTATATATATTTAATATATATTATTAGTTATATTTTATATTTATATATTTATATACAAAAAAAGACAGGTATGTTCCAACACTTATAACTCAACATCGGCTTGACCATTGACTGTTAGGCGGTACGAAGTTCGCCAGGTCAGCTAGTTATGTTATATTAAAATATTTGGTTTTTTTTTCCGTTTTTAGTGAAAATAGTCAACATTGTTTGCTTTCTTTTTTGTAGGATTAGAAAATAAACTAAATGATCCAGAGGAACTGTTTGATATACCAGCCAAGTATTGTTGTTCTTATGTGGGAGCAAGGATGGATAGATCACTTATTGGCAATGTGGACAATTACCAACAGTATGAGGAAGTACCACACGAACCTTTTATAGGATCAGGTAAATATGGATTCAATGATATTGTAAATAACTTGTTTAAGTCTGTAAATAATCTATGAATGTTATCTCGTTATTCATTCATAGATATCTTTCACTTTGATAATGTACATTGTAATTTATATTTATGTTGATAATTTTGGCCTACATAGTCCAATAATAATAATAATTTTCAACATTATCAATGGAAGGGAAACTTACAATTTTGTCTGTGTTCTTATATTGCATACATTATAGTATTAATGTAATTAATATAATTATAAATTCATAGGATATGGTGCAACTGGAGAAACGGCGCCACAAGCGTCAACGCCTGTGACGCCTACAACACGGGTTCTAGTTCGTTCCCCGCGCCGTCAGAATGTTACACTATTGCGGGCTTTGCACTCATGTTTTGGCATACAGTTCTATAGTATTGGTATACTCAAATTAGTTTCGGACATGGCAGGATTTGCTGGACCAATCCTTCTCAATTATCTTATAAAATTCGTTGAAGATGAGAGTATTGATCAACATTTAGGGTAATTGCTGTTCTAATATTATTTAATATTATTGGTATTACAATGTACAGATTTACATGTATTGTTTATTAATTACAGTTATGTGTATGCTGGATCTTTACTAGGGGCTACTTTAATATCTGCCCTGTTTAATGTGCACTTCAATTGGTTTATGTCGGTTGTGGGTCTAAAGATGCGCGGCGCTATCGTTGCGACTATCCTAAGGAAGACGCTCAGTGTCACTTCCACAGAACTGAATAATGTGTTCTCTATTGGCGAGATCACTAACTTCATGTCGACTGATACGGACAGAATTGTAAATTCGTGTCCTAGTTTTCATGCACTATGGAGTATACCTTTACAGGTAAGAAACAGAAATAGCATACTTTAAACTGGTAGGTAAATATAAAACTATTGTATTGACATTTACCTGTTGTAATTGCAGCTCTTTATAACATTATTCCTTCTATACCAACAAGTAGGCATATCGTTCCTCGCTGGTGTGGCATTCTCTATTATTCTGATACCAATTAACAAAATGATCGCCAATAAAATTGGACAACTCAGCACGGAAATGATGAAGCACAAGGATTCTCGTGTTAGCTTAATCAGCGACTTGCTGAAAGGTATAAGAACGGTCAAGGTTCATGTTTGGGAAGATTACTTCATAAATCGAGTATCAGGTTAGTAATTACCCGACTGCCAAAGAAGGAGGGTAATGTTTTTCGAGTGTATGTAAGTATGTATGTATGTCTTTTCCTTTGTGACCACCTGTAGCCTAAACGGCTTGATGGATTTTGATGTATGAGGTATCGTTAGATTTGTCTTGATTACGGGAGTGTCATAGGATACATTTTATCCTAAAAGTCCCACGGGATAAAGACATAATAATATTTTTTCTAAATTTCCCTTTAAAAAAATATGTATGCGGTATCATTAGATTCATTTCAATCACGGGAGTAATTAATATAGGATACGTTTTTTCTCAAAATTCCCACGGGAACATGTTAATTCTGCGTCAACGCAAAGCAACTCATGCGTTAGCAAGCAAAAAGATAGGGCGTGGCCTGGCATGCGGCGCGCGGCGCGGTGCGGAGGGGGATATGCTCGAGTATACAGCCCGATTGCGGGCACACGCATGAGGGCACACGTCGTTGACGATAGTCTTCTACATCTACAACATTTTCGTTAAATAAAAACAGCTAAAAAGTTATAAATAAAAAAATTATTATTAAAAAACAAAATACCCGACTGCACACTAAAAAAAGAGTAAAACAAGCCCCACAATAATATTGATCAATCAAATGCTAAAAACTAATTATGTAATACCGTTTAAACAATACCTATATTAAAATACACTACAATATGTGTTCGTAATCGATAGTTAAATAAACAGAAACTTATTTGAATACAAATTTACTGAATATAATTTATAAATGTTGATGGAAAGCATCGCAGGCGGGGACCACCTTGACCGCCACCAACGAAAATTCTGCTAAATGGTGCACAACCGAAATGACTATAAATAAGCCTCTGTTGGTCCCCGCCTGCGATGCTTTCCATCAACATTTATAAATTATATTCAGTAAATTTGTATTCAAAATAAGTTTCTGTTTATTTAACTATCGATTACGAACACATATTGTAGTGTATTTTAATATAGGTATTGTTTAAACGGTATTACATAATTAGTTTTTAGCATTTGATTGATCAATATTATTGTGGGGCTTGTTTTACTCTTTTTTTAGTGTGCAGTCGGGTATTTTGTTTTTTTAATAATAATTTTTTTATGTTAATAGAAATTCACAGCGACTAGTCAACTTCTAACTTACCTCGAACATATTGGCGACGCTTATTAACAAAGCTAAATTTGTATGTACGCAAATGTATTAATGTTATCTAATATGTAATTTTAGAAGCACGTAGTCAAGAATTGCGATATTTACGCGGTCGCAAGTATTTGGATGCGATATGTGTGGTCCTATGGGCGACTACGCCTGTTCTCGTAGCCGCCTTCACATTAGGCACGCACTCACTTAGAGGACTACCTCTTGACGCACCCACAGTAAGTAATTATCCTATTTTTCTTCTTTTTTGGAATAAAATTATATTTTTACTGTATAGAATGGTTTTCAATAGTATTTTTTTTAGGTTTTTACTACAGTAGCGCTAATCAATATGTTAATAGCACCACTGAATGCCTTCCCATGGGTGTTAAACGGACTGACAGAGGCCTGGGTGTCTATAAAACGTATACAAAAGTTGTTGGATGTAAGTAAATATTCAATAATTTCATGCATTCTATGTACCTCTTGTGCCAAAATTACATATATATATAAACTAGCGACACGCCCCGGCTTCGCACGAGTGCAATATGCATGTATTATACATATAAACCTTCCTTATAACTCTGTCTATTAAAAAGACCGCATCAAAATCCGTTGCGTAGTTTTAAAGATCTAAGCATACATAGGGACAAACGGACGGCGGAAAGCGACTTTGTTTTAAACTATGTAGTGACATTCACATTTAGCTTCCAGATATGGATGCAGAACTTTATTATGACCGTCTCAATAAGAACCATGATGAAGATAAAGTAATAATATTCAAGAATGCCACATTTTCGTGGGCTAAACCTTCAAAAAGGAAGAGGCTACCAAAGAAATCTAAGAAAAATAAAGGGAAGTCTAAAAAGAGACTGTCTAGGGGTAACATTCAAAGGCGAGATTCAACATCTTCGTCTGAGCAGTTAGTCCAAGATGAGCCTTTTATGTTGAAAGATATCTCATTAGAAATCGGTAACGAAGAGTTAATCGGAGTAACTGGAGCCGTAGGAAGTGGAAAAACATCACTCCTACATGCTATCATTGGTGATATGATCAAGAAAAGTGGGTACTTACAAATACCTGAAAATCTTACTAGTAAGTACTGAAATTAACTTTAGAAGGTTACCAGTCAAGAGTTTGTTGCAAACAATAACTTAAAATGTCATTTTGTCTTTAGGTTTCGGATACGTGTCCCAGAAACCATGGCTAATACGTGGTACAATCCGCGATAATATACTATTCGGCAAACCGTATGAAGAAACTAAGTTCCGGAATGTAGTTGATGCCTGTGCACTCACAGGTAATTGAAAAATTATTTTGTAATTTATTTTACCAACACACTATTTCAAACAAGTTGTTAAACGTATTTTTTTCTTTTAATTATGTATAATAGAGGATTTGAACATTATCGGATGGAATGCCTACGTGGGCGAAGGTGGTTGTACGTTGAGCGGTGGACAGCGGGCGCGCATTGCACTTGCGCGGGCAGTATACCAGGATAAGCAAGGTACACATTGCAATTATTTATTTTAAGGTTTTCTACAATATGCGGATAGTGTTATGTAGTTTAGTATTATCTTTTCACTTTTTACACATGTGTGTTAAAATATTTTAATGCTCGATTTTTAGTGAAGATGCACATATGACAGTAACTTCACTTCTCTAATTCGATTATGATTAGAGTACCATTTACCTACTTAATTCTTGAGTCTTTTACCAATGACTCGGCTCAACTCCCAGAATATTGAAAATAAACGTGTCTGACCGGGCCTTGGTATAAGATACATTATGTTGGCAGTGTACCTGCTCGACGATGTGCTAGCCGGCGTGGACGGGGCGGTGTCGGCGCACATAATGCAGCGCTGCATACTGGGGCTGCTGCGACATACCACGCGCATATTCGTGGCGCACTCTCCGAGGCATCTTGCCCGCACCTCATATACTCTGCTCATGGAGGATGGGCGTATATTGCGACAAGGTAACTTGTATAAGTAGTAAATTGATTACATAATATAAATTTTTATTGGTGACATTTTAAAGTATATGAAAGGTGTTTAAATTTAAGAAGAAACCTATATAATGATAAATCTTTTTGATCTGATGAATGTTATCTATGAAAACTTTATCGTAAATCATTCATCAATCATCTGTAGGTCCCCCTGAAACTATATTAAATGATATCGAAGAGTTCATGCCGAGTGAGTCTGAGTCGCTGGGAGAAGAGCCGCCGAGGGTACTAGAACCCGTTCAAGATAACAACGATACAATTAGTAGGAACAGCTTGGATGACGAGGTTTGCTCATTCACATTATCGTATATAGTATTACTATATGTAACCCAAAATATCAATAAGACACTTAGATTATTTTAATGTTTACAGGAGTCAATGTCACAGGGAACTGTTGGTTGGTGGGTCATCGGCTTGTACCTACGGTCGGTCGGAGTGTTTCTCTCAATCACCATCATACTTTCCTTAGTTCTCATGCAACTATCACAAAATTTCACCTTCCTTTGGCTCACGTACTGGGTTAAAAATAGGACTAAAAACTCCACCTCCCTTGAAGATACTGAATTTATAGAACATCCCACAGAAAAGACAAACATTTTGGATCACGGAGTCTTAGCTGTAGACAACGTTATACATACCATCATAAATGCGACAAGAATGCTTTTAGAAAAGAAAAATGTTGAAAATACAACTTCCCAACAAGGGCCACAGATTGAACAACTACTACAAGACTTGAAAGCAAATGTGACGCCGACATACACAGATAATTTTTATTTGGAAGTGTATTTTGGATTGGCGGGTCTGAATTTATTGTTTACCATCATGCGAGCGTTCCTGTTCGCTTATGGCGGCGTGAAAGCGGCCACAAGAATTCACAAGGTTTTACTGAAAGTCATTATCAAAGTGAGTATAAAATGTTGTACTTTAATATTGTTTAATTTGATTTTTTCATAATCAAATACTTCTTGATGAATATTTATGTTTCAGGCGAAAGTGAAGTTTTTCGATATAACACCACTGGGTCGTATTGTGAACAGATTCTCATCAGATACTTACACAGTGGACGATTCATTGCCGTTTATACTAAACATTTTGCTAGCTCAAACATTTTCACTAATTGGTGAGTATCGTAATTTCGGTATTATGTAATTAATAATAATTTTAATTCCAAGAAATAATATATCAGTGACTTAGTCTAACTAAAATGGGATATTAGATAATTGTTAATGTTCACAAAAAGTTTATACTAGTGTCTGCTACCGGCTTCCTGCGGGATAAAAAGTAGCTTATGAGTTATTCCACACCATAATGTAACACTGTTCCAAACATGTCGATCCCTTCCGCCGTTTTGACACGAAGAAGTAACAAACAAATTAACGTACAAACATAATTTCACATTTATAACATAAGTAGGATTTTTACAAAGTAGCACTTGTACAACGAATTAAATTAGAGGCCACATGTGTATGTAGAAGCATTACTATTTACGGTGGCGAATATTGAAGTACGTGTATGATATTGTTGCAGGAGCGGTGGCGGTGACGCTGTACGGGCTGCCGTGGCTGGTGGCGGGCGTGCTGCCGCTGACGTTCGTGTACTACCGCCTGCAGCGCCGGTACCGCGTCACCTCGCGCCAACTCAAGCGCTTGCAGAGCGTCACGCTCTCGCCCGTCTACACGCACTTCAGTGACACGCTAGATGGTCAGTACCTCGCTCGGTCAGGGCTCGCTGCCATGGCAGCGGTAAGTCCCCTCTTTGAGGAGTGGCTTGAGAGACGCTACGGCGTCCTCACCTACCGCCTGACGCAGGTCCTCACCGGACATGGAAGTTTCGGGAGGTACCTGTGTCTGATGGGGCGGGAGGAAACGCCCGGGTGTCATCACTGCGAGGACCGCCCTGAGGACACGGTGGAACACACACTGGGAGAATGCCCTGCGTGGGCTGAGCACCGCCGTGCCCTCAGGGAAGTGATCGGCGATGGCGCCCTCTCGCGTCCGGGCCTAGTGCAGGCCATGATGCGGAGCGAGGGGGATTGGGATGCCGTCTCCTCCTTTTGCGAAGCAGTCATGCTTTCTAAGGAGGAGGCGGGACGCGTGAGGCAGCGAAGCGCTGCCTCCTCGCAACCCAGCCATCGCGAAGGACACACCGGGCGTCGGGGATCGCGGGACGATCTCCGGCCACCGTAAGCGCGGGCCTGCGGACGGCGAGCATGGGTGGCTCCCCGTCCGACCAGAAACAGACCCGAGCGTACGGCGCGTCGCGTTCCGCGCGCGCCTCAAAGAGCCATCAGACCACCACAGATGGGGCCCAATAGGGCTGATGCCGATTTGGAGTCGCGGAGAACCTAACGGGTAACCGGGGCTCCGGCACGACGTGCAGGAGAAGGAACGGGGTAGTTTTTAGTCAGTAAGAGTCTGACACTCCCTCCCGCCTCACCCAGGCGGGAGCAGTCATTCGATGATTACCGCCCCTTAAAAAAAAAAAAAGATGGTCAGTACCTTTAGAATATTTAAAACATTTCCGTGTTATTTTGGCTGCAGCATAAGATTGGATTTATTTACGACCAATTTTATTGTCTGTCGGTTATTAAATTTTTACTCATTTTATGGTGCATGCTAAAATTATAGCTCTGGTAGTATAATCTGCTATATTATTGAAACTTGTCATTAGGAGACAACCAAAAATAAGTGAATATGCCAAGTAAGTGCAGTGTCAAGTGTGATGTACGGTGCAGGCCAGCAGACAGTGCGCGCGCTGGGCGCGGGCGGCGCGTGGGGCGCGCGCGGCGCCGAGCTGGTGGAGGCGTGGCAGCGCGCGGCGCTGGGCGCGGCCGCCGCGGCGCAGTGGCTGGCGCTGCGCCTGCAGGCCGCCGCCGCCGCCGTCGTGGCCGCCGCCGCGCTGCTCGCCGTGCTGCAGCGGACCATGCACGCCGCCGACCCCGGTCTGACCCTCATCGACACCCCCACCCATCTCTTTCAACATACATATTCTTTAATATCATTACCATGTCCTTCTTAATATAGAATTCAAGCGTATCGAACGCTCCGTCACATGTTACACATTGTACTATTACCTAATTACTTAAGTAATGAAGACCATTACAAGCGGAAAACTCGTGTGCGTCTGGCAATTTAAAATAATATTACTGCTACTTTGTACAGGACTCATCGGTCTCGCCATTTCTTACGCGTTGTCAATGACCTCCATGCTGAGCAACCTGCTGAACTCGTTTACGGAAACTGAACGAGAAATGATAGCCGTAGAGCGTGTCGGCGAATACATCAAGACGGTATGTACGCGATATAAAGAATACATCTTTCCTAGAATAAGTTAATAAATATCTACTGTCTTTGTATTAATTAATGTTTATCATAATTGTTACAGGTGGAAAGTGAACCAATAGATGGTGATTCACCACCATACGGCTGGCCTTCACAAGGTGTCATAGAATTTGAAGACGTTTTCCTGAAATATAGGTAGGTCTGTTCACTAGGTAGTTTCGTAATGACTATTTGCAGTTTCTTATTATCTTAATCCCAGTATCTACTTGATAATTTAAGAATTGATTTAGGTATCTTATTTCTGGGTGATATGTGAACCTTTCTTTCGAAGATGTAATACGGAATTAAAATTTTATTTATAGCGGTCGTGAGAATGGTGTGATGGCTTTGAATGGCGTGTCATTCTCTACGCATCCTGGCGAAAAGCTCGGTGTGGTGGGTCGCACTGGAGCAGGGAAGAGCTCCCTCCTCACAGCACTACTTCGCCTGGCACCACTCGCCCGAGGACGAATTTTAATTGATGGAGTGGACATTTCGAAACTGCACCTACACTCACTTCGGTATTACATAATGATAAATACATATAAATACTTACAAACAATGTTTCACAATCTTAAGAGGCTTTTGCATTACTACATCTCAATAAGAAAAATATTGAATATAAATTATAACGAAGATTGTGTATGACGATAATTGCAGGTCCCGTATAGGTGTGATCCCGCAGGAGCCGTTCATATTCTCTGGCAGTGTGCGCGACAACGTGGACCCGCTGGGCCAGTACCTGGACGCGGAGCTGTGGCGCGCGCTGGACGCGTGCGGGGCGCGCGCGCTCGTCGCCGCGCGCGGCGGCCTGCACGCGCCCGCCGCGCACGCCCTCCTGTCGCGCGGACACGCACAACTGCTCTGTGTCGTGAGGGCCCTACTGCACCGACCTAAGGTACACTTTCAACAACTATACTATTTATGTAATAACTTATACTAATATACGTCCGAAAAATTAAAGTTCTTAAAAAATCTTCGACATTAAACAGAGATTAAATTATATGTAACATAACATAACATCACGCCTTTTATATCCCGAAAAGGAGAACCTCTGCGGTGCACATTATGCCACTGTACAATGTAACACCCATTTTTCACTATTTATGTTATTATACCGGGCACAATTCCATACTCTGTGTTACTAATGAGATTTTTTTTTAAATCCAGTAATATTTTGCCCGACCCGTAAATCAAACCCGGGACCTTTGCCTGGCAGTCAAACTTGCAAACACTCTGCCAACGAGGCAGTCAATTATATGTATTAATTTTCTATGGAAGCATTTTCGACTAGGTTGTTAGTTACTATCAAACAGAATACAAATGAATGACATGATAATTATCGTTTTCTCGATCATCAGATACTGCTAGTAGACGAGGCGACGGCTAACTTGGACAATGAAGCGGAGCGTCAGATCCTGGACGCCATCCGCAGCTCGTTCGGTGGGTCGAGCGTGGTGCTGGTGGCGCACCGCCTGGCCGGCGTGCTGCAGTGCGCGCGCGCGCTGGTGCTGGCGGCGGGCCGCGCCGCCGACCTGCGCGCGCCCGACGACGCGCTTGCCGACCACTCCTCGCACCTCTACCAACTCGTCTACGGCTCGTAGGCTGCAGGACTCCTGACACGATGTAAACACATGCAGCAACTAGCAATTGACGTTCGCGTGTTTCCTAGTTGCTGTAGTAAGACTGAAAGACCATCTAGAAATGTACATACAAGGTTGAATGCATTTTTTTAAGTACCAAAATAAACATTATGTGCTTGTCTTAAAACTGTCACATAGCTTTGTGCTCTGTTACATAAATCAAAAATGTATTTTGATAAAAGGCCATTGTCACACACACTACAGAATCATAGATCTCGCTAAAGTGCTATTTTTGTTTCTCAAGCAATCTTAATTTAAAATTTTAACTTGTTTATAAGTAAATGCGTATATTTGACTTGGACTGAAAGGAAATAAAATGTGTTAATATTTGGATACCTCACGTTAAACATTCTTATTGTTTTCAAAATGTTCAATGTATATTCTTCCCTAAAAACTGTGTCATTGTAATTTTTAAGTTTATATCTAATTATAATACTACAATGATGGTAAAAAGTTGATAAGTCTTATGAATTTGTTTGTGTATTATTGACCGATATGTAAATGTTTTGACTGATGAGAAAGGTTAGTCATATTGATTCTTGTGCTGATATTTCTTTTATTTTCTATAAAGTATTCGTTTTATTTAGGGTAAGATAAAGGAAATTATTTTTATAGTTAATGCATGACTAATGGTAGACTGAAAGTATTTGTCATAGTTAGATCAAAATGTCAAAGAAATTAAAGATTATGATGATTTGAAGAATTGCTATGTATAAAATACTTTGTGATTAAAATTAATACTTATGAAATGGATTTGTTAGTTTAGTTGTGATACGTGAATAACCTCGGCGGGCTGTCGAACGTGACGAAATATTTTTCAGCGAAAATTAATTATTTATACACATGTCGTTGCTAATTACTAGTACTCTTTCTAGCTAGACTATAAGCAATTACACCCATTTTGCCATCCCTGCTATGGTTTTTCCAATTACATAAGGCTGTATAAAAATAAAATGCTATTCACGATAACTTAAGATTAAGGTGACTTTTTCGTGTTTAAATCATATCAAATGATTTTCAATAGAAAGTAAAGTCGAGTTTTGTGATATTGTACCTTAGACTTAATGTAATTTTCAATTTAGTAATGTTTTATCTTATTAGTTATTGTCTACGTACATAAATTATTGTCCTTGTTAATTTTTTACGAAATCATTATAATCTTAAATTACGTGTATAATCTTAAAGTATAATAAGTATTAAATGATTTTTAAATTAAATGGAATTACATAAAAACATATCGCTCTTTTCTTTGAATTGCGTGTCGCATGTTAAATTCCGTAGAATTCTAATGTATGGTTGTTTGTTGTGCCTCAATAGTTTACGGTACACGTGTACAATGATGTTTTCACTATTAACTGTTGATTGTTCCACTATTGGGCAAAAACCACTTCTTATACCAAGAAGGAATGAAATGCTACCATGTTTACGTAAGAAGGTAATTTCATTTTCTTTAATTAGTTTCATCATGACGTTTTCGTTCACCGTATTTTATACTTTGCAATTTTAGGAGTGCGAAATAAGAAAGTAGGTAGTTACATAATAATATAACATTCAAAGTCGGAAGGGTATCTACTTCTAGGTTTTTTACCATTTTTTTACCCACATTAGCTTTAAAAATGGGATACAGATACAGGTAATTATGGGTTATTATAAGGGTTGATGCTTGTTTGTGCGTCGAGATATCCAATCTGTTTCTTTATAAAATTTTCTTTCCATTCCTGATCCTGGACGTACTGTAACTTGCGAGGTCTTCTCTTCTTTGTGAAGTTTCCATTAACTGAGTCTGGGCATTATTTCAGACTCCGACTAATATTAAGAATCGCAAAAAATGTTAAATACAGCAACACAATTGCCACATTGCTAAACAAAGGAATCAAGCGAAGTTGAAGAATCAAGAAATAGTCAAATCTAACTTCAAATACCACAAATTCGACTACATTTTTCAGTTCACTATTGTAACTATAGTCTTTGGACTACTTCCTATTTTTGTGAAAGTGGAAGGGAAGTGTCAACTGTCATGCTCAATCAATCAATGTCATTTCGTTGTCAGTTGTGTATTTTGGATACAAAATAATTTGAGGTTGTTTTTTCTTTATTTATTTATATAAAAGTACTTTATCTATACAAAATATGTCTTCAAACCCGATATGGTTAAAAGTTTTCACAATATACGTGCCCTAATTGTTTAACTTTGGAGAAACTTCAAGTCATTTACCTACAATGGACAACGTAACAGAAAAATTGTTTCAGTGTTTTGGTCATCGAAAGTTCAAAAGTGAACTTCAGGAACGTGCAATCAGAGCAATTGCAAGAGGTAACATATATAAGCTTAGATATATGAGATCAAAAGCTTACTTATTAAGATTAAAAACAGCGAAAATTATTTAAACGCAATGTGTTTTATTCTTTATGAATTCTGCGCACACTGAGCTACCAAAATAGCTAACAGATCCAGAATAGGTATACCTTCATAATATACATTTTAGAATAGTTTTATCATAGTTTTAATTTGATTTCAGGAGTACATGATGTATATGTTTCAATGCCTACAGGCTCTGGAAAGTCTCTGTGCTTCCAGTTGCCTGCAATGTTGCAGGACAATAAAGTGGCGATTGTATTCTCCCCACTGTTGGCTCTTATCAAAGATCAAATTGATCACCTCTCTAAAATAAAAATTAATGCTGAATCTATCAACTCTAAAATGACATCAAAAGATAGAGAGAGAGTTCTTAATGATTTAAGAAGTATGAAACCAAACACTAGATTTTTGTATGTAACACCTGAACAGGCTGCTACAGGTACATTTAAATCTCTCATGGAGCATCTTGTGAAATATAAAAAGCTGTCATATGTTGTTGTTGATGAAGCTCATTGTGTCAGTGAATGGGGTCATGACTTTAGACCTGATTATTTAAAGTTAGGTAATCTTCGAGAACAATATAAAAGTGTACCATGGGTTGCCCTTACAGCTACTGCAAGTGCTGAAGTGGCAAAGGATATATTATCTAATCTCAAGCTGTTATTACCTGTGGCACAATATAAAACACCGAGTTTCAGAAGAAATTTATTCTATGATGTGATTTATCAAAACTGTATAGATGATGAAGTGGGCCACCTAACAGAATTTTTGAAAAAAAGTTTGAAAGAAGACGAAAATGTCAAACCTGTAAGAATATAAATGTATTTTGCAGTTGAATAGCCTATTATTGTAATTATTAATTGTTCTATTTTTTATTTACAGAAAGATAAAAATGCTGCAATAGTTTATTGTCGAACTCGAGAACAAACTGAAGATTTAGCCAATATGTTGAGTAAAAGAGGTTTAATGTGTTTAGCTTATCATGGAGGTAAGCAATTTAAATCTTAATATCTTCTTAACTCGTCGAGTACCATATTTATAGACACAATTAAAGAACAATAGGTTGCGGTCACCGGTGACCGCTTGGTGTTTGACAGTTTAATATACAAAAAGAACAATATTAATTCTGCTACCTACATTTAAAAATTGTTTGGTAGCCTAGCCTTGTGCGCACGGGAGGCCGCACCAGGCGGCGGCCGATTTAATGGCGACAGCAGTTGCGTCAGTCGTTGAAAGAATCCGGCAGTTGGGACTCGAGGTGGCGCTCCACAAGTCCGAGGCCATGTGCTTTCATGGCCGCTACAACGCGCCACCTCCGGGCGTGAGAGGCCGCTGTTATTTGGGACTCACCCGGAGGTGGCGCCATCGGTGTCCAGACGACGATGAAGTACTTAGGACTCATCCTCGACAGTCGATGGAACTACGTGGAGCACTTCCGACGTTTGGGTCCTAAGTTGAAGAGGACGGGGGCGGCGCTTAACCCTTCGAGCGTCCTTATGAGCACCCGGTGGATCATAAGAAACAATGCTCCATGCTGCTTTCTGTTTTATAAAATCTATTATTAATGTTTTGTTTTTATTTTGACTGTATTTGTTTTATTTCTATTGTAATGATCCTTGTTTTCGTGTGCCAATTGCCAAATAAATGCATTTTCTTGAATGCATAAGGATAAGGAAATGCATAAGGAACGCGGACGCTCGACGGGTTAAAGGCCTCTTACCCAACCTCGGGGGGCCAAACGCCTTCTAGCCGGATGTTATACGCCGGGGTCGTGCTGTCCATGGCCCTCTACGGCGTCCCTGTGTGGGCGCCGAACCTGATGCGGCGGCCCGGTCGGGCGCTGCTCACGTCACAGAGGGTCATGACGATCCGAATGATCCGCACGATCTCCCGGGAGGCGGCGAACCTCTTTGCTGTATTACCGCTGTTGGATCTGGAGGCGAAGGTGCCCGCGCGAGTATTTTCTCTGCGCGCGGAGGCACGGCGCCGGGGCGAAACTCCGCTGCCGCACCAGATAAATGCTTGGCGGGAAGAGCTCCGGCGCGATGTCATGACGGAAAGGCAACAACGACTGTCGCAACTGAGGGCTGGGCTCGCTGCCATCGCAGCGGTAAGTCCCCTCTTTGAGGAAGAGCTTGAGAGACGCTACGCCGTCCTCACCTACCGCCTGACGCAGTTCCTCACCGGACATGGAAGTTTCGGGAGGTACCTGTGTCTAGAGGAAACGTCCTCACTGCGAGGGCTGCCCTGAGGACACGGTGGAACACACTGTAGCGGAATGCCCTGCGTGGGCTGAGCACCGCCATCCCTTCAAAGACGTGATCGGCGATGTCAACCACTCGCGTCCGGCCCTAGTGCGGGTCATAATGTGGTGCGAGGGGGACTGGTTCCGCGCGCGCCTCAGAGCCATCAGACCATCACGGATGGGGCCCAATAGGGCTGATGCCGAAAAAAAGAAAAAAAAAAACCTTATATTATTCTAAACATGTGGTCTGAAAATTCTAGGTATGAAATCGTCAGAACGTATATCAGTTCAAGAAAAATGGTCACAAGGCGAAGTACCTTGTGTGTGTGCAACGGTGTCATTCGGCATGGGAGTGGATAAAGCGAGCGTGCGCGCCGTGGCCCACTGGGGTATCGCCCAAAATGTCGCCGCGTATTATCAAGTTAGAAACATTTGAATGATTTTATACTGTTCAAACTTCTTACTGCAAAACTAAAATTGTTAAAGAATATTTTTTATGTCTTGTTATAAATAACAGGAATCTGGTAGAGCTGGTCGAGACGGCAAGCCAGCTTTTTGCCGTATTTACTACTGCCGCAGTGAACGCAATGCTGTTGATTTCTTACTTAAAAGTGAAGTAGGACGCTCTAAAACACCTGAGCAAAAAAATAGATGTAAGGTCGCCTACAAGAGCTTTGAAATTATGGTGAAATATTGCGAAGATATCAAGTAAGTTAATATATTTAGTGACTTTTATAAATAGAAAATTGTATACACTTTATTTTCTATATTACTTGATGACAGGTGTCGTCATAAAGTTTTTGCTGAGTATTTCGGTGAGGAGATTCCGAAGTGTGGCGGGCGGTGTGACGTCTGCAGCGACGAGCGCAGCGTGCGGCGCGCTCTGGACCAGCACCAGCGCCGCGCCTCCTCTGCACAACTACGCTCCGGCGGACTCGTTGTTAACCAGGACGTTTCAGACCTCTACGGGGAGGGCCGAATAGGACAGAAAAAGTTATTATCTTTTTATTACTATTTCATAAAAATATCGTGGCCAATTTGTAATAATAATCCCTCAGTAATTAACTTTTGTTTTGTTACTAAAATATTTATAATAATGATTTTTTAACCGACTTCCCAAAAAGGAGGAGCTTATCATTACTATATTATTGAATAAAACATATTTTATCTTGCTTGCATTTTAGGGAAGTTGAGTCATATTACGGAGGAGACAGTGGCGATTCCGATGGTGAAAGTAACCGTCGTAGAATTGCGCAAGAAACGAAATCTCTCATAATGCAAGAATTTGCCAATAGAAAAAAGCGAACTGAAGATAAAAAATCTAGTGATGATGCCGAATCTGCCAAACATTCGAAATGCAAAGCTGCTGCAAGTACACCCAATAAAGTAAGTACGGAATGGAATAAGTAAAACCTCATTTGTTTTTTACTACTTAAAAATAGTATTTTAGGACTTTGTGTTGTCATTTGACATTTAATATTTTTTACATGGCTTCTCATAAATACGTCATTATAATCAATCAACTTAGAGTTACAATTATTAAATTTAATATCCTATCTAGGTATTCACTGCATTATTAATTGTAAAATAATATTTGTTTTAGGTTAATGGTTTAACAGTAGCGAGCCGTGATGGTTATCTCGTATTACTTACCGATGCCTTAAATAACAATTTTCATAGCACTAAGGACATTGATCATTTTGATAAGCCCCTTTCCAAAAACGACATAGAGCAGTGCGCCGTAGAACTGGAGTACGAAGCATTCTCGTGTAGCACAGTCATAAGTTTGTACAGGCGAGCGATGTCCAAGTTGGTGAGAAATTCATTCTAAAAATCCTTAATTCAGCTTCCACATGCAACTCTAACAATACCATAATCACTTTTTTCAGATATCTTCTGTAAAAGCATGTAAAGACCATATCTATCCACAGTTAAAAGAGTTTGAACCGAAAAAAAATAACACACTAAAGGAATTTGTTAAAGAATATGAGCAACAGAGAGCCAAGAACGGTTTTATTACTGCATCACAATTAGGTAAGTTTTTGCATTCCAAACAAATTACATGTAGTAGCTTAACACAAGTGGCTTCGGTAAATATTTAAGTGTATCACTGTTTTAACACATTTACTTCTTTTTTAAGATCTGGACAATAAAAAAGAAACTCAGTTATCTAAATCCGATAAAGAGACAAAAAGAAAAGCAAACTCTTTTAAAAAGGACCTCATGACACAGACAAAATTAAAAAGCTTTTTTGTTAAATCATCAAAGCCATCTTCTAATAATAGTCCTAATGAAAGTGATGATGAGGCGAAGGGTCTCGTTATTGATGAATATGGAGACAGAAGAAACAGTGAAATCAACGAATCTAACATAAACAATAATGATACTACACTTAAGTTAAAAGAAATCAATGATGAAGTTGTACACACTGATGACAATCAAACAATAGGTAACCAAGTAGAACAAGTAGACGTTGACAAAAACTCATCCGATCATGAATCTGATACATTCGTGATTAATATTACATTAAAAGGTATACCAAAAACAAATAAAGAAAATGGTAAAGAGAATGAAAAGAACGAACAAGATATTACTAAAAAATATGAAAAAGTAAAAAATGAACCTAAAGTGCCAATTAAAGCTAATCATAAGTTAAACAAAGGTAAATCTCCATCAAAAAGAAAAATTAAAGCATTGTTTGGGGAATCTTCCGATAGCGATAGTGAAACCAAACCATCTAAAAAAATTAAGACAAGACATGGTAAAAGTGATCATATAAAAAAACAGTCTACGAAAAACAGTGTCAAGGAATCAAACAATCAAGTTTTAAGAACAAATGAGACTTCTGTGCAACCTACGTCCTTATTTGGTCAATCAGATGATGAATCTGAAAAAGAATTAGTGATCGACGATGGCACTGATTATAACATTAACAAAAGTGCAGAAGAAACTTTGATACTTAGCAATGTTAAAGATGACAACGATGAGACGAGAAGCAATCATGAATCGGCTAATGATGAAAACAAATCCAACAGTTCTGGAGGGTCGCTTCAAGTCGATAGTGAAGATATGAACTTAAATAAAGCTCGTAAACTAAGTCTAGAAGCAGACGCAATAATGCAAAAACTATTGGAGTTCAAAGATCTGCCACCTGAACCTGAACACCCTGAAAATAACTCAAATGTTGAGAAAGACCAATTAGAAGAAAAATTACTATTGTCTTCTGCACCACCTAAAAGTAAGGGAAAGTATGAATCTAAACACAAACTTAGCTTAAGTAAAAAAATTAAAATTGATCGAAAGACGAAGGACAGGACAAGAGAAAAACACAAAAACGAGAAATCACACCATAAAGAAAGCAAACACAAGATCAAAAGTGATGTGACTAAAGATAACCAAACTACTACAAAAAAGGCTGAAAAAGTGGATCTTGCCAGTCTTGTGGTTAAACTGCTTATGCCATACTATAAGAAGAAAAAAATAGCAGTCGTGACCTATTTAAGACTACTGCGCGACATATTGTTCATCAATTGCTGGCAATACAAGTAACAGGTGAGTGATAACATTTTATTACAATTCTACGTTTAAAGTTTTAAAACTGAGACCAAAGTCTAACGACAAAAAAGTTTGATAAAAATACTATATTCATGTTTAATGACTCAAAAAACGTATTATTTTTATTTCAGAAGAAGCAGCTATTGATGTGTTGTTAAAGAAAGCTTTTGGGAAAGAGTTTAAAATAGAAAACGAAGGTGACTTAGAAGTTAAGTTAAATTTGAACAATGTTGTATAATTTAATAATTTATTAAGTTTGAAATTCTTACAATAACATTGTTATTCTTGTACACATGCATAATTAATTTAAAATAAATGCTCATATTGCGTGTTTTTAATTGAGTTTTATATTTTCTGCGAAAGCTTTTGTCATCAACTTCTTACACGTAAATTTCGTACGGAAGGTATGTTACGAACGTAAGCGTATATTCTCTGCAAAATTAGCAGAGTACACCAGCCATAATTCTTAATTAATGGGCAGAGACAAGTCGCTGTGACTAAACTTGTTCTGGGTATTTCATAATACATATTCCATTGACTACAATCGACCCCATGATACCTACATGTGGTCGACCTGCTTGGGCAGACCCAATAAGGCCTTCATTACAATATTATTACAATTTCTATTTATTTCCTGTAAAAGCTATGCTTCTTGTAATACTCTTGATTTATTCGCGTAGTTGGGAAACCAAATAAGCAATATATTTAACTAGTGCATAGTTAGAGGATTTAAATAAAACAAGTATAAAGTTAGTTAGTATTATATTGTTTAATACTTACAATCTACCTTACTACAATAAATATGGAATGACTGATGATGATTAATTATGATTATACTAAATTACGAATGACTAGAAAAAATCTAGATCTATGAACATACAAACTCACTTTATCAACATTATAATATTAATAAATTCAGGATTTATGATTTAAAGTAAAATCTAATAAATGTTATAAATAATTTTGATCTTTACATGACGTACAGGTATATCAAAATCCAAAATATCAAGAATATTTTTAGATAAACATCACATTGATTAAATATCACAATTGTATACATAATATCCTATTTGATTAATAATTTTGAGCTTAGCTAAACATTAAGATATGAAAATACTTTGAAATGAAAAAGAAGTAGCTAAAGTGTTTTGAGCTCTAAAAGAGAGATTTAATATCTTCATTAGTACTTAATATTTTTTCATAAGAGTACTTCGACGACACATTGCCATTAAAAATCATCAGGAGCGACTCCTTGTGAAAAATGTATAGCAATTATTTTCTGTATTGAGCCAGTACTCGACCAGTAAATGTAATCTAACTTTTGTCCATTTAATACTTGATTTTTTAAGTTATCATTATAATGGCAAGAGTTCTCGAATGGTATTGTGCTCGCACTCGACTCCACTGCGCATAAAAGGCAATAATAGGTATGAACTTACAAATCCTACAATTTTTCAATTCGCAGGCGCAATGTGGTGTAACGAAATAGCGTAGGTAGGTGCGTACCTACCCAATCAATGCACTTATCTACACAAACTTATTTTTCACAACTTTCCACTATTTCTCATTACATTATTGGGATTTTTTTTGTGATATCGCTTAATACTTAGGTACTAGTTTTACTTATATTAGGTATATGTTTCAATCATCCGTACAGCATTGAAGTTCAAGATGTAACAAAACATTTAAGTTTATTTTGTAGTGCATCTACAAAAAGCTGTGCTTTGATTATTTTGAATTACGATACTACTATAAATCTACAGTGAATTAATAACGATGTCACTCGATCCCGGTGGCTGAGCTGATTGGCAGGAGATACAAGTTATCTTGAAGAAGCACTGTGGTCTGGTACTGGATAAAAGTAGTCAACACATCTATTTATAGAGTCGAGCCCGTGGTCGAGCCCTGTAGGTGAACCTTTTGGTAGCCTTTGGGGCTCCGGAGGGAGGCTGAAATAAACAATCCAATTTTAGGCTGCTGCTACCTTCACATAATTTATTCTTTGCAAACCTGTGGCAAATTCAGGTAAATGTGTAATTATGAATATATTTAGATATTTAGGGTATTTAAAATCATGAATAAGAAAGTATAATTTTCAATCACGCATCGATGGCCCAAATCAACACTCAAATAGAACATCATTTAATCTTAGTACATATCATATAATTTTAATTTAACATCAATTAATCATAATACCTAGTTATTATGATTAATTTACAAACTGCTCATGGGTTATTAGGTGTATATGTATAGTTTAAGTTATCATAAATAAAATAAAACAAGCACATTCTGAAAATCCAACTGAAAAATAATAAAAATTTTTCTTTTTCAATTTACTCATACACAGCGCAACTGAAGAAAAGTGGGTGTAACATTGAAATATTGAATATCCACTTCTGCCTAGGACTCAAGCAAATATATATTATGTTATCTACTAACTAAATATATTATCAACGACCCCTCAAGAGATGTAATAGGTATCTCAAAAAATAACCAATTATAGGAAAAATCTTTAAAACTTCTTAATCACATAACATAACATCACGCCTTTTTATCCCCGAAGGGTAGGCAGAGGCGAACATTTCGGCAAATGCCACTGTACAATGTAACACCACTTTTCACGATTTATGTTATGAGTCCAATGTAATATGGGGTGAACCTATTGCCATATACCGGGCACATTACCAGACTTCGTGCTACTACTGCGATTTTTAAAAACCCATTAATACTTTGCCCGACCCTGGAATCAAACCCGAGTATCCTTACACGGCAGTCGCACTTGCGACCACTCGGCCAACTAGGCAGTCGTTGCCACAGGGCAACTTCTAAATCAAGATACAGATAATTTATATGAATCAAAAAGGATCATCTCAAATGACTTGGAAGTTTACAAAAGGTTAAATGACTTACGTACATACATACACTTTTTAGTGTCTACATGCAGGGATTACCTTAGTTTTTGGTTAAATATAGGCGTAAAAATAAAAGATAACTGAGTCAGTACTTTAATTTTTTATTATAAAAAAATATTACATTTGATTTATTATTAATATTAATAGGTACTAATTATCTTCAACAAACAACAACGCACCAAAATAAGAAGCAACACTGCGAGCTGAATAAAATTATTATTATTATATTTGATTAATTTACAACTACAGTGCACTTTTAGTAAGCAAGCTCATTCTCGAAAGTCGTTGTCTTCTGTATCTAACAATAAGAGTAAATATCACAGTTACTTATACGGACGGGATCTCACTTGGTAGATGCGCCGCGATAGACTTGGGCCTCATTCATCTCAGTCGTGGTATAGGCACAACACACTTGCAAATATTGACCTTTAGAATCTTTTTCGAAAAGTATCTCAGGGTCCCTCAGGTTACGTTATTTACAAATAGGTTATTATCATTATGATGACACAGGAATAAAATACGATCCTCAAAATGTTTATTTCCGACTGAGTTTCACTCAATAGTCGTGCACACAAAATTTGTGTGAAGAAATTGCTCAAGAAAAACCCTGTCAACAGTTGAAAAACTAAAAATTCACGGGCTTTGAATATCTTTACTTGAGTTTTATAAACTACTATACATCCAAGTCCATCTGATTGAAATATTCTATCCTACGAATGATTGGACCTATATTTTACTTCAGCAGAGTCCTTCCTCTCATTTTCAGCAACCTTGTATTTAGCGGCTTAAGGCCTTGGCAGTAACGCGAAGCAGATTGTTTAATAATACATCATAGATTTGCTTCACCTCACTTTCGTAGACTTAAGATTTTCTTCTCCGAATTGTTGTTGCTTGTACGCATTCCAATTAATATAATATCTACACCGGCTTGTCTCTTTCAGCCTTTCCACCTACCTTGATGATTTTCACAAACACAAACAAATAAATGTGCGTGTGGATTGAGAGAACTTTTCGAAAAACTCTTCCAATATCAACCAAATTATAAGAGCATTTAGGAAATAATTGTGAAAACTTCATAATACTTACCTACAAAACATAACGAGTAAATTAGAAATTTATTTAGTTCAATCGTTTGATAACAAAAATATACTAGGTATATCTAAATAGGGAATTTGTTGTATCAACAATATTAAATCTATCAACTGTATCCGCGTCCACGCAGTCTATGCGTATTCCACACAACTTAATTCTTAGCTTAAAATAATATAGTTCACTCTGGCCACCCTAGCCCGCCACTATTTTTTTCTTTAATTTGGTTATTAGCTTACTAAGCGTTATTTAATTTTAGTCAGTTATTTTGCAATGCCTTGATTCGTAGAATATTTTATTTTGAATCCCTTATTTGGAGACATGTGTTCATTGTATTGTATAATGTAATCAATAGGTGTCGAAAGTTTTTAGCAACATCTGTGGTTCCTTCAAATCCCTTTTAAGCCATTAGCATAGTATACCAATTAAAACGCTGTTTGTAATTTGATCGAGCTGAAACCAAATAAATTACCTTGCAAGCAAGGAATGGTACTTAAAATTCTTTATTTAGTCCCTGGAAGTTGAGTAACAAGTAGAGTGTGTACGGGTCAATGCCCGCACAGTGTAACTTGTGTCTGATTTCGCTAAACTAATCATAAATTGTTAAAATGCAGCGCGTGCATTGTACGGTGCCATCTTTCACTTTCGTTTTAATATAGTCATTAATCAGTTCATAAATTTAACAATGAACATTATGTATATTGTAGTGGCACAGGTGAAACACTTATGTTATAGCTTTACTTGAACGCGAAGATTCGTTTGCGATAAAACTTCGTGTTCTATTAAATGCGTTTGTATTCGCGAATATGATTCGTGACAGGACGAATTCTTTGGCCAGACGATATTGTAACGGATAGTATAGCGGCAGCACTAGACGCGCAGCGCACGCTTGCGCGGCGAGTGCGCGGTGCGCGGCGGGCGCGCGCGGCGGCGCGACGAGCGCGGCGTGTCGGGCTCGGGCGGCGCGCTGCGCGTTACCAGGTTGCGCACGTTGCCCAGCCGGGGCTCCATGCCGATGGACTCCTGGAACCACTTTACTTGCTTCATCAGCTCACTGTCGTCTTCGAGCACCTCCTCGATCTGTTTATGAAAACCAAATATTTATAACGTGTTTACAAGTTGTGTGTGTATTTACAAGTGTGTATTTACAAGTGACGAACATGTATGTTCCGAGTTGTAAAAAATTATAATACTTACCTCAGATTCATAGTCTTTTACGAGATCAGTAGATAGTTGTAAAAGATATGTTGTTAATTGGCCTCCGCGCGGTTTCATACGTGAGTATAACTTTATCACTGCAGGCACTAATACCTCTGCGACTGTCATCTTCATTTTCTGTAACATTTCAATTAATGTTTAGTATTTAATCTTAATACTGGTAGGTACTAAGCACAACCTAAACTAACCCGAGACACGATGTTAGTAGTAACTCTTTCCTGTAACTCCTCTAAGTTATTGCTAGCTTTTTGTGGCTTTTCTGTAAAGAAATAAATAATTTAGAAATAATTGTAAAATGCGTCATTTTTCTTTATTTAGCTTCTTTAATACTGAAATATTTACTGGGCAGTTTCAGCCTGGGTCCGCAGAGCAGTGTTGTAGTATCAAGAAGAGCTGCATTCATTGCGGGAGACAGTTCATCGTCTTCATCCATGAGGTCCACGGCATGTTCCAATACATCGCGCGCCAGCCGACATTGGATGTTAAGTCTCTGTACCATGGACAAACGCTGCAGCATCACGTCATAGATCAGCTGACGGGAGTCAAAATTGATACCATCTGCGAAATAATTTACTTTGTTTCAATTACAATTGTTTAGAGTATATATACAATACAATAATGTGATAACAAGGAAAACAGTTTTCCTTACATTTGATTATACTAACGTACCCTAGAAACATAGTAAAACAATGACAGTGTTGTAAACCGCAAATACACCGTGAATCTCAAAACTAAGTCACTCGCTTTATGTAAAAAGTATAATGACCATTTAGCTTCGCTATACAAGGTGTTTAGAAGTTCGATCGGTGTTGCCATCGACTTTCCAACACCCTATATTTGCCAGTTTTTTTGTACCTTTGTCATCGTGGTTGTAATGTAGGAGGCAATCAACAAAGTGATGGTAAATGGTGTCGGCAGTAAGGCCACAGGACACGTAGTACTCGGCTGGTTCACGTACGTCATCGTCTGCGTCCGCTAACAAAGCGCAATATCTAAAAACAATTACGTGAATAAATTTCAAAAATTGATTTCGACATCACTCTTGCACCAATTTTGTTATTTTTAAGTGTAATTTACATGCATATATTATCCGCTTACATACATAATGCATGATAAGTAGTTGAACAAATAATGACATAGAGAAGGATAAATATTTGCAGAGGTCACTGACTCAGACAAAATGTATTATGAAGATATTTTCATGTTTAATGTTGACATTTGAACGTCTAGTTTAAACATTTAAATATTCTAGTTTGAATAATATTTCTTTGCATACGCATTAAAAAATATGAATAAGTCACTGACCCAGAAACTCTTAGCTCAAATGATTAGCACCATCTATCGAAATGCTATTCATTCAGGTTATTACAAAATTATGATGAGCCCAAACATGATACTGCTGTTTAAAGCCGATAGTATTTGGTTATTCATCACTAAAAGGCACTGATGTTAATAACATCAAACTAAATATTTAAAGATGAAAATGTTCAAAATGTGCCAGCGTCAGTCAGTCCTCTAGTAAGCCATTTGTTTGTTCTAAAGCGTAGATTTCTATAGAGAAGAACGAGCAAGCAACTACATGGTTACTTTTCGCAATATATTTCAAATTTAATTTTTGGTTACATTATTTAGTTCAATTATGTGAGAACAATATGACACCAATATTCAGCTAAGGCAATAGACAAAGAAGACGACCTTATGGCCTGGCCAATAAATTAATACAGGCAAGAGACGAAAGCATTAGGAGGATAAGAAAGTGTGGGAGAGCCATGCTTCGGCACGAATGGGCCGGAGTGATACCACGGCCTGACAGAAAACCGACGTAAAACAACGCTGAGTTGTGTTTTGTCGTTTGAGTGAGGTTACCGGAGGCCCAATAACCTCCCCCCACTCTTCCTCAATCCTTTTCCAATCCCAAATGTCCGGTAACGCACTTGCAACGCCTCTGGTGTTCCAGGTGTCCATGGGCGACGCCGATTGATTACCACCAGGTGATCCGTCTGCTCGTTTACCGGCTAATACCATAATAAAAAAAACTAAGGCCATCAGACTTGTAAAAGTTGCCTCACAATACATCGGTGTGAAATAACGTTTGTCTTACAGTCTGCGTAAGGTTTCCGGAGGTTTAATCTTACTCAAATATCTAATCTCCAAACCAATCCCTAAAAGACCGGCAACGTACTAGTCACTCTTATGGTGTTGCGGATGTCCGTGAGCGTCACCGATGCTAACCATGAGGTGGTTCGTTTGTTTATTTGCCGTTGTGCAATGGACCTATATTACGTAATTAAGTCGAACTCACCTATAGTATAAAGGTGTACGGAGACGTAAATATTCGCCCAATAAAAGGCGAGTAAGTTCACGAGCTGCTCGCCGACGTAACTGCACTGGTGACTCCTTGGATAGGCAATCACACATAGTACCAAGTAGTGGCTCTACTATACACGTGTACCTGAATTATGGGGTATAATATATTAAAATTTGAATATAGGTGAAGTTTTTGGGACTATAGTATGGTATCTATCGAGGCGTGGTGTACCTGGCGCATATATCGCTGAGCGCGACGAGCGCGTTGACGCGCACGGGCAGCGACTGGTCGTGGGCCGCCAGCAGCGCCGCGAAGGTGGGCGCGGCCGCCGCCGCCGCCGCGCGCGACCGCACGCACAGCCGCGCCGCGCCCGCCACGCACGCGCCGCACTCTGCGCCACGTGCACTCACTTACATACCGCTAACTCGCGTACGCATACATCATCATGTTAAGTATTATTAATCAAAAAATCCAATGTTACCAGGAAGTGCATCGTTGATAGCCTGGAGAAAGACTTGCAGTAGTCCCGGCGAAGGTGGTATGGGCGCCACCAGGGACAAGTCAGCCGCACGGAGCGCTTCATTTACATCACAGTCCAACATAGCGCGTTGTTCCGCTGTATAGATTAAGTTTTAATTTCGTAGCTGACAGGCACTAAATCTTTCCTACTCTGATTACTGACAACGATAGTCACAGATTTTTAAAGATAAACATTTAGACTATTTTCTATATCTTTTTTTATATTATTTTGCAAATTACCCTGAGTAACCAGCGTGGTTGATATGGCCATGGCTGGCTTAGGTCAATATAGTAAATAACTGCAATATTAAAAACCTAATTTATATCAGTAGAGTGATAATACTTACACATCTGCATCATTTCTGCGGCCCATATCAAGTTATCAGGATCTAAATGAGCCGCCAACTGTGCGCGCAATATTCGGCATCCTAGAACAATCATTTTTGTTTGTATTTTAATATAGTCCGGTCACGATAAACATTCCACCGCATTTTTGTCTATTTTGACCGAGTTAGCCAAAGCAGGGTTAAAGGGTATTACAAGTTTTGGTATTAGATGTGTGGCAATAGCTTTCTTACATGGAATTATGTTATGATATGTAAACCTCTGCTAGATAAATGAGGTACGGTTTACGTTAGGTCATAATTGATGTAGTTAGGTGGTTACCATCGTCTTGGCTTCAACAAGACGGCGCACGATGTGATGACGTAGCGAGGTGCGATCTTCAGGCGGCAGAAACCGAGACCATAAGTTTAACAGTTCCAGAGTCTGTGACATCAGTCGCACGTCTTGGACCTAGATAATAATATCCACAGTATTAGTAGAGACATATTTGGAATTACAATCCAATTGAATAATTAAAAAATGATTACCTCGTCCATACCAATCAGTCTGTAATAGTAATCCAGTACAAAACCAACGTCTGAGTAATCCACGTGTCGTGCCAAACTTGTCAAAAGTACCAAACACTGCAAGTCACGTTCGTTGTTCACTGCAGACAAGTGTGTGCTCAATATGTCCACTAGACGATGGCTATCAAACAAAAAATATTAATTAATAATGAAACACTTAATTTCAAAAAGAAATTAATGGAAATGGGAAATTATATTGCCACCGCTATACAGGTGACGTCAATACGAGAAAGATTAATAACTAGAATAATTATTTTATACTAAGGTAGATACTAAAATACGTCACTACTTCCTATTACAAATTACAATACTCATATATTTTTTTATTTCGTCCCTGCTTGAAGCAGGTGAGATATTAATAAATTCTAAAGATGGCATCATCAAATAGCAATCTACAAGCGAAATGATTACGTAAATGTTATGAAAGACGTATATAGAGTGCAGATCTTTTTAATAATCACCTGCTGACGACACTTTTCATTTCTTACGGTAATTTCAATCATCAGCTTTTCGTAAATTATTTCACACACAACGCCTGTGGAAATGTAACTATTTATAAGAAAAAACAAAAAACAGTTTATTCACTGTAATTATACAGATCTGACTAAAAAATCAACCAAGTTATTGCACTGTATTGCGATTTCCAGATTACTTGACATCTAAGAAAAATATTGTTCAGTATTACTATAAAAAAAAAATAAAGTGAACGTCATAGAAATATTTCTCTTCGAGTATTTCTAAGGAGATAGCAGATGTGTGTAAAATGTTTTCTAGTGTAGTAAAAAATATAATTTAATTTGTTCCTTACTTGAGGCACTTCCTAAACTTAGAAAGCAGAACACAGACTTTTTGCAAGTGCATCTTCATTTTATGTTTCACCATTCCTGCGAGGATCAACCAAGGCAATGGATCGCATCCTGACGTGTTAAACTTTTTGAGTCTATCAATTAGAACGTTTTCGATAAGAATCAACACCTGTTCTTGAACCTGCATTAAAAAGAAAATGTATATATATTTATTTAATAAAAACGTCATCAAGATTAAATACTTATTTTCCAAAACTTAACAATAAAAGGAGATTTTTACAGCTCCATACATTTTTGGGCCTTTTCTGAAAGTGCCGGAGTTTTGAAGCAAGCCGGACATATCTACGATGTATTTATGTCCATCCAGATGGACAACTATTGAGCTTGCCGTACATTCCACTTACTTCATTTACATTGTGCATAGACCATAGGTATACAGGGTGACTTGTAACTCGACGTATTACAACTAATTTCCTACAAAATTAAGCTCTGAGGTCTCTTGTCCGAAACTGGCTAGTTTCTGAGATATTCAACATTTCAGTTTTGGTGAAAAAATCCCGATCGTACTACAAAAACATCAATAAATAAAAATCTACTGGTTTGATTTAGGTGATTTTTTTAATATATTGTCAATACACCAATAAACATTTATTAATAATAATATTCGCAGAAATATGATGAGCCGGCCCATTCGTGCCGAAGCATGACTCTCCCACACTTAAAAGTGCCTAGTTCTAACGATACTTATGCATAATTTTTTTTCGTTGCCCGACACTTTCAGAAAGGCCCAAAAAATGATCTCCTTTGTTCAGCTCTGAGAAATATAGAGTTTTGGGACACTCTGTATTGTATAATAATAGGGTACGGTTTACATTTACATTTATTATTTAACTTTAAATGTTTATAAAATATGAAGTTGTATTCATAAGTCTTTCTCTCTCTCTCTCTCTCTTGTTTTTACCTTAGATTCAGGGTCACTGACTTGGTGCACAGGTCCTGTGAGAAAGGCTTCAATAACTGATTCACTAGGTTTTACTGTCACCAGTTCACCTATAGCATTAATGGCAGCCTGTCTAACTAGTAAACTTGCATCCCGGCACAGATTCACTAATACCTGCAAATCCAAATAATTAACAGTTTCTTTTTATATTGTGGACATCATATTTATCACCATACTTATGTTCTTATTTTCTAAACAAAATGTATTATTTAAACACATACAACACAACAGTGTATAATCTACATACTTGATAAGAAGCTGCTCACAATATTATGACCAAGAATTTTGGAAATTGGTTAACAAATAACGGTTTAATCGGTAAAAACCAAAAAAAAACAATCAGCCGAACATAGTACCTCCTCCTTTTCTTAAAGTCAAAAAATGATGTTTTATTTTCAATGCCTAGTTACAAATCTATTTATCTTAGGTAGTAATTGTAGTAATATTATAAATGTAAAAGTTTGTGAGATTGTGTTTGTGTGAATGTTTTTGGTCAATCACGTCAAAACGGCTGAAGAGGCCGACTTCTTCGACCTGTGCCCGAGCACAGGGGAAGATTATGGTCTGTAATAACACTTTTTTTTTAAAGGGGGGAAAATCATCGAATGACTGCTCCCGCCTGAGTGAGGCCGGAGGGAGTGTCAGACTCTTACTGACTAAAAACCACCCCGTTCCTTCTCCTGCACATCGAGCCGGAGCCCCGGTAACCCATTAGGTTCTCCGCGACTCCGAATCGGCATCGGCCCTGTTGGGCCCCATCTGTGGGTGGAATAACACATAGGTTTCCTTTATCCCACGGGAACGAAAGCGAAGTCGCTGGTAGAAGCTAGTATTAAATATCTTTAACAGACTTCAAAAAGAAAAAAAGGAGGTTCTCAGTTTGACCTGTATGTATGTAGATATGTATGTATGTATGTATGTTTTTGCGCGATTATCTCATGGTTGGCTGAATCGATTTTGATGCCGACAGACTTAATTAATTAACCGACTTCAAAAAATAGAAGGTTGAAGTCGGTTGTTTTAAACGTAGTTTATAAAAGAATAATATTTTTGAAGAGTTTGTTTGAACGCGCTAAACTCCGGAACTACTGGTCCGAATTGAATAATGATTTTTGTATTAGATAGCCCATTTATTGAGGAAGGCTATGGGCTAAAACATCACGATACCCTCAATAAGAGCCGAGCAGAGCGGGTAAAACAGCGCGGGAGTAGCAATATATTATTGTAGGGTAGTAGTATAGGCAGTACTAACGGTGAGGTCTGCGGAGCGCGGCGTGTCGATGGCGGGGTCCAGCAGTAGCTGCAGCATGAGGCCGGCGCCCGCCTTGCGCACCGCCGCGCGCTCGTCGCACACCGCGCGCGCCGCCACCGCCGTCAGGCGCGACACCGAGCCCTCGCCCTGCAGCGTCTGCCGAACAAACATTTACAATAAACAAATTAGCGATCTATTTGAAATATCGATACCAAACTTATGTAACGTAATGATAAAAGAGCCCGCTGCTAGTTTCAACATGTGTTAAATTACCTTGACAGCATCAATTACCGGCTGGAGTTTGCTTTTGAGGCAATCATTTAGGATGACAATTGCGCGCGTGCGCAGAGTGGCTGACTCGTCGTGCACTCGTTCGTACAGGGCTCTAATTATTTCCATGTGCGGAATTATGTGTTTGCGCGCACGTAGGATGTTGATTATATCATTCGGCTCTTCATCTATATTTTGCTACAATTGAGAAAGTAAAGTAATAATTGTATATGTACAAGTAATAATTTGATCTTTTTTGACAATTAAACGCAATAATTAGATATCGTTACTAGATAAATGAAAAGATGAACAAAACATACCATTTCGCCAGATTCTTGGCTGCACTGACTATTATCATCTGTAATAATGAATGTTTCTGATGAGCTTTGTTTACTTTTGTTATTTTTGGCGTGTTGCCCTGTTGCATATGGTGCAGTACTCGTGCTCGGCTGTGGTCCCCCATTAGGATCTTCGGCAACTAAAAATGGTAACATTGAAACATATTGATATACCTAACAGAGGTCAGAACAGTCGGGTAAACATGCTTGGTTTTTAATTTTGATTGCTCCATAAAATATATTTGTATTGGGTAATAGATAATTATATTCAAAAAAAGTACAATACCAGGAGAAATATCAGTAGGGGCAATAGCATCATTATTTTCAGTTGGCTGCTCAGCAGGGGCAGATTCATAATGATCACTTGTTATCATCCTAGCCAATATTTCCTAAAAAAAATTAAGATGAATTAAATTACGCAATAAAACATCTTTTTAACAAAAATAATACATCTTGTTGATACGAACTACAGCTAGCTGGCGATGTGGTAATTTCGAGTTTTTTGACAGTTGCAGTATCCATTTTGTTATTTTTTTATAAGCTGACCGAGGCAAAAACGTCACCATTCCAGCGACCAATTCAGCCCGAATTTCGCGAACATCAGTTTTTTCCTGAAATTTAGGTATACATATTTTATTATTTTAACGTTAAAACTTACCTTACCATTGAGGCAGTGGAAATAATAAGATAATAAAAGAATTAAAAGCTTACACAAAAATATATAGGTATAGCCATTATTTTTATAATGTTTTAACTTAGAGACTTACCAAACCATCTAGAGTGTAGCACAGATGTTCTAAAAGAATTATGTAACTAGACAATGCTGGTTGGGCATACTTTGCCATTGTGATAACTGAGTAAGTCGAATATGCTGGACGAATATGTTGTTTCTGGAATCAATTTATAATTTTAATCTAGGTAATATCTATAGGTAAATATAATAAAACTGTAGAAGTGTAAATTCTGTACATTGAAAATATTAAAAACCAAAACTACTAACAAACAAAAAGTCAAAATTAAAAAGCAAAAAATAACTATTATTAGTACTTACTACCCATTTTATTTAATAATTAGTTGCTTTATTACCTTAAAAGACTACAAGTAACTATACCAACAGAGGCATAGTAGATTAAGGACTGTTAAAACTTAAACAAACCCATAACCTTGTATTATCTGATACAAATCAAATAAATAAATATGAACTTACATTAATACTGCGATTGTCCATGCATGCAGCAATAAGCTTAGGGAGGATGCATTTAAAAAGTATCCTAAGAGCTTGTTCATTGTGATTGGTTTCCGATTTACATAGCAAAACATCTATTATGCTGTAACTGTTTTCAGAAATTTTTGTTGCTAATATCTTATCTGAAATATAAATAATTAACATTATTGCATTATCTGTTACCTAAAATACATAAATCAAGGGTTAGTATGACAGGTATGTGTTATATGTACTTATATTCAACTTTATATAACTTACCAACATGTAATTTTGTAACAAACTTATAAGCCGTAGGTTCAATACAATTACTCAGAATTTCCTCAAAATGCATATCATCTGGTGTTAGTTGTAAATCTTCTATAATTAATTTCAAGTCATCTACTAACTTAATCAAATGATTTAAAACAGAGTTTATTTCTCGAGTTAGTTCCCCTGAAGTATAATTAGTTTCCTCATCACTCATAGTCACTGGAAAGCTGAGGCATGACAGTGATTGAACAAACAGTTGCGAATGATAAATATTGTATGTTTTATATCCTGGTATTCTCAACAGCTTAAAGTAAACTCGAGATACTAGTAATGCATTTAGCCTATATTCTCTGATACGGACATTTTTGCATCCGTAATCTATATAATAGCCTATCAGTGCTAACAGCTTCATATGATCAATTGTTTGACTTAGATATGCCCATGAATTGTCTTCTGTTTCAGCCTCCAGCCACGAATCCAGTGTTGTTATTATATCCATAAAAGTAGTTTCTAATTCTAAAGAATCAATAGCATCCTCATATTCTGGCGGCAAATCAGCAAAATCTAGATATTCACTTTGAGAAACAGCTTTAGCCCAGCCGTAATCCAGGCTCTCTAAGCGCAAACTTTGTAATTTGTTTAAAAGATCCATCGTGTATTATAAATAATTTATTAAATTATCACACTCATCAATATTTTGTTATAGTGTACCATAACAATAACTCATAGCAAACATCACAGACTACAAAGATGCAAGCATGATCGAGTCGAAGCGCTAAACCTCAAACCTGACTGACATTTTTTTGACTGGCTTGCTTGACCATAGACTAGAGAGTACTAGAGACTAGCATTGACACTATTGCACACAGATTTAAAAGGATGCGAAGTAGGTAACCTTAGATGATGGCCAATTCGGCACAACATGGGCACGACACGACTAGGTATTTTGGATGCCGACACAAAATTATTGCCAGAATGACAATAATGTGTGATCTCTTCTGCTTAGGCAAAGAGACATAAGTAAAAAAGAAACAATTATTAATTTACCTATACAGTAGAAACTTGATTATCCAGCTCTCAGTTATATGGATTCGCGATTATCCGGACTACCGACTCATTATATTAAAATTATCTACAAGTCAAATTTATGCAAGCATGAACGTGTCGGAACTAGCACTACCCCGCATGCGCCCTGCGCGATCGCTGCCCCGCGCGATTCGTTATTGTTTTAGTTAGCTAGCTGTTCCTCCGATCTGACTTGTATCTACGTATACGTAAGAGAGAGGTGTTATCGCTTAAAGACAAAATAAATATTATTAATTTATTAAAAAAGGAGATACCGGTCGTAAGTTAGCTGATCAGTAGAGTATGGTGTAGGTACATCCACGATTAGTGATGTACCTACACCATACTGTGAAGAATACTGATTCAATTTTGTTGTACACCTGAAAATTAAATAGTGAAGACGGGAGTAAACATCGGAAAATGATGTAGAAACCGAAAAATATACTTGTACTGTTGTTTGTTGTTTTTAATAAATAACATACATAAGATCCGTAACATCGTATGTACAACATATGTATGCAAAAAAACCCGCTTTTCTTAGTACATTCGATTATCCGAATGCCTAACGACAATAATTAGTCCGGTTAATCGAGTTTCTACTGTATATATACTGTACTGTATATATTTATATTTACCGTCGAGATGGATCTTAAATTCTACCCGTCCGTCCGACATCTTAACGTTATATGTCTATGGAAAATCTCTTGAACTCCTCTTGCTCAACTGCAGAGCCTTTTGGCTGTGGGTGAGTGGGAGTCGGGGTTATGTCTTCTTGCTTTACCTTCGTCCAACCTAGGTACTTTGTTGGACGACACCACATTCCGCGATGTAATTTGTTTAAAAATTGGAGCCATTAAAAATGGATTTAAAAATTGGTGACATAGTGGTACACGCGGGTGTCTGACAAGGCTGCCTCTTATCATTTGCTTCTCTTCTTGGTCGTTCTGGATGGGATCATGCTTCACACTACTGACAATCGGCGCCGCGGCATAGAGTGGGGATTATCCAACTTCTTGGAAGATTTGGATTACGCCAATGACCTATGCCTGCTGAGTCATACCCACGCCGACATGCAAGCAAAATTGGACGACCAAAGAAATTAGAACGGGTGTGAAGAATACTACACCGTTGCTGATTGGCACAGAGGCAGTGGAACGTGTCCACAAATTTTCCTACCTCGGGAGCGTCGTGTCAGAGACTGGAGGTACTAAAGAGGCCATCACTTCAAGGATCGCCAAAGCCCGAGCTACTTTCGCGCAGCTGACACTTGTGTGGCAGTCACGGAAACTGACCCGAAGGATAAAACTGAAGTCTGAGTCTTCGTTAACCGATGCCTGCGTCGCATTCTCGGAATTTACTAGCCCGAGACCATCTCTAACGTAGAGCTTTTGGAGAAATGCCACGAAAGCCCAATCGACTGCCAGATCAAGCGCCGCAAGTGGAGAAAATGCCACGAAAGCCCAATCGACTGCCAGATCAAGCGCCGCAAGTGGGGATGGATAGGGCACATGCTCCGAAGGGATCCTGACCACATACCCAAGCAAGCCTTGGGTTGGAATCCCCAAGGGAAAAGAATGCGTGGCCGTCCTCAGTGAGGTGAAGCGTGAAGCTCAAGACAGATCGCGATGGAGAACTTCAGTGGACGCCCTCTGCCCCATCTAGGGGACACAGGATATTAAGTCAAGTAAGTCAAGCACACAAGCTCAGCGTGTCGAGCCGGTGCTGCCACCACTGCTGCCGAGAACCTCAAACGGCGCAAGTATAATAGCCCGATTTGCAGTTATGCTTTCGAAACGTTGGGTTTTGGAACTTAAGGCCGTGAGGCCCAAGTGCACATCTTCTTTGGATGGAGGATGGTTGGCACTTCAGGTGATGGAAGGGCTGGCTACTACTTTGAGCAAAGGTTCCGCATTGCCATTCAACGTTTCCACACGATAGCGATGAGGTAAATTTTTTTTTGATGCCTTGAGCTTAATGTAAAATTTTCATCATTTTTTTTAAGGTTAATTATTAAGTTATTTAAGTTTAATATCTATTTTATGTATACATATATGTACTAAAATAATTAAAATGTGAAAATAAAATTACATATAAGGAGAAGCCATAGACTTATAATAAATGAGCAGACCAAATATTAATTCCTAGACATTGGCGATACGAAGTTTCTAACTAGCGCCTCTTGTGTCAAAATTGCGAAGCTGTCTAAGGCACTGACAGATTTCGTATATAATTTACGTCACACAAAAATTTATTTATTAAATATATATCAGATTTATGTGGTTTCTTGTATATAAATATTTAATTAAATTTCAAAATTAATCAAATGTTATACTAATTATTCAATTAATATTCGTAACTCACTTCATTACACTCGAATTAAATCCCATATCCTTATCCACTATCACTCCATTATTAAACTCCGAATTCATTTACAATATGTTTATCTGATGCTCGACCACCATAAGATGCACTTATTTCAGTTATTAGGTCAGAAGGAATTATTCCAATATTAAACTTCGCTGTATTGTCCTTTTATATTGAGAGTACGTCAATATTCTACATTTTAAAGATTTACATTTTTCAATCGCAGTCTTAGCACAGTCTAATATTATTCTTGTATTTTTATATTTTTGGAATGATTTCGGTATCAGCCCAAGGAATAACAACTTTGAATACTCTATTTAGCAAGGGGCACATATTGTTAAAATAATTAGAACATGTCTATTGTATACCTATTTATACCAAACAAAACACCAATGGCTTTTAATGACATATTTTGTGCAATTGTTACCATTATCAAAATAATTCTGTCTCTCACAGATAACATTTTCTTGTTCTTGTTGGCCAACTCATTAACACAAGTCATCAATGTTTCTAAAAGTTCAATTGAATGAATACCCGTAAAAGTAAATAAATACATATCACTGCTGAGTAAATCTAAGAGGATTAATTGCTTTACAGCTGATCTTTTCTCTTTCCATACAGGAAGAAAATTTATTTGATTCATAATTTTGTCTTTTGAAAATAAATGAATACTTATTCCCGAATCTCCGCAAGTATTTCATTGAGGAATGCAACAATATTTTGTGTTTCTGGTTTTATTAAGAACAGGTTTCTGTATGTAATCGTTATCCATTTGATTATGTTTAAACTTATTAACCTCAACTCCAAAGCGAAGTGTCGTTCTTAGACAACTTCTTAATTTTGCCGCTATCTCTATCTATCTTTGCATCACCAATAAGTATATGATACCCATCATTCTTTGTCGTTGTTCTGTCAAACACTAACCTAATAATGGCATCTCGTTCTTTTCCCTGTAGCTACACTGCTTCACATATAGACAAATTCTGACATGAAGCCAGTTTTTTCGTGCTGCCATATTGATAAGCTTTTATTTACAACTGTCTCAATCTCGTTTTATAAGAAAATAATAAGTGTATATCATTAAACGTATGTATAAAAAATCTAAAATAAAACGGTGACGTGCAGTGTGTACTGATATGAAAGCAAAAGCTCTAAGAAAATATCTGGAATAACCTTTCATCGTTTAGTTTTATTTACGTTTCAATATAAATTCAACTGTCTTGATGATGTGAAGTGTGATCGTTTATAACGAAGCCTTATCAACTATCACGCCATTTGCTTATAAGTTTACTTAGAATACAATGAAAAAATAATTATTATAAAATTATAGTTCCTAGTTTCGGAATTATATAAATTTCGTAGGATTCTCATACATTTCTGGTACATAATATAAAAATGATAGTCATCATCAACAGCCTATAAATGCCCACTGCTGAGCAAAGCCTCTTCTCACACGGAGAAGGTTAGAGCATTAATCACCACGCTTGCTCAATGCGGGTTGGCGATTTCAAACTTATAATTAGAAATTATAAGTCCAGGTTTCCTCACGATGTTTTTCCTTCACCGTTTGTCAGTGGTGTCTAAATAATCTTAGAAAGTACATATAACTCGGAAAAAGTCACATTGGTACTTGCCGTTTGTAGGTTTCGAACCCGCACCCTCATGCATGGGAAGTGGGCGTCTTAAACCTCCGGGCCACCATTGACTATGAACGAAAATGATAGTGAAAATTGTTATTTATGCGGTATTTATAAATATTGACAATTTATTCCAAAAACACACTTATCTCTACGTACCTTAAAGTGTCCTTTATTTCCAATGCCGACCTTAGTCCGGTCCGGACCCGTTATTTGGCATCACAAATTTTGGCTAATGTTGGTTGGGTGAACTCTATTATACATCTATGGGTATAGGCGGGAGCAGTCATTCGATGATTTTCCCCCATAGTTTTCCCCCCTTAAAAAAAAAAAAATGGGTGAACTGCTGAACATGTGCCAATATGACAACTGACATGTATCTGTCAGTTGTCAAAAAAGGATCCTGACCTGAAATCCTGAACTGAATGAGAATAATCAAATAAAAGGTTATGAATGATAAATGATAATGTTTAACGATTTATTTTAATTGCCTCCATTAATAATGACAACACGAAAACCAATTAACTGGTTTTTGACAGAAAAGGGTCGATCGTTTTCTTTTGCTGTAATTACAGGCACTGGACTTGCATGTACCTTAGCACGTTATGGACCACATACATTTTTCTTGGAGAAGTATAAAAATTTTGTTCATCATTACAGGTCAGTACAGTGTAACTATGCAGAATAAAGTCGATTAATTGTTTTTAAATCTATTATAAAATTATGGTTTTTGTTGTTTTTAATTATTTACAGCAATGGACAGCCAGCACCTCTAGTCAAGGAACTTCATGACCGGTATTCGAAATGTTTGGATATCCTAAATATTTCAGATGTTCAACGTAAATTAATTGTGCCCTTCAGTGTCTTTGGATATGATTTGTTTCACGCTGGTAAGATGCACCATTTTCTACTTTTAGTGAATTGTAGAATTTTGCTAAGTCTTATACCTATCTATAGTCTTATTTTTAGGATACACATTGTAATAAAACTGACATATATAGTTTCAAGAAGGTACTGTACTATACTAGGTACTGTACCAGTACTGATTAATCTCTCTAGATCAAATGCCTAGGGTGATTATGGCATAAGCCGGTAATTGAGCAGACAGGTCACCTGATGGTAAGCAATCGGCGTCGCCCATGGACACCTGGAACACCAGAGGTGTTACCGGCCTTTTGGGGATTAGGAGTTTGAGGATCGTTGGGGATTCAGGAATTGGGGAGATTGGGGAAGGGGAGGGTAATTGGGCCTCCGGTGACCGCAGTTACATGACAAAACACAATGCAAGCATTGCTCCACGTCGGTTTTCTGTGAGGCCGTGGTATCAGTCCGGTAGAGCCGGCCCATTCGTGCCGAAGCATGGCTCTCCCACATTTAAAACTTTTATTGGCAGGTAGCTGATGTACTAAGGAGAAATATAGGCTTCTTTTATTTTGGAAACTGAAACAAAAAAGTTATGTTCTTTTAATATTCTATGCAGAGAAAATCGTGAACAACAGCTAGTAGACAATAATACAAGTGCCAATGATAAAAGCCTACAAGTCAGGGGCTGTCAGTATCAACAGTTTTCATAATTCTGTGTAATCTAGTTATTTAATTTTGAATTAATGTTAAAAATAATTTTCTTGTTGTATTGTGTTGTGTATAACCTTGATTTCTTTAATTCATAGTGGGTACGTATTCAGTCCCTTTTCTTTGGAGTAATTTGTGCAAATGCGATAAGATGAAATAAAACAAATGAACATTATAATTATGAGTCTGTGTCAATACACAACGTCAATACGTTAGGATATTTTGAACAATTTCAGTTCAATTAAAGAACAATAGGTTGCGGTCACCGGTGCGGTGACCACTCGGTGTTTGACAGTTTAATTAGGAATGTGTCCCTATTCTATATTCTATGGAATACTAGAACAAAATACGATAACGGGAGCGAACGAGAACCGCAGTAGACGAAAGTAAAACGCATGCGTTCCGCACTGCGGCGTCCGCCGTCCGCGCCACTGGCGCGCGTTTGCGCTGGGCGTCTACGTTGCCGGCGGCTGGCGCGGGACCTCAGGAGGAGCCCTGCGCGCGCAACGGCTTTTGACCGTGCGGCCGCGCACGTATATTATATCCACTCCTTTAACCGACTTAACGACCGCGCGCTACATAAATAATTTATATGATTTGTACAAAAGAATCTTTTGATATGTACATCATATTTTTTTTTTATTATTTGTGATTAAAGTTATATGGATTAGTTATTAGTATAACTTTAAGTTTATATTATTTGTAAATAAAGATATATTATAATTCTTCAAATTATGAAAAATTCTTTAAATACATTTCGATAAATAAATGTTGTGCACCCCTACTTCTATGAACTTTTTTTTCTAATGCAGGAGTGATTGGATTGTAAATAAGAATATAGATGATAGGATAGGATGATCTACAAGAAGTGTAATGAACTCCTACTCCTTAGTATGTAAATACAAACATATTTTAGGGAACAGAGAGTATAGTTCCCTAAGATCGGAAAAGGAGGATCCTCCGACCAGGCGAGGTGATCGTGCCTGGCGGGCTTTCTGCCCAACAGTTGCTCGTTGGGATTTTCGATCCGTGTTAAATCGAATGTAAACTTCGCATGTGCGATGTAGGATTTTACGACGTCATCCGTTGACTTGTGAAGGATCAATTCAGTTTCACTTGAGTAAAATACAAGTTAGGTAATAATTGGTTTTAATCCGTACAGTTCGATTGCTGAATACAAAGTGTGTCCCTCCATTCGAAGTACATTATAATATTACTTTTGATGTCGGTAGACAGCAAAAGTCAAAAAGCAATAATGTAATTATCACAAATAATGTTACCAGCATTCAACTTAATATTATAAAGCTAACAGCTCGGCCATCCTTTTAAAGTGAGTCCTCTCACTTGATCAATAAACATTCAATAAACAAACATATGGAGAGGGGAGTAAAAATACATTATTAAATCAATTAATTTACACAATATCATGATAATTTTATCAATAACCTAGGATAATACACATTTCATCTATACCATAGAACATAGTATAACCATAGTGAAATCAATGCCGTACATTAAAAATAGACCATTCCATCTATTTTATGTCATAAGTCATTTCATGTCATGTCATGCACAGTCTGTTGTGATCTACGGTTATCTGTGCGATGTCATTTGCATGACACCATTCGCCTTCTGCACTAACCGCTCACAACCTATGCTCAATATCTTAGTCATCTAATTGCACAGTCTGCTATGATCTGCGACCGTCTGTGCGATGATTTACATCACCTTTCGCATCCTGCACCGGAAGCTCATAGCCCATGCACCTACATTTGACGATACTCAGTCTACTATGATCTACAACCATCTATGCAATATCGGTCTCCGATATTAATCACTTCCTGCACTGATTGCTCATAGCCCAAGTATCGCATCAAGTCATCAAGTCTCATTTTCAGTCCATAAATTAGTCAATAACTTAGCAAATCCATTCGTCCTTTACTAATAGAATACTTATTAACAATAACTCATGTTTATCAATTATCTCATGTGATTGATAATTTCAAATTACAATAAGTAATATATGTAATTTTCGTATTTAAGGTTGACTATAATAGTATTATGTAATTATTAATCGTATAAGCACCAATCAAATTATATAATAATCAATTTTTTTTTTTTAAAAATCATAAGTTTATTCATCATCGCTATTTTCATTTTCGCTACCCTCACTGGACATATTTATATAATTTAGCCAGGGGTGTATCTTATCCACTGCTACTATATTTTCATACTTTTTATTACCTCTTCTAGTTATAGGAGTATCTTCAATTAAGAACCTATCATTGTCTAGAATTTTTACTATTCTATATGGGCCATGAAACTTGGATATAAGCTTCTTTGATTTACCTATTTGTCCTCTATCTATTATCGTTCTTTCGACTCTAACTAAGTCACCTATATTATATAACGTAACCTGTTTTCTTTGCCGATCAAATGCTTTCTTTGAATAAGACTGCTGTTTTTCTATTCTACATTTAGCTTCCGTCCTCAACTTTACTAGCTCACTATCACTAACACGATATATAACTTCATTTAACACCTCATTTATTACGTTTTCTGATGGATTTAAAACTTTAAAACCAAATAACAACTCTGAAGGACTTTTCCCCGTCGCTTTGTTCACTGTCGTATTTATGCCTAGTTGAATGTCACCGACGTATTCATCCCAAGTGTTATCGCCCACATCGTGACATTTTGTACTTAAAGCATCTAATATAGTTCTATTATAACGTTCTATTTGTCCGTTCGCTCTTGGGGTAGCGACTGCATTAAGTATGTGTTTAACATTAGTACTCTCCATGTAAGATTTAAATTTTGAACTTGTAAAACAGGAACCCCGATCAGTGATAAGACGTGTTGGAGTACCAAAAGTGCTAAAATTGTCTCTGAAAATTCTTATGGCTGTCGTACTTTTTGTATCCCGTACAGCTTTTATGCTTATAAATTTTGTAAAAGAGTCGATAATCGCAAGAATGTAAGTGTTTCCTCTCTTAGAGCGAACAAATGGTCCTAAATGATCTGCGTGAACCGTATGGAACGGAATATCTGCTTTTGGTATAGGATGAAGCATTCCTTCCTTCGCACCGCCCGGAGCTTTATGATGCGCACATTCAAGGCATGCTGAGACGTACTTTTTAGTAAAGCGTCGCATTTTAGAGAACCAAAAAGTTTCACGTAATCGACTTAGAGTTTTCTCATAGCCAAAATGGCCCACGTTATCGTGGTTCATTCTTAAAATTTGCCACCGGACGGCTCTAGGTACTACCCATTTTATTTTATCACCGACAATCCTATACACGTGATCCCCTTTTAATTTATAGTTTTTACACACGTCTGCTATGTAATTCGTATTTTTGTCTCGTAAAATGTCCCTTATTTTTCCTATTTCCTCGTCACTACTTTGAACCGTAGAAATCCAATCTTTAATATTTACATTTAACACATCGAGTACATGTGTCTCATCATCACCTGTAACGGGTTCATTCACAGGAGCACGACTGAGAGCATCTACATGAGACATCCTAGCTCCAGATCTGTATTCAATATCACAGTCGTACTCCTGGAACTGCACCCACCACCGAGATATCCTCGGTATAAGATCACGCTTGGTTAGTGTAGTGCGAAGCGCATTACAGTCGGTTACGATCTTAAATTTTAATCCCAACAAATAAACACGGAAACGTTTTAGTGAAGCTATCACTGCTAGCGTTTCCAATTCAAAAGAGTGTAAATTTTGTTCATCCTTAGTCGTTTTCCGACTGTAATACGCCACGGACCTAAGCATTCCGTCACTATGTCTTTGCATTAAGATACCCGCAATTCCTAACTTACATGCGTCAGTATGCAATTCCGTTTCAAGTTTCGAATCGTACAAGGCCAAAATAGGGCGTTCTATAAGTTTTTGTTTTAGCGTATTAAAAGCTTTCAACTGTTCTTCGTTCCATTTCCAAGTGAAATTAGATCTGAGAAGATCAGTTAAAGGGCGTGCAATAAGGGCAAAATCTTTTACAAAACGACGGAAGAAACTGGCAAGTCCAATGAAACGTCTTACATCATGTACATTCTTAGGAACAGGGAAACTCGAAACAGCTAACGTCTTACGTGTCCCAGGTCTTATACCTTGACCACTAACTTGAAATCCTAAGAAATCAATCTCTTTATAGAAAAAGTTACATTTATTAAGTTTTAAAGTAAGCCCGGCTTTAGAAAGAAGATTAAGCACTATCTCCAGCCTTTGAAGCCCCTCTTCGAATGATTTAGCAGGAATTAAAATATCATCCATAAATATAACGGCAAAATCAACTTCTGACTTGACCAGTATCTTATTCATAGCCCTTTGGAATACTGACGGAGCATTTGCTAAACCGAACGGCATTCGTTTAAATTGATACTGGCCGTCTGGTGTAACAAAAGCAGTCTTATCTTGGGAACCTTCTTCAATAGGCAATTGATAATAGCCCGATGCACAATCAAGTGAAATAAATAGAGAATTTCCAGCTAACATATCTAGCTGGTCGTCGATCAATGGTAAAGGGTAATGCTCTTTCTTAGTTTTATTATTAAGTGTCCGATAGTCTACACAAAGTCTTTTTTCACCAGTTTTTTTTTTACTAGCAATATTGGACTGGCATATTGAGAACTGGATTCGCTAATAATATCGGCGTCTAGCATTTCTTGTACCATTGATCGCACCAGCTCACGCTCAGGGTATGAGAGTCTATACGGACGGTATACGACTGGCTTAGTGTCATTTAATTCGATTTCCATCTTTACTATGTTAGTGAATCCTAAATCATTTAAATTATTTGAAAAGCATTCCTTGTATTTATTTAATAAGCTTTTCAACTGATTTACCTGATTATCAGTTAAATTCGAGTCGTAATGAAATTCTGAAGAAAAGTTACTGGCATTGATATTCAAAATATTTATCATAACAACCGTTTGTCTTAAAAGCACGCGTTAATAATGAATGCTTTTTCAGCAAAATTATTTCGTCAGATATATTTTGGATTAATAATTGACCACGACCATTATCTATTTCATACTCTCCTGGTAGGAGGTAAAACTCATGTTTGGGTTTTCCACGTAGTGAACCGCGCACGTACACAGTCCCGGAATAATCAGCGGTGCAACAAATTTTAACCAAGCACATTTCTTTAGCCCTTATTAATGTGTCCGAGACTAATTCGAGGTATAATTTGTTGGTGATTTCTCGCGTAAATATTAAGGAATTGTAAGTTTTAGTTATGATAATACCAGGTTTTTCAGTGAAACTATGTCCTACTAGTACCGGGTATTTAATAATGTTGTCATTCACAATTAAGGCATCTACCTTTTCCATTACATTTTGTATTTGTATGGTAACAGTCGCGAGCCCTAAAGGTACTACTAAATTGTTTCCGATACCTCTCATTGTAGGTAGGTTAAGGTTATTCGACCAACTAATTCCTAATTTCCTTGCATCACTACAACGAATTAAAGTGCATTGACTGCCTAAGTCGACATACCCTAAAACCGATTGTCCGTTGAGCATCAATTGCACGATATACTTACAATCGTCTTTAGCAGTGCTTTGGACGTCTATACATAAAATATCCTTTTGAGTTTGACCTACTTTATCGGTATTATTATTGTCGGAGGGTAGTCTTGTACAGTTTAATGTAGTATGTCCAAGTCTGTTACAAATGTTACATTTGAGTATTTTTTTTGTACATTTAAAACTAAAATGTCCTGCCTCATTACAATTGTAGCAAACAATGGAATTACTTTTGTTAGTCTTTGCGTCATTAGTTGGTTTTGTATTCGAATAAGCGTTAATTCTTTTGTCTCCATAAATACGCGACTTATCCGTATCACGTTGCTGTTGTTTTATAGATTGAAAATATTCTAACACTTGTTCCGGTTCCTGACACTTCAACGCTTTTGCGCCTAGTCTTAAGGAACGATCTTCAATTCCGTACAATAAACAATCGACAGCCCTCTTTCCTATAATATTACAACGATTGAGCAAATTGATTTTCTCGAAATAATATAATTCTAGTGATTCATTATATTTTACGCGTTTGGACAGCATTTCTGTCAGTAACTCGGCATAATCGTCACTACTTGGGAATGATTCTAATAATTTCTGTTTCCATTCAGGCCACGAAAATGACATAGTGGGTAAAGCCTGGTACCAGGTTTTTGCAACACCAGCTAATTTAGGCAAGGCATAGTGTATGACCTGATCATCACCCCATTTATATAATTTCGCACACTCATCTACTTTACTTAGCCACATTTGTATAGTTTGCCCTTTAACCATCGGATCAAAGTCGGGTATGACATTACCTAACATTGGAAATTTGTTACCCTCCGACGAACATTTACCAAGGTATTAACCAATTTAGTCAAAAATAAATGTGTCATGTCATCAGTACTATTATTGGAACGTCTTACTGGAGAAGATGAGCGTCCACCGTGACGCGAAGATCTCGAGCGGCTGCGGCTGCTGCTGCCACGCGCACCGGCACTCCTGCTGACCCGCCGGCGGCTGCGGCGACTGCTTCCACTCCTACGGTGCTGCCCACGACGCTCACGGCGATTGTTTCGGTTCCTTCTGTCTTCTCGGTATTCGTGAGGATCACGTTCACTGCTTTCGCTACTGATATTCTTGCATCGATAGCGACGATGCACACGACGCTCCCGAGGACGACTTCTGCGCACTGGAACACTCGAATCCGTTGCCGATCCACCTTCAGTTTTTGATTTGCTTCTGCGTCGTTGTCTTTTATTCTTGCGATCGTGTCGTTTCCTCTTTCTCGAAGAGGATTCGTGGTGGTCTGATATTTCGTTAGTTGTCATGTTTCCATCTTCCATATTATTGCGTTGCAATAATTGAGAACGCGAGGGTAGGAAAACTTTCGAGTTGTAGGCGTTTTTGCTAGAAATATAGATCTAGCCTGTTGAATCCCACTTCTGAGTTGAAGGATCAATTCAGTTTCACTTGAGTAAAATACAAGTTAGGTAATAATTGGTTTTAATCCGTACAGTTCGATTGCTGAATACAAAGTGTGTCCCTCCATTCGAAGTACATTATAATATTACTTTTGATGTCGGTAGACAGCAAAAGTCAAAAAGCAATAATGTAATTATCACAAATAATGTTACCAGCATTCAACTTAATATTATAAAGCTAACACTTGTGACATGTGTCGCCACATCACTCCCTGCCAAGACCGGAGGTCGATCCCGCTGAGACGGCTGTCGATGCTTGAGATGAGCGGTGCCAGAGCCAGTGTAGAAAGTCCCTAGTTCCAGTGAGTCGGAACTGTGCCGCTGAGTGCCCAGTGAGTCGGATGAGCGGTGCAGGGCGATACTCCAGTGAGTCGGAGAGATAAGTTCGCAGTGTCCCACGGTGAGTCGGGGAAGAGATGCTGCGAGGGTAGGTGCGTAGTGGCTGGCGTCTGCGTTGACGGGAGGAGATGTCCTTCAGAACCGTGTGCAGAAGTGCTGTGCCTAGACGCTGGCGAGGCCGTAGGGAAGAACCAGGCTGCACGACTTCGTTGCAGGCGATGGTGGTCCCTGATGAGGCCGAGGATGCTGGTTGGCTGCGACTTGATTACCGCTCAGTGGAGAAGTGATGAATGAGAGGGATGGCGATACGGATGACGGTGCTAATCTGCTCCGTGAAGTGAAGGTTGTTTCCAATCACGTCGGGGTTACCACTTTAGGGAACAGAGTGTAAAGTTCCCTAAGATCGGAAAAGGAGGATCCTCCGACCAGGCGAGGTGATCGTGCCTGGCGGGCTTTCTGCCCAACAGTTGCTCGTTGGGATTTTCTATCCGTGTTAAACTGTCAAACACCAAGCGGTCACCGGTGACCGCGACCTATTGTTCTTTAATTGTGTCTATAAAACCGGTACTCGACGAGTTAAATCGAATGTAAACTTCGCATGTGCGATGTAGGATTTTACGACGTCATCCGTTGACTTGTGACATGTGTCGCCACAATATTTTTCTTGTAGTCTTGCATTTATCAGTTTCTCAGTTTGACCTGTATGTATGTATGTTTGTGCGCGATTATTTCTGTCAACTGTTAGTTACACTTATAATATTTTTATAGTGTATTTATTATTATTAACCAACTTCATAAAAAGAGGGGGTTGAAGTCTGTTTATTTTAAATTGTGAGCTCCACATATTAGTCTTGATTCAAGGCTCAAATACACGATTTAACAAAAGTAATCTATATATACATAATATAATTCAAAGGTGACTGACTGACTGACTGATGTAGTGATCTATCAACGCACAGCCCAAACCACTGGAAGGATTGGGTTGAAATTTGGCATGCAGATAGATGTTATGACGTAGGCCTTTACTAAGAAGATTTTGATCATTTCCAACTCCAATGGGATAAAATAGGGGATGAGAGTTTGTATAAATCTTTTTAGCCATTGAATCTATTGAATCTAGAATCTTTTTGAGTTACATTCGGTAAAACGATAAATTTGAGACCTGGGAAACGGTGTATGATAGTTTTTATCACAGAAGACCCACGGGAACGGAAATTATGCGTTAAGTCCCGGGCTATTATTAACTGAACTTATTTTAAAGAGATTCGGTACAACATTAGTCGATAGAATAGTTTTTATTAAGTACTAAAACCTTACGGGAATGGGCACTGTACCCTGCGGGATTATTTATTTTTTTAAATCACGATAAATAATTTCACAATAAATCACACTTATGCATTGAATTGATTCTGATGAATTCTGTCAGAAGTTATTATTCTACGCGGACGAAGTCGCGGGCATCAGCTAGTATACATATATTTTAATTGTTTCAGGCAGCATGAACTCGAGGTTTGGAGTAGCCATTGGTATACCAGTAAACTTCAGATATAAAACCCTTGCTGATCTAGAAGCTGATGATATTCAGGTGTTTATGTTAATTAATAACTAGTTAACTGTATGTTTACAATATTTTAATATTGCATAAATGTTAATACAAATTACACTTAATTTCATTTACAAAACATAGAAACTATTACATTTACATAATTTGTAAAACATATGGTTTAATCTATTTCAGGTGAATCAGAAGAAAGTCAATTGGGAATCAGAAACCGGCAGAAAGTTGGCAGATGCTTTAATATTACCTGAAAAATTACAAGAATTTGCTATTTGTAGGGAAATAATGATGACACAGAATAATAAAATAATGTATGAGTCAGCATACCCATTTACATGCTTGTTTTTGGCTTATAATCTATCTCAGTTTCTGAATAAAAAATTAAATCTATATGCAGGACCCCCAGCATTAAGAGGAATATTATATACTATAATAGCAATGTTCGCATCAGGTACATATTTTCTTATGAAGGATATGACTGAGGTTTATTATGAAACAGATACTGATCGGAGATTATGTGAACTTGGTCCTACATTTGTTGAAAGTGGTAAAATGTTTTATGAAAAAATATTAAATAGGAATCAAGCACTCAGAGAATTAATGGGAAAGGAAGGCGAGAATAAGTATAGCAAGCTGGGAAATGAAAACTTTGGCATTCGGCAACCTCGAATAGCTTTAGTACACAGAAAACAATATTTTGAACACAAACTTAATGAGTTAAATGGTTCTAAAAGTACAGATGATGCTGAATTATTACAATAATATTGTAAATGCATTTGTTTGTTGCTTGTTTTAATATTATAGTAGAAAAATAGGAGACATTAAAACCTATGAAGTTTATGACATCTTTTTTTTATAAATTACTAGCTTTTACCCGCGGCTTCGCTCGCGTCACAAAAGGATAAAAAGTAGCCTATGTGACATATAGCAATACACACAGCGCCATCTATACCAATACTTTTGTTTTCCCTCGGGAATATCACATTTCTCGGGAACTTGAAACTTTACGTCTGTAAAAATTCAAAGCAATCAGTTTAGTAGTTATGGTGTAAAAGCGGAACAAACAAACATAGTTTGGTACTTTTGAAACGTCAACAAATACAAAATAAATAATAGTCTGTCAGTCAGTCCGTCAGTGAAATTAGGTGAAGCTAAGTGCTCATTCCAAAATGTAGATTCAAATGGAGAAGAACGAGCAAGAAACTCCATTCGTTACTCTTTTTTAAAGTATGTTCTACAATGTCTCTGATACATATTTCAATAGTGTACGCATATGTAACCACTCTAACGTCCGGGCCGCGCGACCGTTTATCTCTCTAACGTCCAGCTGCGCGCGGCGTCCGAACCGCGCGCGACTCGCAAGTTCGTCGTAACAAAAAACCTATATAGCTACTGAACCGTAATGGCTAGAATAAAGAAAAAAATACCAAAAAAAAGATTGAAGAATACTGATCAATCTTAACGATTTTTTTCAATCGTAAGTTATAATCTTTGATACAAAAAACCGGGTTAAACATGTAATTCAGAAAAAAAATATACAATTATTTCTATCTTTTTAGAATATAAGGCACAACTATTGCATATTTTATCAATAAAATATTTTTACAATAAACTAGACTTATTACCCTTTCTTCTGATGTATATACGATTACATTCGGTTAACTCTAAGTATTTTAATTATATCAAAACAAAACACTACTCCTCGTAATTTTACCGCCATGTCCCGAGCGCCCTTGACTCGTCCGAGAAGGCGAAATAATAGCAATATGGCCGCCCGTCTAAGGTTTCCCACACACGATGTAATTTTAATAAAATATTTTAAATAATTTTATGAATTAGTTTTATGCAATAATTGTATTTTTGAAGTTATTTATTTGTTCTAGTTGGTTATTTAAATAAAAAGCAAATAAAAAATCAATATATAATATAATAATTTATTCCTTCCACACATTTATATATGGTAAGCCATAAAACAATTTTCAATGCAGAGATTGACGTCGCTGTGAATAATTTAAAACATTAGTATTGTTAAAAGAATAAAATAAAATTTGGCGAAGCATTAAAATATATGCGACCATGCAACACGTGCAAGGGCAACAGTAAAAAAGAAAGGTAGTCAAATCCACAAGTGCATTTTTTTACATTTAGCGGAAATTAATCAACACGAACAAACATATAATTAATGTTTCAAAACAAAAAAAAAAACCATTAGAACATTATACATATCCAACGGAAATCAAGCGAAAAATAAATGATGAATATTAGTACAAAACCCAAAAGTGCATTTTATATTAAATATTAGTATCATCTCAAGCAAAATATTATACCACCACTAGCAAAACAAAAATAATGCAAACATATTTTGCCGTGTATAGCGAACCTTATTTATCACGTTTCATGTAACGTCCGTGGATACCAAACAGTCCACATCAAAAAACCTGAGGAACACATTGACATTATTATGGAATCTTCAGTGAATTTAGTATATTTCTCTTTGAAAAATGTATTATTTTGCTTATTACGAAATGTATTTCGATATTTTATATACTATTGTAATGCAAAGTATGTAAAATATGTATAAACAAAACTAAAAGTGGCCAACACCATACGACCGGCCATTTTTTTCGAAACAACGATCGTTTGAAGTTAAAAGTAGACTAGATTTATCAGCTAAAACTGTGATATTTATACATCATCGTAAAGCACAAATCTTCTAGTTTATTTTGATGTATAACACTTGCAAGATAAATAAAACAAAACTGTAGTACTTACGACATAATTGTTGGCACTCACAAAAACACTTCACAACACGCGCGTCAAACGAGTCAACTGAACTTAAAAAATTATATTTTGTTTGTCAAAGCTTATTAAACTGCCATCTCTATTTTTTTCGTCGAACTATTTATTCAACTGTATAGATAATCTGTCAAAACTCACCAAGCAAGACCGTATTTTAAACTAGAGGGCATTAAACACAACTCGTCGCTTTGGATACTATAGTATCCATGGGCGTATGACGCTACTTTTTTCTTGGATACCGTACTATCCACGGACGTCAGAGTGGGTAAGAATAATGCAAAGACACGCTTGACGCATTATACTAATAACTTACTAAAGTAAAAAAAATAAAAATCTTATGTCTAACATGGTGCGCACATACGCATACTGACAATCCATAGAAAAACTTCAATAAATTACTTTCAATAGAAAGAAATGCTCGATGCCATAAGGAAACTAGATTGTCTACATTAGAATTAAAGTATTAAATTATGTATTATATTACCTACTATTGGAATTTAACTACTGACTACATGCATACTGTAGAACCTACTATTTGCATCCAATATGAGGAAAATTCATCTAATTAAAACTAGTGAGAGGTACCAAGCGTGAACAAAAAATTTCTGATAATTTTTCTGTTGGCCACAATTTAGATTTACGAAGTGGAAACTAAGGCAGAAACATAAATGTGGTCTGATAAAAAGATCCCGTCTTAACGCCCACCTGCAAATGCCCATACATGGTCCTACAAAAATGTAGTTTCTGTTCCTACAAATCTTTTCTAATCCCGTGCAACGGAATGAACGCGTGCCGCTCTCTAATTTAACCGAAACTGTCAAGTGTCACTGTCAGTTAGTGACATTGAAATCATTGAATTGATTCTTTTGTGTGACAGAATGATAATGATACATAGTTTTACAGTCGTTTCGTAAAGATAATGCTCTTTTATAAAATAATTTCGTGCTGTATTTCCTGTAGTATTTTCAATGAATGGATGGATACACTACCAGCGTACGGGTGTGCATCTATTTTTTAAGCTGTTGAAGAACTGGAGTGGAGCTGAATATTCATTACAATTAGTGGATAAGTTCAACATCTGTGTTACGTTTTCCAACTTATTAAAAGTCATTTATCTATAAAAAGACGTGCGCAGTATCTAACTTATTGAACAATATATTGGTAAGGTGTTTAGTTTGTGAAAATAGATTTCTGTGTTAAAGAACTAGTTGGTTTTGTGTAAGTAACGCGTCAAAATGTGTGGAGGATTCACCTGTTCGAAGAATGCATTGATCGCATTAAATATTCTCTATGTGGTAAGACACTGCGATAATTAATCGTGTTATAATATTATTTTATTAAACCTATTTTAATTTTACATATTGTGTATTCTAGTAGAAAAGTTTATTTACTCATGTGTTTAAATGATACAAATTTATTAGGTGGTGGCTAGCATTCTGATATCAGTGGCGGTGTATGGGCAGGCGTCGTCACTGGTCACCAACCTGCCAATAGTTGGTGGTATCCTGGCATGTGGGGTGTTTCTCATTTTGATATCTTTGCTGGGGTTGCTTGGAGCAGTTAAGCACCATCAAGTTATGTTATTCTTTGTATCCTTTTAAAAAGTTAAAATATTTTATAAATCACTATTTTAATTTAATATCTCATAATTTCAATACCATAATCATCACTACTGTATCACTACTTTCTGAAGTAATTTGTTTATCTCTTTGTGTGCACATGAACTTTAGAAAGTAATTGTAGCATTGCCATATATCAAGGCTTTTGTATTGCTCTTTTGTTAACTCTTGTTGCAATGTTGCAATGAATATTCAGATTGTAATTTATAAGATATAGTGTGTAACCAATGTCTAGTATTACTACTTCAGTTAGTTTTTAACAGAATAGTTTTTTTCTTATTTGTATTGGTAATTGGTAAATACTAGTATTTGACTATTATTTTAATACCAATAATTTGCTCTAAGGTAATTGCAATGGCAATTGAATTTCCTCATGAAGATTATTCTAAAACAAGAGCCTATTTCACCATTGCCAGTTACATTAAGTTGCAAACCTAACAGACACATTTAATATGGGACATAATTATGTTATACATGAAATTATCTACCAGTTAGATTAACTATTGGTATTGGTAACTTAAAAAGAAAATGCTTTACCCACTGACTTGTATGTAATTTATTGTATTGTTTAATGCCTTAACTCAATGTTCAGTACATGGTGATTCTGTTCTTGCTGTTTTTAGTTCAATTCTCAGTGGCATGTGCCTGCCTGACTGTTAATTCGGACCATCAGGAAATGTTGGCTCGGCAAGTAAGTTAAAACCAGCTGTAAAGTCTAAACTGCAAATAACTACAAATAACTACACATAACCTTATCTAAATTCTAAGACTATGAAAATTTATTATAATTATAATAGAAAGAGTAAATGATTGTAAAAACAAAATATTGTATGAATATCAAAAGGTTATATAAAATAATATGTATTGATGTACTACTATTCCACTTGATAGTACTAGTCAACCTATTGTTTGTTTTAATATAATATATCTTATCTTCAATATTCAGGGCAATGTAAATAATTTTATCATCACCTCTATAAATGTACGATGACTATGCAATCTGTTATTGGGACGTATTTTACTGTTGACCTCATAATAATTATGTTTATTAATGTTTAAAGGGATGGAACAAGGTGGGTATGGACGTGAAAGAACAAGTTCAGGAGAGGTTTCAGTGCTGTGGCTTCCAAAACAGAGCACCGGAGAATGGCACCGCTGAACACCCCTCTTGTGACCTTGTGGATGTAAGTAATTGTTTATCTTGATTCCAAAGTATTATTATATTATAATAAAATTATTTCCTCAAGCACAAGCAAAATACTTGCTACATAAATGTGTACAAATATCTATTTCAAATTATAAAAAAAGTGTTCCTGACACACTTTACATTTGGCAGTTTAAATGCAGCCAATTATTTTATTTTGTTGGCAGTCATGTTAGATTAAATCTTTAAAATTGGGTACATAAACATTACAACATGTACCTTGGTGGTGTGATGGTCTGCTGATATACTTAGAGTACACAGATACCCTTTCATAACATCTTAAATTGATAGCTAACGGTATTTTAAAGTATTATTATTGAACACACAGCACGTGCCTTTTTATATTAGGTAATATTTAATAAAACAATTTGTTACCATTTATTTTTCTCTTTTAAATATTTTCAGAAAATCTGCTGTGCAAATATGCTTAATGCTCCAAATTGTCAATGTGACCCATGTATGGGGAGATTGAAGCAGACCATTGACTATGCATTCAAGCTATGTGGTGGCATAGGACTATTTTTCAGTTTCACCGAGGTAAGTTCACATAATTTACGTCACTTATCATATTCATCACTATCCAATGATAGTAAGTATGTTTATATGTAGATATACAATTTGATACCAGACTGCCATTGCATTAATTGGAATGAATATTCAAATTGATGATTTAGTAATGAATGTTAATATTCACACATATTTTATACTAACATTTTAATAATGGTTGTGGTACATGAAATTTCAATAATTGAAATACACTTTAAATTGTTATAAATTACAACAACAGTGGTGCTTTGGTTACTAATCTTTTTATACATATACTAATAACGAAAAATCGTTGTTATATAAAATCTATATATATAAAATTCAAAGGTGATTGACTGACTGACTGACTGACATAGTGATCTATCAACGCACAGCCCAAACCGCTGGACAGATTGGGCTAAAATTTGGAATACAGATAGATGTTATGACGTAGGCATCCGCTAAGAAAGGATTTTGATAATTTCCACCCCCAAGGGGGTAAAAAAGGGGATGAAAGTTTGTATGAAACTTTGTCAGTTTTAAACCGATCGGGTTGAAATTTGGCATGCAGATAGATGTTATAACGTAAGAATCCGCTGTGAAAGAATTTTGATAATTTCTACCCCCAAGGGGGTAAAATAGGGGATGAAAGTTTGTATGAGACTTTGTCAGTTTTAAACTGATCGGGTTGAAATTTGGCATACAGATAGATGTTATGACGTAGGCATCCGCCGTGAAAGGATTTTGATAATTTCCACCCCCAAGGGGGTAACATAGGGGATGAAAGTTTGTATGAGACTTTGCCAGTTTTAAACCGATCGGGTTGAAATTTGGCATGCAGATAGATGTTTTGACGTAAGCATCCACTGTGAAAGGATTTTGATAATTTCCACCCCCAAGGGGGTAAAATAGGGGTTGAATGTTTGTATGAGACTGTCAGTTTAAAATCGATCGGGTTGAAATTTGACATGCAGATAGATGTTATCACGTAGGCATCCGCTAAGAAAGGATTTTGATCATTTCCACCCCTAAGGGGGTAAAATAGGAGGTGAAAGTTTATATGAATCTTTGTCAGTTTTACACCGATGGAGATGAAATTCGGCATGAAGGTAGAGGTAGATGTTATGACGTAGGCATCCCCAAATAAGTATTTTGATAATTTCCACCTCCAATGGGGTAATGTAGGGGATGAACGTTTGTATGAAGCTTTGTCAGTTTTACACCGATCGTGTTGAAATTCGGCATGCAGATGGATATTATGACGTAAACGTCCCTTTGGAAAGGTTTTTGAACATTCTCACCCAAAGGTGGGTAAAATAGGGGGTAAAAGTTTGTATGACTTTGCATTTCAGACTTTGTATGCATAAAGTTACTATGACATAGGTATCTCCTTAGAAAGAATTTTAATAAATTCCACCCCTAGGGGGATAAAAATACATTGAATTTAGAATCATTGAATCTTTTTGAATTACATTCGGTAAGACGATGATTCGGGACCTGGGTAACGTTTGATAGTTTTTATCACAGATGTCCCACGGGAACGGGAACTAAGTATGTGTCAATGCCCCAGGACTCTCTAACTCTTAACCACTGAACTTATTTTAGAGAGATTCGGTACAACAATAGTCGATAGAATAGTTTTTATTACTCAAACCTTATGTGATCGGGCACTGTACTGGTAAGATCCCTGCGGGATTATTTATTTATTGAAACTACGATAAATCATTTCAAAATAGGTAAATCTTACTTGGGCACTGAATTGATTCTGGTTAATTCTGTCAGAAGTCATTAATCTACGCGGACGAAGTCGCGGGTAACAGCTAGTCATTTATAAATGTTGTGATGTGACATGAACATCAGAATTAAAAGTATTGCATAGTTTTGAATCAATCTTTTAACAGATTTCAATAAATTACTGTTTACAAGAATATTTGTAATATTTTCCCTACATTAACTAAAAATCGCGGGTTACTCACGTGAATATACTGAGAATATACTGAATTTCTCAGTGTATTCACTTGAGTAACCCGCGATTTTTAGTTAATTTAATATATCTCACGATAATTATCATAAAAACAATTTCCTTACCATAAAAATAAAACAAAATAAGCAAATTGCGTCTTTTCGAGATGTGTCTAAGACAAGAAGCGACGTATCTCAATCCCTGTCAGATAACAATTTACAACTGTTTGTTTACTGGCGAGACACTAAGAATATATTCGAGATATTTCTCTGATATGATGTAAATGTACAAGAAATTATAAAACCTACACATTTCATTTTCCACACAGATACTTACATCTGTTGTAAAATATTCATTTGCATGTACAAAGGATAAAATAATTGTTACGAGCATGAGGAATAATAATTATTCTCAAATTGATAATTTATTCTTTTAATAATTTCTCATTATGTATACTTTGAGATTGAAGCATTTCAGATAACTTTTTCATTACAGTTGATTCTATGTCACTATTGTTATCAGAGGAAATATCATTTAGAATGTATACAGCTATACAGCATAACATAATGATATTGTAACGGTTATTGTTATACATATTGGATAATATTGATCATTATAGGCCCTATAATATAGTGTATGAAAATTAAACGTCTATTTAAGATAATATAATTAAATAATATTGGACACGTATTTTTTAGTTAATCGCAATAAGAAAATACTCGCTACGTCATTTCTAAGTATGGAATGTACTTAGAAGTGACATCATGCGATATTCAAAACAATATATTGTCGAATGTTTTCTATTATATTAAAATGCGTCTCTAATTCCAATGTTTCAAATTAATCTGCAAGACAAAACAGACAAAAATAAAATGTAGTCATCTCTATTGCAATTTGTTGCGATGCAAGGAAGCTGTATACATTCTGTGTTTTCAATATTTCGCTTCTACTTGTGACTAACAATCGGACGATTAATTTACAGTTTCTGGGTGTATGGTTGACAGTAAGATACCGTAACCAAAAGGATCCGCGTGCTAACCCCAGTGCATTTCTGTGAATGATCTGACGATGTGGAATTTAATCAGTTGAGGTGGATTGGTGTTTTGCTTCGGATTGCATGCCTTATTTAAATTATGTGCGCATGTCGCTTTTTTATTTTATGTTATGCTACAATTAATTGTTTAGATATCTTGCTGAATATAAATAAATTTTATAACAGCATTGCTCTAAATAGTAGAGTCAGCGGTACTAGTTTAGTTCTTCATTAAAAAAATATTAAGTATTTACTTACTACTGTGAATCTGAATATACCTTTATATTATTTTATGCTGCGTCCAGAACAGACTAGGTACATATTTATTTTAATGTATGATAAAATACTAAGTACCTACTCGTACATTTTAATTTTCACTAGTTTTTGTAAGACTGATAAAAATAGAATCAGTCCAGTCAATCCACCTCCTTTCTAAAATTGCATGATACCTATTCATATGTTGTGGTTACCTACATCGTGATAACAAATAATCATAGTAATTTTTATAATAATGTGCGAAACCTGACATAAAATCACAAAATCTGTCTTAATTTTAGGGCCTTCCCATTAATGCTTTTTATGTTGAATGTCTTTTTATGTTGGATGTCCCATTAATGCTTTTTATGTATCAATGATCTTTTACAAAGCAATCCTGATGCAGACCTTTTTTTCGATGGTGTTAGTGCAATGTCCAGATACATTTTGACTTATCTCAATGACTCTTAACACTTAATTTTGGAGTAAATAGGTTGTTTTTGAATTGTTTGTCGTTTTTTATTGTTTGGTTGATTTTTTATTATTTTATTACTTAAATATTTAACTGTATTGTTCCTAATTTTAGTTATAATGTAATATTTTAATTGTGTATTTAGTGACATGTAGATGATTTGGTAGATATAATACTGTTAGTCTATATTGTTGTAATTATAATTAAATAAATAAATAAATAAATGTTACTATTGGATAGATATTGTTATCTTGTACATATAAGTTACGTATGTATACCAATTTCGAGTCCCAGATGTTCATAAAGCTATTTGTAGTAACAAATAACACAATGTGCACCTCTGCCTACCCCTTCGGGGATAAAAGGCGTGATGTTATGTTATGTAACAAATATCACTTAAGCTACCTATTCGGAACAAAGGCCTGCTGCATTACTTTTTATGTATTTTTCTGAGTTGGTAAACCTAATGTGTGTTTTTTAATTTTAATGCTCTGGTATTCAACAGCAACTTGTGTAGAGTATAGTGATATTTTATTTATTTGCGCTTGTGCAAGTTGTTACACACACAGTGTTAGCATGTTTGCACGTGCATGCGTGTCTCTGTTGTTACTTGATGATTTGTATTATTTACTTGAAATGTATGTGCGGAATATTCTAACCTTTAACTATTACATTTCAGCTATTCGCTGTATGGCTCGCCCGACGATACCGCAACCAGCCTGACCCTAATTATAAGGAACCTCACGCTATTTTCCCTAGAAAGAATTATTTGTATTGAAGTGCTAAGTGTTACTTTTAGAACTGTAATATTCCTGCAGACTGATTTAGTGAATTTGTATTTTTTTTGTAGTAGCACTTCTTCCATATAATCTGCCTTATAATTTATATAGCAAACCGACGAGAGACGACAAAGTTTGAGATTATTTATGCAATATCACATTTGTCATGGAAAAGTAGGAAACATAGTTTTCTTATGAATATAAAATTAACTCCTCTAGTGCCAATGACAGTTTGGCGTGTTTAATATTTAAAGTTGTACTATCGTATCTACATTGTATCTATTAACGGTACGTATGTTGTCGGACTGTAAAAAGACATCGTATATTTTTGACCAACTGACAACAAATGTAAATCGTTTCATCTTGCGTTTTTATGTTTGTATAGACTAGGCTGGTATTTTCAATCTGCTCAATGTTTCAATAGAAAAATTTAATTTTGGTAGTTATTTTATTATTAGAAATATCAGTAAGCTCACCCCTTACTACATGAGGCTCGTTATAATATACCTGACTTGTGAATTGTGGGTGTACATATATATGTGGCATAATGTGCCATAACGGGCAGGCTCCTCCAGGATAAAAGGCGTGACGGTATTTTTTAATCTCTAATATACATACATATATATACGCATATATAATATATACATACTATGTTTTAATTAAACTATGTACTCCATGCATGTCTATAATATCATAATTAAGTAATGAAAGTGTATGTATTAGCTTGTCGGAATCTTTTTCTTTTTAGTAATTTTGTTATTAGGGTTTAGTCTACCTTACCCTACCTACCTAGTTAGTAAGTCCATTATCTGAAATGTTTAGGGAATCATAACTTTTTATTTCAGTAAATAATTAATTACATAATATGTATACATTAAGAATATATTCAGTTATATAACTGTTGAATGGTTTCATATCATTTGAATGTATCTTTGTAAAAACATGTTGTTAGTGATAATGATAATTTAGATGGACTTACATTTTGAATGCATATTCAAGTATATCAACATGTAAAACAGTTTTAAAAAATATAACGCTATAATACAGAGGCTTGAAAACACCAATGAGGTCGGTTATGATCTCATTATTTTGCATTTGTTTCCATAAATAAAACAATGTCATTGCTGGTATATAACTAAGAATAAAAAGTTAAGTTATAGGTACATTTCATCTACTAGTCAGTAGTCTAATAATTTAGCATAATCTTGCTTTCAATTTGAATATATGAATCAACACGCGTATGAGCTAAAATTAGGCTTTTACGGACTGAATTTCTTATAGTAGATTAGAGCTACGCTTAGTTTGGAAGATAGGCCCATGTTGGTTGCTCTCGACCTGTTTATTTTTTTATTACCTGCATTTTTGACTCAATTAAGCTTTAATTAGGTACTTTATCATTTATGTGACATCCCCAAGTTCATATCCAAGCCTTATATTTTTAGAAACCATTTATTTTGGAATCAAATTATATTGATAAATAGAGTTAGTTTTGTCTTAAATAGTCATGAAATATATGATAATAATTGATGTGTTTCTTTTAATCTTGATTTAGTCTCGAATTGTGTCAACCAGTCACAAATCATGCTCTGAATTAGATTTTATTTACACCTAAACATAGTACAGTATGTATATAATTTAGCCAAAATGAATTGTCCTTGTGTAATAATATCAGTGTATTTCTCAAATTATTCAGAAATAAAGTGTGCAAGCATTATAAGGTGTTTAATTTAACTATGTATGTACAAACTGCACAATGTATGTACCTAACCTACCTGCCTACCTAAAAGTCCAAACAAGTAGATCTTAAGAAACTGATGACACTTATATTAAGTTTTACATAAAACTTGCTAATCGTCGACTCCCCTGACTACTGATATGTAAGTTCCATTTAAGCCAGTACCTAGAATAAGCTAAAAAGGGTCGGTTGATATTTTACTTAATTTAAATATAACTACTAAGAATTTCAAAAATCTTAAATCTCTAAAATAATATACTTTGCTTGAACAATTACGGAAATAACCTGAGACGCTCGCGCTAGTTAGCAAGAAAAATGACACGAAATTACACCTGTTTTTTATTCATAAAATTACTACAAAGCGAAAATATTATAAAAGAGAATTTGAATACGGAATGGGAAATATTTTAAACGACAGATTTAATTTGTACTTAGTAAATAATCGACTACTTGTACTCATAGGTAGACTTTCCTCTTATTTCCGGTGCTTACATAATTTAGAATTTTTGTATGCAGTTCGATTCCTGTTCAACCAGGTAATTATTTAAACTTATAATTATGTTTGCAGTTCTTTGTGTTGTAAAAAATTAAAACTTTCAGTAAAACTATCAATCTAACTAATTATGAAATTGGACATCTTGAATATCCTTACTAATATTATAAATCTGAAAGTGAGTTTGTTTGTTTGTTCCACCTTCACGCCGTAACTACTCAACCGATTGCTTTGAATTTTTGCAGACGTAAAGTTAGAAGTCCGGATTAAATAATAGGGTACTTTTTAACCCGGAAAAAATTGATTTTCCCGAGGAAAAACAAAAGTATTGATATAGATGGCGCTGTGTGTATTGGTATATGTCACATAGGCTACTTTTTATTCTTTTGTGACGCGAGCGAAGCCGCGGGTAAAAGCTGGTTTAAGATAAAATTATGACAGCGTATTAAAATTCATAGATAGGTTATTAAACAAATAGTCATAATCATAATCGAATATTAGAGTATGTGATTAATCGATTGACAGTACCTAACTAAGATTGCATCTACCTATTATGCATGTCTTTATACCACTTGGGATTCAAACGCAAATATTCATAAAGGACTTCTCTTAACAGAAAAATGTAGGAAAGTAAGTATACCCAAAGACTACAATATTATATCTGAGTATACCTACCTATAGGTATCTAAAATGTTGCAGGTTGTATACCTAGGTTAAGTATGGTTAACCAAAAAACACGGAAGGTGTAAGTATTTTAGTAAATTTTACATATGACAGTTTAATCGATGATATGGGGTTGTCCACAGTACCTTAATTAAGTCCCTACGTACTTTACGTAAATTGAATTTAAACGTATAACAAAAGAATGGTAAATACATTGAAATACGCAAAGCTATTTTTCAGTGCTTTCTGGATGCAGAGAAGGGTTGGTCGGATCGGCTTCGCGCAGAGCGGCCGCGCAGGCCCTTCGGCAGGCCGCCCGCGCCCTGGCGACACTGGGCGGAAAACCTTTGGTAGCTGATAGCAGACAGTCGCGCACCGCTCGCTACCACCGCTACACTCATCGATCGGTCCCAACACTGATAGTGTGGCGCCTAACGCGTTCATTGAAACTGTGCTGTGCCTGTGAAATTATAATAAAACAAAAACATGTCCTTCGACAAAGATGAACTGCGTGATGAGTAAGTATCCCAAACATGTATCTATTAACGCAACTTTACGTCTCTTGAATTCCAATGACTGTCACTCGCCACAGTTTAAACTAGGTGAATCGATGACTGAGTATAATCACATCATTAAACATAACTTTTTATTTGATTTGTGGTTTGATTTAATTCTTAATAAGAAAGAAATGAAGTATAATTATAAGATTTTTATCGAATCAGAAAGGAGATAGTTTCCTACTTACTACTTACTTACGTACTGAAAGTAAATTTGCTTTATCATGGAGAAAAGAAAAACGGAAGGAAAAGTTAAAGATGTCAATTATATATTCTCAACCTGTACGTAAGACTAACATTTTCTTTGATTCTCATTAAAGAAAATGTTAATCTCCTATTTGTATGGACAGATTGTTGCTTCACTTCAGTACCTAGCTACCTACCTTAAAAAGAAGACGTGGTTTTTTATACATTTTTACAGCAGTTACAGTGACAACATAGTTAAATACCATTTAGGTATCTACCTATTATAAAAATATGAACTGTTGTAGGTCACCAGCATTCAACCTTATTTTTATAACTTTCACAACTCACAACGTGCATCGAGCTGTGCAATTTAATTCATCATTGTTTTAATTGATGTGTTGTTCATACTGGGTTTGTTTCTTTGTTTATTGTGACTTTAAATACTTAAAACAATTCTCTAATGAATATCAGGTAGTCAGAGCCGTAAGGCTCTGTTTTTTGGAAAATTTTACGAATACATATTTTAACATTAAATAAAGGACAACATTTCCTGAATTTAATAATTCTAATGATTAAAACTAAGTTACACTGTTTTTTTTCTCAAGCAATCCGATAAAAATATCGATGATCGTATAAGTTGCCTAATAAAATGCTTAACAATGTGGGAAGGTAAATACCTCTTTGTTAAATAAACACATATGCTCAAAGGTTTTTTGAAGAATCGCCCACCTAATCTGGCCCTGTATCGTTCGTAAGAATGTTTATACAACCAATACCACAGTAGGTATTTAAAAATATTGTACCTCGATTAAGAACATAATCAACAGTTTGATAATAGAAGGCAGTTTCGATAAAAACAGCTGTTAGTAACAACTAAACTGCCATAACATCATAATCTCTGCAACGGCGACGACGTTCCGCTTGTGCTTACCTATAGCAGAAAAAAAATCAAATCGTTTTCATAGTATTATCGCTAATATATAATTGTGGACTGAAGTTGTGGTTTTAAAAATATTAGATGTCGCAAAACGAGTCGAGTTCAACGTAAGTAACCGATTTTCTAAACAATAATATTGTCTTTTCCTGGGTGCACACCGATGGTTTCGTGCAGTGCAGCATAATCCTGCAGTTACCGGGGTTGGTTCTTGGGGTTGCGGGGGCAATGGGCATATTAATATAATTAGGTAGGTACTCACATATATATCTCCACATATATATATATATATAGATCTGGTGTATGCTGGACAAGCTACTTTGATAATAATTTCTATTTCATGTAACTAAAGTTGTCGAGTGCGCTCCAATATTTTTTTATTCGCACGTTAAAGACATGGAGAATCTCTGCGTACGTTACATACTATGTTCTGATTAGGTACCTACTTATCTTGATAATCACTAATCCTTCATTCAGTAAGCCGAGTTAGATAGTAGGTGGACCTACCCACGTACCTAGGTATGGCAGGCACGTTACCCAGAAAATTAATTTATCCTTACCTTAAGTATCAGTGAAATCGTCCTTTCGATAAGAGATTTTTATGGCTGGTACTAGACTACCTACCAAATTGGAAGTTCGATGATGAATGATGTAGGAAAATCTGCCAAAGAGCAGTGATTTATCTATAATTTTTCATCCAACCTAGATTGAGTAGATTGTTTCGAAGTGACCTACTTCGGGACGGCTCTCAAGATTAATTTCCCAGTTCAGGCACCTAAATGTGAATTACGTGAAGTAAGTACATACCTACCTACCTAGGTTTTCTTTACAACACTTCTTTATATCGTTACTAACTATACGACACTTTGTGTTTTCTTACTTTTAAAAGTATCTACCTATACCTACTTTTCATTGTTGTTTTCCCACCCTCGAGGCTCGACTCTAGAAACGTCTTGTTGACCTCGTTCAACTCCTGTTAATAATAGCGTTTTTAATATTGAATGTTCCCATACATCTTTAATTAATTTCGATCCTTAAAGTTACGCGTAGTTTGTAAACCTTGAAAGTTAGTAAAGAAGTAATAACAGTAGAAGTTGAATAACACTACGCTTGAGCTTATCTTTTCAGCAATGTATTTCAATCAGCCATTTTTTAAGTAGGTAGGGCTAGGTACCTACTAAGATGTTTTTCTTAGGATTCTTTTAAAATAAAATATTTCATTTTATACATCACACCCAGACCAGGAACAATAACTTATGGGTCACAGAAAAATTGTTCCGTTGGGGAACCGAATCGCGAACGATGCATAGTTCGGCGGCCACTGCGCCAACTGTGAATACATTGGTAAATTTTCATACTGGGTCTTTTTTTTATTGGGACAAGCCCGCCACAACCTCCCAAAACCGCTGCAACTCTCGTAAGCCAGGATCTACAGTAGATACAACCATGAAAACACCGGAACACTGAAGTCCGGTGCATCCCAGGGACATGAATAACTGACTGAAGAAAATAACGATAGTTTCCACTTCCCTCGGTGAATTACTTACTGCAGGAGACAGAATGAATAAGCCTACAGGCACAAAACTGGGTCCTTTCATTTATTCATACTGGGTCTATTCATTTATTAGTGTATAATGTGACATATTTCCTGTTTGAACGATGAAAACATTTGAATAATATTGAAAAGTTAACTTGGGGATTACCAAACTTCCTTTATTAGCTGTTTGCCTTCTATAGGACAGCCAAAACATGCGTCACGCAATGTTTGTAAATTGACATTATTGCGTCAGTGTAGTATTTAGTGAGATGACCTAAGCAAAATCATTTGCCAAATAGAAAAAAAAACGATTATAAAAACCTCGACCCCTAGAAAGTCATGGCCCCTATAAAAGTTTTAGATTTGCCTAGACGTGCGTGACTTGAATAGGTATCGTTGTTAATAATATCTAATTGCATCCTGTATTAAATAGCACTTACATCTTACCTAGGTAGTAAAAAACTTTATAGGCATCCTTTCATGTCATATAGGTAGAGCGTTATACGCACATTATCTATACTTACAGATAAATAAAATTGTAGTGTCTGTTTGTAATATTAAAATAACTGCTTTTTACTACATGCATTTGAAAATACATACGTCTGTTTGTACTAACTAGTCTGGAATGGCTGGCCCGATTTTGCAAGACTTTTATTGGCAGGTAGCTGATGTACTAAGGAGTTAAAAAGATAGGCTACTTTTATTTTGGAAAATTGAAACAAACAAAAGTTAAGTACATATGTTCCAAAATTCATATTCTACCAAGTCGTGGGCAACAGCTAGTGTTTAATAACTAATAAGTTAACAAACTCTATATCTATAGTCTATACACATTTTATATGCAGTTAATGTCGTTAGGATTGAAAGTTTAGATGACCGGAACGATGGCTTCTTTTACAGCGATCGTATTTCTCAGATCCAATTAAGTTTTTTCGATAGCACATTTATGGATGCTAAGTACAAAACATTCCAGTCATCACTTTTAATTTACTGAATAGCATAACGCCATAAAGATATATACAGCAATTTAAATGCGTTCAGCGCAATTCCTTTACTAAGCGCACAATTAAAGTTTCTGCGTTAGTGACATAAATTGTGATTCATTATACAACGAGATATTGCTTCGGTACTACATAATATATTATAGCGTTATTATTGCTACGACTGGCAATGGACAGCTGCGCATGGTGAAGCGAATGTTTAACACGCACCGATCTGTATCGCAATGTCATGGAATAAAAGTTTTCGTGGATTCCCAGGCAGCTGTACGCGAACCGTCCAGACAGACTGCTATTCGCCTTTGGAAAGTCGATCAAACAATACGTTATAACCGTTCGGTGCAGCTCGTGGTGCGACCTGTAGTGCTTTTCGTAATTTACTATTATTAAAAAAAAATATTCAGTGAGTGTGTTGTGAATTTAGATTTAAATAGTGTTTTTTTAATTATTAAAGGTAAGTGTGTTTCATATTGCTGTTATTAACATTAAGTTCATAATTTAATTTGTTTTTTAAATTTTTGATTAAGTATTTTACAGTATAATTTTATATTGATAACAATTTGTACCTGCATACCTAAAAAGCAGATAATTATCTATACCACTTTAAGGTTTAATTAGTTTTCATCATTATAGTACAGACACTCTTTCAACATCGATTAATGGTTAACCTTGACTAAATTGTTTGCAAACAGATTGTATCAACGTAATATATTATCGTAACGTTGAAAAAATAACATCATGCGATAACCTTTGATATGGACCGCTTCACTAAATAAATAGGTGATGTAATTTACGTATTAGGATTAGTAGGACTTAACGCTAATTTGCTTTTATCCTGTTAGAAATACGATATCTACATACGTAATATAGACTACCAGAGCTAACTTTTGTTTGTATATTCTTTAGCCTTCAACAAATTGCAAGATGCCGTGCAATTGTAAAGTTGAGGAATCGAGTGCATCCTCCCAACATCAAAACGGATGCGAGATGAATGCTCGTCGGAGTTCTGCTGGACAAAACGGCCACCATCAACCACATCGGAAGTCGTTTCAAGATAATGGTCACGGGGAACTGTGGGAGAACTACGCAGATGAACCTGTAGATCGTGAAACTGTTAGGTTGTCATCATTGAACACATATTTATACCTATGTTAATGCAATAAATATTGCATGTGATGAAATTGTGTGTTTTCCGCTTCGTTGACCGTAATCAATAAAATATTAAATTTTGTAATTTCCTCTTACTCTCTATGTAGGAAATAATGTTTTTCCTTCCTTAAGCACTTAAAAAATACAGGACAAAATGCTTCTTGAAGGTAAAGCTTGGAACAAAGGCACTTGAATGAATAGTCCCTACGAAATCTTATAAAATGAAAGGGTCCGAAATATATTGTGGACGTTGTTAAGTATAGGTTACCCTTAATGTCTTCGTTCTTATGTACTTATTTATGGACTTGTAATATGATGCTTATATCTGACGCTTTTTCGACAGGTATCCTGATGGCACGGTACGTCTCCGGAACCCTAACATCGAGCTAATGGACCAAGATATATTATACCACTTGGCCCTCGGCAGTGGTTCTCACGATCTTGTTGAAATGTTCGGGGATGTAAAGGTAGACCTTATTTCTTAAGAATATTTACTCTTCAAATTCCCAAAACTTTTTTGTTTAGGTTGTCTGTCCTGGGTGTTAATTCTTAGAATTGATTACTTATGATAGTTAATAAGTTTCTCTTAAAATTCATATGAATCTTGGCACTTATGATTCACGTCTCATGAAGTGTCTTCAAAGCAATGTTTGTGTCATTAATTCATCATGAAATCATACCTGTTTTTCCCCGTAGTTCATCTACTAAATATTCAATATACTATAGGTAGTATGTATAAGTGGAATGAAGTGAAACCGAATGACATATTAAAATACTAACATGTTCTTCGTATTTTTTACAAAATAGGTAAAAATTTGCTTATTTTTTTCAGACTAAGACATGATTTCATGCGCATTTTTCCTTACACTGCAGACTAAGTTTATATGAGCGTTCATGCTTGCTTGCTTGGTTAGTAAGTAGGTACCTAATATAATCAGTTATGCAATTTTTGTGCAGTTTGTGTGCATGGGTGGCACCCCGAAGCGGATGGAGCAATTTGCGTACACAATTATGGCGGAGATTGGTCACAAGCTACCGTGCGGAACCACACTCCAGGACATCAGCCAGTTCTCGTACAGGTACTCCATGTACAAAGTGGGGCCTGTGCTTTGTATCAGTGTGAGTATAATTATATTATAGGTTTACGTAACTATTATATATAAATATAGTTTAAATACTAAGTTAAAAATACATACAAAGGTGAGTAGGTAAGTTAATAATTTAAACCAGTAGGAATTATTCTCGCAAAATCATATAATTTAGAACAGTTAACACTTTATGGTAATTACTGTTTTTACTTTCCAATACAATACACATTTATGTACATAAGTACTATAATAAAGTGAGTTATTTAAAATTAATTGGCACTTGTTTACACTAATTTCTATTTTAAGACAGCATTGTAGCGTATTTTCCCTATTGTAAAAATCTTCTTTTCTTTTATTTTAAAAAAGCGTCTTTTCTTTTCAAGCGTAGATATAAACAATAATAATAATAATCCTAAACAATAATAAGTATTATATTACATAACTTAATGTTTATGTTATTATATTGATTGACGATGTTATCAATATTATTTCATTTTTAACGTATAAATTTTTAACACTTTATATAAGTAGTTATCGTTTGTAAACAAAACCACATGATTTTTAATATAACACCTAATGAGATAATCTGTATTTTTTCGACGAAGAACTTTTAATCGATTAGATACTAGTTGTATTTAGGTGTCTTTTCAGTTGGAAGTAAACTTCTACAGGCTGTAGTATAATTAGTTTAGATCACAATATGTGTCTGGTTGTGTACCCAACTAGATGCCATGATATTAGTTTCAAATTCAATAGAAACTGTTCACAAAGGCCTAATCAAGGCCTAATTCAGTAAACCTAATTGAATACCTGCCTTACTATACTGACCTACCTAATATAGATTGTATTACGTGTTTCCGCTTGGTATCAAAGCATTGTTTGTATCTACGCTTGCAGAAATCAATCTAGGTAATAAGACTACTTAGTAGTGCCATATCAAATTAAGATGGGTATTTAATATTAACAACAAATATTCTTTATATTATAACTATGACTGACAAGTCACGTGCTAGCGACTAGAGAGTACTACGAGGTCATACAGGTCAATAAATAGATAACATTTAATGTGAGAACGTTATGTAAAGTTTCTACTATAGTATGTATATCAGATATCGATTCATCACCATCAGCAACAGCTGATAGACGTCCACTGCTGGACGAAGCCACAAAGGCCTTTATCGATTACAACTGTACATTTCTTCATGATTTTACCTCCTCTCAGACAGAGCAGAACGTCTACGGTAACATATAAATCTATGTATTACAAACAAGGTCCTGTGTCTGACAAAATGATGATCGGTAATGAATATCCAATAGTCCGAATATCTATATAACACTAGGTTTTGATTCAATAGTCCGTAGGTAGCTACCTACCGTCTTTTACTAACTTTGTGGAGGTACCTATATGTTACCGACACGTGTCTGGTCGTACTCACCCACGGTTCACGTGTACTCCACCGCCTCGTGACTGACTAGTGGTCATGATACACAACGGCTGATAAAACAAGAGCAGAGGACAGATATACATATGTTGTGTATGATGATACAAGCTGTTGCCCAAACATCAATGACGTAGATAGGACGAGTGTCCTATAGCAAAGCTTATTTCATCGTTTGCAGAAAGGGACTCATATGACCTAGATGTGGTGACGGTAGAGTGGTAGAGTAGATTCTTCAAGTAAAACTCTGGCCATTGTTTTTATAATAACTATCGTGAGACATATTAAATTAACTAAAAATCGCGTTTAACTCACGTGAATATAGGTACTGGTTCGAAACTAGTAGAACTTTTCTCTGTATAATCACGTGTGTAGTCGGCGATTTTTAGTTAACTCTGGCCATTGTTGATAGAAAATACAAAAAGTTAATGTCTTAAGCTGCATAGAGATACATTCTCTTTATTTGGCAATGATTTATTGCTGCGAAGGTAACCTCCAGTTATAGTAAATTATTGCCGAGGAATGTTAACCACAATGCCGATCAGCTATTTATTTTAGAAACAATCTGACATTTCTTACTCGACAACCTTGAATTTGCATTGTCTCAATTGAGTGTACTTGACGGAATTATCATTAATTTTAATCATCAAGTAGGTATGTTTATTTGTGTACATGTGGTAGATACACTTGTAGGTATTTAAAAAGTTAAATCATATCTTGCTTAAATTCTAGATATTTGAATTAATGACCTAGTGCGCAGTAGTGTGGGTTGTTAAAATTACTCGGCATGTTTCAGAGAAATAAAGTAGGCGAGTAACAAATTTTAAGTACCTACTTATTAATGAACTTAGATACTTACAAAACATAAAAAATATGTTTTCGCAATAGGAGGTCATTATCTTGAACTCATAATAATGTAGCTAAGGAAATGATTTAATGATTCTTAGTATATAAATATTGGTTCATTTCCTTTAAAATACGTCATTGCGACTCTACCATCTAATTATTAATTTGTATACATTGTGTTTTTAGATTAAATGATTTTATTTTTTAATGTAGGTACTGTTAATCATCATAACGGCTACACTTTCGTAACCTTGACAATCGAATTGAAAACATTCTGATTATATTAGCGGTATAGTCTGCACGAGACTACAAAACGTTCGCCACTAGTAGTAGTAGGTGTATCTGTCTGTCTGTACGTAGGTAGACAGACCTCCGCGCGGAAATGTTGATTTGTCTAGTTAATGGTTCGATTAGTCTGAACGGCAGGTAGCTATTAAAATTAACAGCTCCCCATAACTAGTTAGTTGCCTGAATATTCGTAAAATGCTGAGATATGAGGTACGCAAGTCTAAAATTCATGCAATTTCCGAAAGGGGGACTCCCCTTCATAGATGGTTGTATGTAAGCGACCATTGTCCTTTGTGATAATTGTTAACATTTCGTACAAACTTTGAAACCCTCCATTGTTTGATGTTGCCCCTTTTTCTTTGCAACTATGTCGCATGTGTAATTTAGGAAATAGTTTCATCATACATTTTTGGGACGTTGTTCCAAGAACTTCGTTTTAACGTTGTGTCAGTAAAATGCTGTTATAACAAGTTTTATAAATACAAACCCAACAACCCACAGCGTCCCGCATGAGGTTTTATACTGCGACAGCGTTTCGTTTGGATTAAAACATACGCACTAAGGTTTTATAGGACTGCACGTTGTTGGCACGTGAGCAAACATGAAATTTCGGATGTTTCGGCAGAGCTACCTATTATAGTGATATATATTTATAACAGATCAAATCAAAATGCAAAAAAGATAGCTTTAACATTTTTTACAACAGCACGTATTTTTATACTATGTATTCTAAATATGATTTTAAAATATGATACTTGGTACTTAGATACTAACAAAGTCAATTACGTTTACAGCATGGTATGGGGATTCCATCGGTGGGTATTCTGCTGCACGAGGTTATTAAGCTGATGTACCACGCGAAGGTACGCGATCCTGTGTTCTTCAGGATCGGCACGTGCGGTGGTATCGGCTACGAGGGCGGCACGGTTGTTATCTCTGACGAGGCCGTTGATGGTGCACTCAGGAACGTTCTAGAATTGGTAAGCCTCACCTATAATAGCAACCTAAACTTATATACTTCAGTTCTTTTTTTAGTAGGTAATATTTTGGGAGTTCATATTTTGTATTGTTGTATTAAATCGCAATGTTCGCAACTAGTCGTAGCGACACGAAATATAAACTTCACATTTGAAATAACGTGAAGATGGTTGGCAGGCCACAACTGTGCGCTTCTCTCGTAGTTTTTTGCCTCGCACAGCAAAACTGTGGAATGATTTATCGTCGTCGATAGTTCCGAACCGTATCGGTTCGGACCTTCAAATCTTCAAGAATAGAGCGTATTTCTTTTTAAAAGCCCGGCAATGCATCTATGACTCCTCTGGTGTTGCGGGTGTCCATGGACAGCGCTGATCGCTTATCATCAGGTGACCCGTCTGCTCGTTTGCCTCCTATTCAATAAAAAAGATACCATGCTATATAATTTTCAGACGGTTTTGGGTAAGAACATCCAAAGACCTGCGAAATTGGACAAGAGGTTGGCGCGTGAACTGAAGGGCCTGGCTGATCCCGAGGATCCATATGATACCGTCACCGGAAAGACTATGTGCACATACGACTTTTATGAAGGTGGGTCTACACTCTACATATAAACTATACTAATGAACTACACTAACTGAAGTACACGTTCCTCGGTGTATTTCCAAGAGATCGATAATTTTACGGATATTTATAGAAGTGGTGATCCACTCAGAATTTAGTTTGATAGTTTGATAAATTAGGCACTTAATTGTAAGAAGTACTTAAGTAAATGTGAATACGTACGTGTACGGTCGAGCCCCTTTCTGAGATAAGATTATTTCCAAATTACAAATGATTAGATACGCTTATTAAGCTACGACTACAAACAAAGTCTTTAAATAGCTGCAGGGATATTAATATTAAAGCATAACGCTCTATTTCTACATAAAGTACCTTGGAGATAAGTATATGTGGTCTCTACAATGAGCAGTTGAGCTCAACATCATTCAGATTTCGTGTTATTTATGACACAATGTGAACTGGTTGAGTACCTACATGGTCATAAAGAGACCACATTCTTTGCAATGATCGTGTCAGAAACCAAACATTAAATCCGATTACAATTTGCGCAACAGATAAGCGGATAGCGGATATGTGTACTTAAGAACATAGTTAAACAAAATTATTTAGTTAATATGTATGTCGTAGGATAATTTGATACTTCGAATCTTCGCGGAAATCCTAGGGGTTTTGCGAAAACGCGGATAATTAGACATAGGCGAAAAATTATCAAATCTTACTGGACAAAGTCAGGATTTTTGCGAAAATACTCGTTACTATAGTAAGATTTGATGTGCTCAACACTGATTGGCTACAATTTTGCTGGCTGACTTCTAATTGGTTCCTAGTTTGCCGATGATTAACTTCAAGTATTGTATCATAGAGATATGAAGGTTTAGAATAGGTGAGAAAGAAAAATCACTAAATTGATTTTTATAAACGTTTTATTGAAAATTTTAGTATGTATGTTGTTTTCTACAGACAATAGAAGATCTCAGTCGTAGTAAAAAAAATGATCCAATTTTAGGGTGTAATCCATAAATTGGATGAAACTGGTCGTTTAAGACGACGAAAAATCATTTAAGACGTCAACCAATCAGAGACGATCTCTTATTGAACGCGCTGACCGACCAATCAGCGTTCTTATTTCATAACAGCCAGCGTTTCGTTTCGCAATCTTACTATAGTAACGAGTATTTTCGCAAAAATCCTGACTTTGTCCAGTAGAATTTGATAATTTTTCGCCTATGTCTAATTATCCGCGTTTTCGCAAAACCCCTAGGATTTCCGCGAAGATTCGAAGTATCAAATTATCCTACGACATGTATATCGAGGTCACTAATAAATACGACTGTGTCATGTCATATCAGGTCAAGGTCGTCTGGACGGTGCGTTCTGCGATTTCACGGAAGCTGACAAAATGGAGTACTTAGAGAGCATTCACAAGTCAGGCGTCGTCAACATTGAGATGGAATCGCTTGCTTTCGCTGCGCTGACGCACCATGCGGGCATCAAGGCTGCTGTTATATGCGTCACTCTGCTCGATAGACTGAGGGGGGACCAGGTAAATTAACTTTTACGTTAAAAATGACTAAAGTTTGAAGATTTCTAGTTCTGTTGTTCTATTGTTCCTTAAAGGACTGGTCTATTAAAATTATAAAACTAAATGAAATAATGTTAAAATAAAATATTATGTATTCGATTACAGGTTTTAGCGCCTAAGGAAGTATTGGATGAGTGGCAGCAACGACCAACGAAGCTTGTGTGCCGTTACATCAAAAGGTAATGATATCCGCGAAATGGAAAGTGGAACAGTATGCACATACATGTGTCTGTCGTCGGTCAATTGACATGATATGTGACGTGGCACGAATGTAAGCGAAGTAATAGGTATGTCGAATGACCCTTTGTTCAGTGGGTAAAGAAACACGAAGAGTGCAGTTGCAATTGGGTTATATCATTGTTTGAGCGCTTAGGCAATAAATCTTAGATGACTATAGATTCTACTTCTACCTACTCATAGGTAGTACTTACCTACTGACCTATTTCTAAAAGAACAGTGATGAGGTTCTGACTGAAAAAAACAATGAAACAAAATTAAGGCAACAGATTTTCTTAAGATAACAGAAACGAAATTTCTGAATACTTCTTGAAAAACCAACGAACGAAGACGGCGTGAATTGTAGTTCAAAAACCGAGATACTTTGATATTTTCTGGTAAAGGTTGAAATTAACGGTGCAAATTGTACTTATTGTGAGAATATTGAAGTAATAAATCTAATTCCAAGTAGGCAAGGCAATTTTTTCTAAAGTATGAGTTTTTTTAACACGTTAATTGATTACCATTTCTAGATATCTTCAGATGAAGGGTCGGCTGTCGCTGGATGGACACGGTTCCATTGCAGTGAAGAGCCCTCGCCGGTTCAAGCTGGTGCAGCAGGAGTCTGAGAACTACGACTAGAGTGTGGTCAGTCATCGCCCACCATGGAATTTCCAGGACAGCGACGGAATTGGGCTTGGACTAGTTCGGAGCCATCTGTGCTGATCGCTCAAATGTTTACTACGCTCCAACTTTACCTACTTCTTTAGTTTCTATTTTATATGTTTGTTACTTCACATCTTCGAAAATATATATTTTTTCGACTACTTTTGAAAGTGTACCAAAAATCTGGATATTTTTAAGTAGGATCGTTGACGCTTTTGTCAAAAGTAAAGATTTGGTCAGATTTATTTGTATTTAGTAGGCACGGAATCGAATATTGCTGTGTATGTATTTGGTTGGATAGTGACTCAGATCTTTCAGCTTTTATGAAAATTAAAAGAATAGCAGAAGCACTGCACTGCCACAATATGTTTTTCTCATGTTGACAAACTGTAAAGCGAACATTATCTATGTTACATTTAACTTAGGCTATGCTTTATGCACGTTGCACTAAAATATTATTTGGGACTTCCTATTTACTTAATTCGAGTCTGAGATAAAATAGGTACCCTTAACACGTTAATAACCAATTCTTGTTACTTGTTATAAAAAGACAAAATAAAAATACGATATTAGTGAGTAGACAAGTTACTTAGCGAAGTATGTAGAGACACTTAAATGAGTGGTGGATTGATGGCCACGATGTCAATATTTTAACTTAATCGTCTCACTACTTGTTATTTTATTCCTGTTAATGCCTTTCAGTTTTTTTTTGCGTAATACATATCTATTAAACTATACTTACTTTATAATTGACATATATTCGTTTTTGTACCTAATGCAATGTGATAATATTGCATTGAACATTGAAAATTGATCAATCAATTTTCAGATTATAGGTAATGTTTGTTTTTATTAATCCTAGCTGTTTCTTGAGTGCTAGTAAAGTATATAAGCTGAGTCACGGTATGAACGAATCGAAGTGCGTTGCTAAATGCTATGAATGCATTATTTTAATATGTTTGGTTATGTTGTTGCACAAACTGTATTAGCGACAAATGTGATAATATTTGGCAGTAGTGTAATGTAAGGACCACGACAAACGTTCAGATTCTTTGTCGGCGATGTTCGTCCTCCCTCAGACCTTCGCATTACTTTCACACCTTGCACAGTGACAGCTTGGAAGTTGGACATGTACAAGTACCTCTACTTACATGTTCATTAACATTCTTGACAGTGGCACTGAAAGGTTGTCTGCGTTAATGAAATATTGTTCTAATATCACTTGCGACGGAAGTGAAGGTAAACTTGTTATATGGCATTTATATTAATATGTAGGCACCTGCTCGGCCAGCAATCAGTGTCATGTACTATCACTTGTATTACTGCACTTGTGCTTGCGACAGTTCACATGTCAAAAAATCACTTGTATTTTAAAAGGACAACTGTTTGTATCACGAGCCTGTTTTTAAATCTGCATCGCCATCAGAAAATCGTACGTTTGTTCTATTGATTTATTGTGCTTCCACGAATGGTTATTGTTGATAATTTATGCACGAAGCGTTGTCAACATGCTTTATATGTTACAAGATATAAGTATAGAATAAGATATTCCAGTTATCTACGTTGATGTAGTTTTCATATTATATAAGATTATCTGATAATAAGAATGTTATCATTAAAATTAATCAGCTTACTATAGGGTTTGAGAGTAATTATTATTTTTATTTGTTTATTGTGAACGAAATGACCAAATCTTATGTCAGCCCGATGCTTTACATCGGCGATGTCACTCAGTAACTTGTGCGTTAGGCTAAAGTTTTGCAGACGTCAGCAAGTTTATTGTTAATCATGATAGTGATAAGGCCAACGCTACTATACGATAAAATTAAATTATAGTTAATAATCATGATAGTCCTAATTATAGCGTTGTACTAAATGTATTTATTTCATATTTAAATAACATTATACAACTGTAGTTCAATTTATGGAGTTGTTTTGTTGATGTTCCAATTTAAACATATCTTACTATATATATATATATACTAAAAACTTCTCTATAATAGTGTATTGAACAGCTTTTCGCAACTAAATATATCATCGAAATACTTATCAATGTCTATATAAGAAATATTGTTATTTATTCAATATTAAACTTCGTAACTATGTATTAAAATGTTTAACACCATGAATTTCTAATAAGAGTCTTTGGTTATTGCCATCTATGTATTTATTATGAACGAGTATGTTAAATTAACGGTGAAGCTCTATGTAATTTACAGATAATGTGCAATTTTGATAATTTTAATAGAACGCATTCGAAGGAAGCCTAATTAAGTACATATGTATCTAAAACTAATCAGTTGGTTTTAATGTAAATATGACACTTGTAGACTTTAACAGATTGCAATTAAGAAAAACTTAAGAATGTGTTCTTTTAATATTATCTGTCAGATTACCCAGTGACGCTGCATCAACTAATTTAATATAATCCTGACATGGTTATTACTAAAAGTAAGTTTAAACATTTTTAAACGTGTACACATAGGTGTGTGGCTTTGTTCCATGGTAAGATATAATTATAGCACTGTTGTTAGATGTTAATGAATGTTGTCGGCCAGAATATAAAATGTTATTCGTTGCATATCCCCGTGTTATGTACTGTGGCTACTGTGGCCAGTTGAATCACGTATCGAAACATTATATCTTAACGAATTAGGTAGGTACGTATATTTTTATAAAACTGTATTTAAATAACGACTTACCTATCTACTTTGAATATCTGTGTATTAACATAATATTACCTATGTATTATGTAAAACAGTGCCGTATTCGTGTTTATTTATATTACATTTGTTCTTCAATAGCTGCTTATTTATAAATTTAACTTAATTTTACCCTAGAGTTTCTGTATGAAGAATATTCTCAAGTAATGAATGAAACGCTAATTGAGTGTTGTTTGTTTTTTAATATTGTATTTGATGTGAAGATAATTGTGTCCAAATGAGTGCATGCATGTCGTAAAGACGTTTGAGTAGGTGATGACTTTGATGATTGGGCAAGTGGAATGGAAACACTTATGCATGTTCGTTCATCAATAATATTTATCTCATAATTGTGTGTCCTTACCTATTTATTTACAATAATTGATTAAGTTAACATAGATGCGACAGCGAGGCTACAACTGCTACAAGTATTAATAAATTCGTGTACAAGGATACATGGCACCAGAATTATGAATTAAGTAGTACATACATATTAAGAAAACATCGCGAGTTTCTTTTTACTATATTTCTATATTTTAATTATAACTATGAGTATGTGGTCAGATCTCAATGCACCATAATAATTAACACAAACTTCATTTATTTATTACATCTTACAGAATTAAGATGCTAAAGTACAGTAGAACAGATCCATGAAACAGAATGTTTTTTAATATTTTACGGACCATGCTCTCTACGCTCAAATCTGAAAATAATGAAAAACAGTCCATCGCATTCGGCAGACACAGAGGTTTGTCATTTTGTTTTTTGATCGTAGGTATTTAGTGGTTTTCTGAAGGTAATACAAGTTGAAGGTACTAAAGTGGAACATATGGATTTGCATTATATATTTAATCATTCAGTCTTTATAATAGTAAACTGTTAAAATGTACTTTTATTGTTGGTTATTCATATAATTATGATATTTGATGTAAGTACTTAATTAAATGAGCAAGTAAGTTATGTGTGCGTTTATTTTGGATTCGAACCAGAAAAGTAAGCATTAACTATGTGAGCTGTAGGAACTTCATGAGTGCGTCGTGTATGAGCCGTGGACTGGCGTCGCTGTCGGCCGTGTAGCGTACGCCACGTAGAGCGCCGTCCTCATTTCTCACCACCCCGTATTCCCCAACTATGAAACCATCTGGAGTTCTTTCTTCTACTCTATACTTCTTAAACTGCCGTCCTTCTAGAACGTATCCTACTTTACAATTATCTTGTTTACACTTCTCAGTGCTCGTATCTGGCTGTACTCCGTGGCTACGTCCATCTGTTAACACACTGATTTTTTCATCAACTTCGTAGTTTTTCTCCGGCTGGTGTTCTAAGGTAGTCTGTTGTTGTAATGCATTAACAGTACTTATTGGGGTTGTATTCACTGTACTGCTACCAAAGGGCGTTTGGGGTTGTCTTTGCCATAGAGAGTAGTTAGGAGCTATGCTTGAAGGAACGTTTTCATTAAGGTGTAAAGAAGCCGGTTCACTGTAAAATTTAGACGGTTCACTATAAATTTTAGCAGGTTCACTGTATATTTTAGCCGGCTCACTGTATATCTTAGCTGGTTCACTGTATACCTTAGCTGGTTCACTGTAAAACTTAGCTGGCTCACTATATATTTGTGCTGGTTGACTGTAAATTTTAGGAGGATCATAAAATGGTTTTGGATTACTAATCACTTGACTTGAAGTTATGTATGAGGTACTAGGTTCGTTGTCATTAGTGGTTTCAGCTGCATCGTGTACTATATTAAAACTAACTGTGGTTAATCTTGGGTTACTTCGTCCATCATTTAGCGGTCTATTTGTAAAACCTTGAAGGTTATTTGAGGAGTGTCCTGGTAACATAGTAGCTGTCGGTGGTATGTTTTCTATTGCTTCGTTATATTTCGCAAATTCGACTGACTTTATAGATGGTTCAGCTACAGAGTCGTCACTTTGATCATTTTTATTATTAGACGTAAAAGATCTAATTGCAGTCAAGAGATCTGTATTTCTAGTTTCTTTATGATCAGTTTGTAGATCGTCATCGTAAATAGTTGTAATATTAGTTACATTTTGATCATCTTTATTACTACTTTCTGATACGAGTTCCACAGAAGGTTGAAACAATGCCGCTCTTGTTGTATCATTATGTTGACTTTGAAGATAAGATTCGACAGGCGAGTTCATTTCTGTATTTCTGAATCTTTGAATTGATTTCTGATCTTCAAATCTGTTAGCATCCGCTGTTGATGGTACTTTTCTAGCAAGTGGTACATCGAGGATGCTTTCTTCATATTCGTCTGTTTTTCTCAAAGTTTCGTCGTCGTTTTTATTTTGTTCTCTGATCGGTAACATCATTGGGTACACTTGACCTGAATTGTGTTCTCTTGATTCTTTTTTTGCATTTATTTGCTTTAGATATTCTATGTTAGCGCCTACTAGATTTGGCGGTAGATTTGTAGTTTCTGTTTGCATCAACTCATCAATTTTGGTCATTGTGTTGCGAGTTTGTGTTTCTGAGATAGAAACTTTAGGTGGATCATCTTTGAGAACAGGTTCCTTTACCTCATCGCTAGGGTATCTATACATAGGTTTGCCACGACCGACGGCCACCGATGATGTTATTCTCACTGATATAACTTTTTCATCCGAGGAATCAGGTGAATCTTCATACTTTGGCAATTTTGGAGAATTATTCATGGATTCATGGTCGAGGCCGATGACGCTCAAATCGTACTGGTTCGGTACCGGTAACGATGCCGCGTAACTTGATAGGATCTGAAAACAAGAAAAGCCTTAGTTAGTTGTATGTAATTACTTCTTAAGGATTTTAAATATGTTATCAGACATTGTTAGTTTTAGACATTGGACACAAATAAGTAGATATATGTTCATGTGTAAATTTAATAAGGTTAATATGTTCGAATCCTGAGCGTTCTATTCTTCTCAAATGGCCAGACTAGACTAATTAATTCAATAGGTACTAACTATAGTATAGGTACTCGTACAAAGAGAAATAAATAGAACTACTTATTCAAAACAGCGTTTCGTATCCACTGCGAAATCAAAACATAATTTGTTCTACGAAAATAACTAATGTTTAAAAGTAATTTATTATGAAATATTTAATTAATATTTTATGCTATGAAAGCATGAACCGTAACATATAACACATTCCGCTCTACAAACTGCATCGAGGAATGTAGGCTGGGAAAAATGTTGTTTCCATCAAGGTAAATGAATCTGTCGATAATATACCTACGATATGAATAAAGTTAGGTACTTGCACGACTTGCTGTCATGGACAATACTATCTACGGCCAACGATTATAGGAAAAGAATATCGCAATAATTGAATTCGTTGTCCATAAGTCTACAATTCTGAACAATGAATTTCTATAGCTAGCTAAAGTGTTAGAATTCTTATGTCTAGGAAGAAATGGAAAGTACTCAGTTTTTTTTTTAAACTTTGCCCCACACTAGGATCGTCTCCTGTGTCGTGGGTGCGTTTACAAACATACAAGTTCACATACACATGACACCCAGACCCGAAACAACCATTTCTGGACCACGCAAAGTGTTGTTCCGTGCGGGAATCGAACCCGTGACACGTTGCACGGCAGCCGGTTGCCCAGCCACCACACCAACCGTGCAGTCACCAGCAGAGTTAATTAAATATAGGTAGGGAAATTTATTATGTTTTTTGTAGCAAAAATCTATATAAGATTTAATTATTACAAGTGGGTTAGTGTATTAATGGTAATCTTATGCCTCTGTAGAGTGAATTGTAGAAGAAAATTATTATTTGTAACTATTTGTCAAAGCTTGTTTCATTATGATGAGATTTATTTATTAAGATCAGATTCGACCGTGTCAATCGATACGAACTCTAGAAAGGTTATTGAGCTCTTGGACAGAAGACTTTTGCGCGTTATTTTTTAACAAATTCCTTGTTTTTTTTATGTTGTCTTCTATATTTTCTGGCACTCTGCTGTTAGTGCTCATGGTTTTTCTATTTACTTATATCCAATCTTAAATTCGCCAGTAGGTACCAAATATACATAACTTTTCAAAGCTTTTGCCCATGGAAAAGCATAATATAGTAGACAGTATGAACTTATTGGATAATTTCATACATACATATTTTACGAACATTCAGTTAATTAAAGTATTTTATAGCACCAAGTGTTATTATGCTAAGTACATTGATATTGCTGTATATCCACGATTCCCAATATATTTATGGATTTAAAGGCATGAGAAAATTGTCAAGTTCAATTACTCAAAATAAATGTTGGTAAATATTAGGTATAAAGATTTATTCCACATTTTCAATGATTCCTTTCTTACCCAATATCACACTTGGTGGAATGTAAGTACGTATTCAGATGAATTACTTATTCTGAATTGTTTTGTTCATATTAAAACCAGATCCACATATTTCGTAGGTCAACATGGCGTGGTACTGGTAACTTTTTATATTGTCAAGTATTATATTGTTTCCTTCTCACGTCACGAGCTCTGCGCATGAATATATTTAACTGTTTGTTTGCTTTACTTGTCCATTAATATTATAAAACGTTTTTATTTATTTAACGTTATCAGATAGAAGTTGCAAATTATTTCTGCTAGCCAAATTCGTAAATCTAAACCCTAAGTGAGACCTTGGGTTTTGCAAAAATAATGAATATTTTAAAATGATTACTTTTATAAGGTCGTGCGTTACAACGAGTTACATTAGAGGTTGGTCTATAAAGATGAAAGATTAGTGATAGTTAGGATATTGGATAATACCTTTACGTCTAGAATAGTTTCTAACGGGTTTTAAAAAACTCGAACTTTATCCTGCTAATATTATAGATGCGAAAGTTTGTGCGGATGTTTGTATGTATGTTTGTTACTCTTTCACCTCTAAACGGCTGAAGGTGGTAGGACGAAATTTGGAACAGGGGTAGATTATGGCCTAGAATTAACACGTAGGCCACTTATTATCCCAAAGGAACATGGACGAAACCGCTGGCAGAAGCTAGTTGTTCATAATGTCAGCAACACATCTATGGTGTTTTTAATGTAAAATGTGTAGGTAATCTTTCAATGTCAATCTAGCAAACTGTCCGTGATGGTTATTATAATATCGACATAGTTATATAAAGGAAATTGCGAATGATCGTTACATTCAATGTCAAAGGGTTTGTAGGCGTAAGTAGGTAGATACTTTTTATCTAAAATCTACCTTCTTGTATTATTGAAGAGTTCTCATATAGATATTCTTACATATACGATACTTTACGTAAGTAAGTAAAGTATTGTCAAGTTTACTTATGTAAGTAAAGTATTGTATATATGTGTATATGTATATATATGTAGCTATGTAGCTATGTATCTACGAATGTGTTTGAACAATAATCTGGCATTATTTTAGATAAGCAATATATCTAATTAGTGGGCTAGTAATAATTAGTGTTCACTAGGCCGAGCGGAAATTAGTGGCAAGAACAAGAGTGGTGTCTGGTTGCTGGCGGATGCGAGGACGGCGGCGCTGGCCCAACCGACCCAGTCAGTGACCGCGTGGGCGTCCTTGCCAACTGTGTACCTAACTATATCAATACCTATAGATACAGATACTTTACTGCACGTTGGTAAATGATTGAACCAATTTTATCACTTTCGTGTCAAAGTGTTCAATATAAAAAGTCTTTAATTAAATATAATTTGGTTTTAACTTGTTGTCATTACTACGCTAAATGATTTACTGAAATTTTAAATATATCTTAGTAGATATACCTTTTTTTTAAGTATTCTATTCTGCCACCCATCTTCAACTACTTACAGCGAAAGCAATGATAAGATTAACAGCAATTATAAATTTAAAAATATCTAGGCAATGTATCCCAAATGCCCAAGTCCCAGAGACGTCGAATCCCGTAATGAAATTAGTATGCAGGTAAATCTATTTTTTTTTATTAAATACTAAGTTCTTAAAAATCGACAAACTAGTTCAATGATTGTGGGCGATAAACTTGCTACAGCCGTTACCACGCTACCTTAATTTCTTATGCAACCTTTATTTAGTTTTTTGCGCCGCGAACGCAGCAAATTCTTTTCAATATAAAGGTGATAAAAGCACTTTATAAAAACATTATTAATAACTAGAGCATAAATTAGAAATATGAATATATTTTTCTTTCAAATCGGACAGCTGTTTTTTGTTAACTATCTAAGCACAAGTAAACATTGTAACGAGGAAAAAACGAAACTTGATTCGATTGGAATGTATCGACAAAAAGTTGGCGCTTGTCGTACTTACATATGTACATATACACGAGTGTGAAATGTCTAGGTATGAGATACTTACATGTTTATTAATGTGACATCGTTATTAATTGTTCATGTGTTGAACTTGGTCCTCCATGTTTTTTGTTTCTCATATTTTTTTACTATTGAAATAAGAAGTGAATTTATTCGACCGATTCCATTCTTGGAAATGCCCTGCATCCGGGATCGAGTGTACTTGCGTGCTGGTAATTACCAATATCTAGTTGAATCGGGGAATAAACCTTTTTGATCTTCAATCAACGAATTTACGGTGTCAATCTGGTTTCATAGAATGCAAAAGTTTGACTAATGAGTCAAACTTAGTTATGAAGAAAAGCACCTTTTAACCACTTTTATTCATTAATAAAAGTGGTTAAAAAGTACTCTAAATAAATATGTAAGTAGAATCGGGTTTGGCAGTTAGATTCGTGCGGAAGTTAAAAAATCCGTTATGAAGTAACACATTATTGTGACCTTACATTAAATCTAAAAGCGAATTTAATTGAATGTGACCTTTAAGAAAAAATGCTCCACAAACAAATAGGTACTTAATAGCTACCTACATGTTAATTAATGTATCATTTATTACTCTTACAGTTACATTTCAATAATAATTGACAAGAAAATTAATTACGATTTTTTCTCCAAACACGTGCAAGGTTTTAAAAACATTTTAGTGCATAACGTCTTACAGGCTGCATGATCATTGAAATATTAAACAGTGGTTTTGGTGACAGTTAGCGTTAATAGAGCCCGGAGGTTAAGACGCCCGCTTCGGAACCTATCAACGGTAAGGACCAACGTGACTTTTCCGAGTTATATGTACGTTCTAAGATTATTTAGACAAAACTGACAAATGGTGAAGGAAATCATCGCGAGGAAACCTGGACTTATAAATTCTAATTATAAGTTTGAAATCGTCAACCCGAAATCAGTAAGCATGGTGATTAATGCTCAAACCTCCATGTGAGAAAAGGCTTCGCTCAACAGTGGGCACTTATAGGCTGTTGATGTGAAGCATTAATGAGTACCTACCACAGAAATAGTAACTATATCTATGGTACCTACATATATTTGAATAGATTGACACCTACTTACCTGGCCTGGCCTGTCTTACAGTAAAGATCAGAGACTTAATATCACAAGATAGAAGGATAAAATACAGATATAATCCTACAACACATATTTGTATGTAATTTGCTACCGATTTCATGTAGAGCTAGATTTCTAAAACATTTTCAGCCCTAAATGAGTAAGCACTATTTTTACGCTTAACCCGTCGAGCGTCCGCGTTCCTTATGATCCAACGGGTGCACACGTGACATTTGGAGAAAGAAAGAAAGAAAATGCATTTATTTGGCCATTGGCACACGAAAAGAAGGATCATTACAATAGAAATAAAAATACAGTCAAAATAAAAACAAAACATTAATAATAGATTTTATAAAAGAGAAAGCAGCATGGAGCATTTTTTCTTATGATCCACCGAGTGCTCATAAGGACGCTCGAGGGGTTAAGCCGCGGCGAAATACTAACTACGCTCTACTACTATTACTAGCTTCGGCTCCACTGCCGAGCCAGTAATTCGTAGGGCGTAGTTTGTAGTGTGTCGCATAGTTCGTAGCTCGCAGGTAGTAGTAGCGCATAATTCATAACGCAGAGTTCGTAGCGCGTAGTTTGTAGGCCGTAGGCCGTAGCAGGGATTATCTGCTATTTAATTCCTTAAGCGTGCAACAGTAAACCGTGGACTGAACTGACAAGTAGGTCACACGAAAGAGTTTATAAACTCTACAAAATACGTGATCTGGGTTATTTGTTTCTATAAAAACAATTGCATACCAGAAAAATACATTGAAAAGATCTTATCTTTAGATCGAGTCTATATATGATTTAGGATGGTCAAAAATCAAAACCATAAAAAAAAACAGTTGCAGGCTATAGACAGACTGCTCAGTAGAAGAATAATTGGCGCCTCACAGCAAAAAATAACAATTGATATTTAAAATGAATTAGCAAACATTGATGAACTTAATGACAGGTGGCGTATTTGTAGGTGTAGCGGGATGTAGCTGGGCGTGGAGTGCCGGTGGGCGCCACACACGTGCCAGCGACGTGACAGTGAAATACCTACCTGAAGGCCTTGGATGTGTATAAAAACTATACGCTAATAACCCATTAAGTGTAACAAGATATTTAATACTTTAATCATTAACGTTCATTTATTTCAATCATGATATTTATTGAGTACGAAGTGACCGCCTCTTTAGTACAGTAGTTAGATGTGCCACTGCACTGCTATGTACTTAATTCCGAAAACGATCTGTGTGCAAGGTATATTGGGATTTTGATAATGCATCTTACTTAGTAACACAGACTGGAATATTTTACTTCGTACGACAGAGGAAATCAATCAAACGCGAAATTCCCTATTGTATGATAGCCCTGAAAATAAATGTTGCTTAATATCTATATTACTTGGAGTATTTGAGGAAAAAGGGCTTGAATTCAAAAGAAATTTTAATAAACCTTAGTACAACAATATCTTACTCGTCAGAAGCAATTTGTCAATATTAACTTTGTGGATATTTCTCTTAGAATTGGACGCAATATTAATTGAAAGCAGGTGTTGCAGTGCCTGTATGTAATTTGATTAGGCTACAATTTGCCAACGACCGTGGACTGATAGCAACAAAAGCAACATAAAGTGCCCTGTATAAGCCTGTGTAGGCAGGATTAGCGATCCGGCAACTTTAATTGTTGTTACAGAATATCAAACAGTCAAACTGTAAGTTATTTAGGTGCTTGTTATTCACGTACTATCTAACCCTTCTCATAGATACCCAGTGTATAATTAGGTAGCATTTGCTGTAATTAAAAATTATTAGGTTACATCCTAAAGCTGCAAATAAGCACCGAGTAACGTGCACGGCGACTAAAATTTCGGTACGGTAAGCCACTGTGTGCTATCCTCAAGCCGAGTGCGAAATATAAACACGCCGAATAAAAGCAAAAATGATGACAAAACTTAACTTCACTGTAGGAAGTAAGTAAATCTGACAAATATGTACATTCTAAATGCGCATTCAAGAAAAGCCACAGTCAGACGCTAGTTTAAGAGTTGTGCGCAAACGATTAAGGGCGTTCCTTTAGATAAAAGTGCTCGTCGAAGGCCGCCTACTGCGCTGGACAATGCGCGAATATTACTACAAGTTAATTGAACGATTGCAACTGTCGCACCTGCGTCACGGCCTGTCACCTTAATACTAAAATTATTCGCATAACTTCCAATTTAAGTATTTAAAGAAGTCAGTGTGTTTCATTTTGTTTCATACGCGTGCGTAGCAGTGCATGTATTCACTCAGAATGTTGTTTGTAGGTACCTAGTATCTAGGGTATCTATGGATACCAAGTAGTAGCACTGACTCCCTCCTTGACCTCCCTTTTTAGTACAAAATGTTAAAATTGCACATTATAATAGAATAGGATCTAAGCTAATTACGAATTGCAATCAAACAAGCTATTTGATGATAATAATAGACGAATGGTCAGCAGACAGCCAATCGAGTAATTTAGTTTCTGCGTTAAATGCCCTCATCCTGCACATAATTCATTTACCTACATTTGGTTTTCAATACATTTGATAGGTCTGCGTGTTGTAAGTTTGTGAATGATTATTATCTAAGAATCGAACGAAACAATGATTTTCCTTCTACTATGTTTACGACAGATTTTCCTCTGGTAATAAGAAATGAGATAGCTTGTGGAGCATTTGTCTGGAAAGAGATTTATTTAGTAATTCTTTGTCTTTATTATCCATATACGGTTCACAGACAGTGGACGGGGAGCCGAGCAAACCAGTTCTGATTTACCAGATCGTGCGGTATTTTAAACTCGAATGCAAATAAATTGACCCATGATAAAGAACTTGAGAGCACAAAGAAAACTTTGTACATATTGATCTGCATGCATTGTACTTGCATAGTTTAATTAAAACGTTCAACATTAACATTATTCCATAATTTTATCTATATACAATTCGGAAGTATTAAGTTTTAAGCAAACTTCTTTTGAATTGAAATGCTAATTTAATTAAGTTTAATCATTTTCATTTCATTTAACTGAAACACTAAGTAACTATTCTAATCAAATTTTGTAAAAAATATTTTTGTCTGAACAATTTTTTCAACGAATCACGGTACCTTAAAGTGTAGCGGATGTTATAAAGTGAATCATTAATTCTTTTAATTACGGCTATGAGTCGATCGTGTGTTAAATTACCCTAATATAAGTAATTACCGAAGAATATTCCTTGGCAACATCTGTTTTATTAATATGTTTGTTTATCTTTAAATTAATGTTATGCTCTAAATAATTGTAACTATTTCGTACCGCATTATGCATTCGCCTATTTACGACTACTGTAGATTTAATATGTACAACATACTCGTACATAATTTGACAAAACGTTGTTAAAGTAAAAATTACGATCTTTAGTTAATCATACGATACGTTCCGACGCCTGCCGTCTGATGGCTTAAACTGATAATATTGCAGATAAAATGGAGACTGTAAAACAATATTACGCCCATAAATATACATACACGCCTACCTGATGCCATTTTATAAAAAAGACCAGGAAGTGCTCTAGACCCGTTTCGCCCTCAGATGAAATGAAATTAGTGTGCGCCGTCGATCCAGTTTGTTTAAAGATCACTGTGACATTTATCACACACACAATTATATTCGCTTTGAACTTGCAAAGGGCGCTGCAACCACACTCATGTTGCTAAGGGATTTCTATTTTTATACCCTGGGTTTATACGCTAAACTAGTCTCAGATACAGTCAGTTTGTTGTAGTGTACAGATGTATGTAAGGATTTCAAGTTCAACAGACTAGATACTCTGCATCTTTAGCATTCATTGAGGAATTGCGATCATGACCACGCTCACATACTTTAACTTGTTGCATAATGACATAATAGCTCATGAATACTCGTATTAAAACAAAGCTTTGCAACATTTTTAACGAAGAAGTAGATCGAATGTTATTTGTGGAGGTAACTAGGTACCTATGTGAATGTAAATACAACCCACACAAATATTTAATTTAAATCTTATTCATCAACCTTGCTGAAGTGACAAGCTATTACAACTGTAATAAAAATGCGAGCTTGGTTTCTTTAGAATATTACATTGTTCTGGTTTCTAATAAAACGGTTATATCGTATTAGATTTTTATTCATTACCTACTATTAGGATTGATGCATGGCGATAGCAGTGCTGAATAAGTACTTTTATTACCATTATCACCTCTACTTTCACGTTGGTGACGTAATTCGACTATCGATTAAGTGGCCTACACCTTGAACTAGACTGGGCAGCAGAGATCTCTGTTAATCCTGAACCTTGTGATACCCATCCGTCTACCAAGCATGATGCTTATGAAAACCCTTTCTTATGTAAAGGAAGAGGAGACCCATTAATGTGTAATGTAATGTTAATGTGTAATGTAATGTAATGTAATAAAAATTATTATTAAAAAAAAAAATATTATTATATCTTAAAAATACTGGCAAGAGATGTTGATCTTCTTTTGCATTTACGTAAATAATATGAATAGACTATACTTACGATTAAAGTATATACATAATTCAGTACAAACATTGCCTATATTTATCATGATATATTATACTTTTTTTTAAATAGAACCTAATACAATACAACAAGCTTTTACCTTTCGTAATTTCGTAATTCACAAAGCTTCAGCGTAAGGGAAGTTAACTTTCGTTAGTTTTATTAAGTTCAATGTTGTTAAGTTATTGTAAGTATAATAAAGTCTAGTGTATAATAAAGTCTAAATTTAAATATGTTAAGCATAGTTATTTTAGAAATATGGAACTATGTATCTAGGTAAATTGTAGGTACTTGGTAGCTATAACTACCAGTCTTGTCATTGTTTAATCAATACGAAATTAACTAAACGATGTAAGTTTTGATTTAAATAAAATTGTAGGTACCTACCTAGTTAAATGTTACACTAATATGGAGAAAATTAACGGAGACTTGTCTGTGTTTATTCGATGAATATTTGCATAAACATCACTTGCGGTATTTTTCAGAGCATGGGTAATTAGCAGCTATTTGCTGATAACGCATGCACCTAACCATACCATTGAAGACACAAGCATCAAACAATTAAAATAGTAAAAATAGTTCAAACCTAAGGTCAAAGGAAAATGGTGATTGTATTTATCCTAATTAACATTAAGACACATTTGGGTGGTTTCCATTATATAGTCGTTCCTTCTGAAAACATGCAAAAAATAATAAACAATAATTAAACCATACCAGAAGGACAATCCATAATAGGTTGTAATTCATTTCGCAGCAGGACAACGGCGCACCTTAACACACTAGTTAGTTCTACTGTATCGATAATGACATGTCCACTCTGACAGGAATAACTAACAAACACATCTTATTGGGAGGCAGGGGTTACTGGGAGCACATCGGGATGTGGAGGTGCAGGCCGCCACCAGGACTCGATGCAACACTAAGCGATTTCCTCTGATTCGGTTTTCGACTCGAAAAAGCGATTCGCTTCTACTACACGAGTGGCCTGCGCGCGCGCCGCGTTCAACTACTCCACTCAACAGTACTGGTGACCTTAACAATTAAGAATTTATTTTATTAATGCACTTTCTTATGACGTGTTACGCTTAAGGCACGCCAATATCAATCGACTTACGTCTGCGATGAGACAAAGAGCTTAGTACAAGAATAGTTTATTAGCGATAACAATGTAAGTACATAATTAAAATTGAACATTGGATAATGAATAGTGATAAAACATTAACATCAACCCTTTTTCTTTGCTAAAGAATATAGAGCGATGACAAAATTAAAATGTATTTGATAAATAACAAGGCAAAATAAGGTCTGATAGTGTTAATGTCCGTAGTAGGGATCGTGTTGGTGCTGTACTGGTGCGTACTGGGGCTCTGCGTACTGTGGGTTGTGGGGCTCGGTGTACGGCGGCTCCACATGCAGGGGCGCGGAGTACTGGGGCGCGGAGTATTGAGGCACGGAGAACTGAGGTGCGGAGTATTGGGGCGCCGGCGCTGTGTACTGTGGTGCCGAGTACTGTGGCTGATATGATGGAGCCTGTAAATGACGTCAATTTCATTCACATTTTAGTTACGTAATATAAGTAGAATAACACTATTGTGTATATACAACTTATGATTCTTTTATAAACTACGTTTAAAATAATCGACTTTAACTAACAATTTTTTTGAATTCGGTTAATTAATATACTGAAAGCTTCTTCCAAATGTAACAAACACTTTGCTGAAATCGTATCAAAATCGGTTCAGCCAATCGCGAGATGATTGCGTACAAACATACATACAAACATACATACATACAGGTCAAAGCTAGGACCTCTTTTTTTCTGAAAGTTGAAGTTTGAAATCGGTTAAAATGTAATTTATCTTTTAGGTAGTGGAAAAATCTTGTTTGGTATATAAAGAATACGGTGTGCCATTGCTAAATAATTAGCACTTGTTACTAAGGTAGATATAGGTATCGGAGCCTATGCTATATGCATACTATGCACCCGTTATGTATGTACGTATCTAACAGTAAGTGGATATAGTGCGGAAGGGAAACTGGTATACAATACATTTTACATCTGCAAGTCGCCCACGATTCTGACGTGATTTAATTGCTCACTTATTACTGATTTTATGGTATGCAGTCGCTACTAATTTGGTGTTGCGGTCTCGCCGAAAATGCTTTATCGCACGAACTTAGTTTCAATGTCGAAAAAACAATGTCTATCTAATTACATAATCTGTAATTTATTCAATCACAGGTTGAATTTAGGTGAATTACAGCGTAATAAGAAAAGCTACAAATAAGCCCATAACGCTTAAGTAGATACTCGATATGCTGCTAGGACCTTACCAAGTGGCAAGCGACAGCAATAAACAAAATGTCCTACCTGATAATTATACGACGGTTTCTTATCTGCATGATGATGTTTCTTCAAAGGGATGCTGTTCGCCAGCAATTCTTTCACCTTTAGTTTGGTAGCCAGAAAATTAGCTGCCATGGCTTTATTAAAAGCTTTGAGTTCTTTTATCTTAGCCTTCACAGCCCAGAGCCCGTCTTTTAGCAAGTCCAGCTTGCCTAGGGACATGTCATCCTGTTCTTGGTACTCGTCGTGATCGTACGAAGGAGTCTCATACGCCGCTCGCAGCAAATGGTGGTCCTCGTCATCAAGTTCATCGTAGCGTACTGTATGCCGCGCTGACACTGCAAAAAGCATTTTAGTTTATAATGAAACATTGTTCTGGAAGCTGATATTTTAAAAAATCAATCAACTTAAATTTAAATGACAGGGACTGCCTATAATTATTTAATTGTGTTTTATTTAAATTGGTAGGTAGCTATCTTAGGTATATAGTTAGATACCTACCAATATCAATCTCAAAGTAGATTGCAATTGCCAAGGCCTTCGAGGTATTAATTTAATGCATAATACATGCACATATAGAGGTATATTAGAAAAATAATCTAACTTCGATGAAAATTTGTTTCACCATCATCTAGTGAACTAGGTGGTGTGTACCACGTGTGTACCAATGCACCTAACGGTTTCAGTATATACAAATTCGGAGGTGTGCGAGTGCGAATACAGGTTAAACACATATGTATATATGAGTGTTAACTTCGTTTTATAATTAACCACTTTCATTGTAGCACCTTGGCATTGTACTCTGATGTAATTATATCAGCAGGCAGTCAAACCAAAGTCTTAATTTAACCCGTCGTGTGTCTAAACGTGGCCCCACGCGAGACACAATGTATTCTATTGTGTCTCATATCGGTGCATTCAAGCGGTGAATTTACATGTTTTACTCAAGTGTCTAATATAATTATTGAGCGGAAATTATCTGTGTATTCAATTTGATTAACTAGCGACCCGCCTTGGCTTCGCACGGGTGCAATATGCATGTGTTATACATATAAACCTTACTTAAGAATCACTTTATCTATTTAAAAAAACCGCATAAAAATCCGTTGCGTGGTTGTAAAGATCTAAGCATACATAGGGACAGACAGACGGCAAATAGCGACTTTGTTTTATAAGTACTATGTAGTGATAGTGATTACACGTTAACACCACATGGTACTGGTATAGATTAGTTTCTTTTATTTTGGCAAGCATTGAGAGTAATCATATCGAGGGTACTTACCGAGAGCAATGAAAAATAAAAAGTAAATAATTTTGAAGCACATTTTAAATTATTTGTTTCGGATAATTCTTCCAACACGTTTGTTTCAATGAGTTTGCTTCCTTGTTCTTTAGTTTACGGTAGAAGTTCATGATATATAATTTTATGGATACCCGCAATAAAAAAAAATACAGGTACATAAGTATTTGTTATAAAGGCGGTAACTGATTTTATTCATTCTTTAGAACTTCCGGTAGCACAACGTCGTTCATTGTAGTTTCGTGCTCGGTTATTGATGATAGATGATACTAGATGAAATTGATGACAGATCTGATTACTTCGATGTTTGCTACTATGGCCTGTATGATTATATTAACTACCGATAAAATATGACTTACTGACGAAAATGGTTGTACCTACCTAAGTAGTGACGTTATAGTGCTTTCCACATGATGTACCTACGGTTCGTTTAACCTTCCATTTTCTTAACATTTCTCAAGTAATGTACCTATGTATGTATTTAACAAATAATGTTTACTTATCTACATATCGATCGAGGTCAAGATAATGATTGATAGTGTAGTTATGAGTTATTGTAGGTACGTACAAAACTTAATTGTTACTTAAGTCATATTATCATTGAACATAATTAGTTACAGTACCTATACATATTATCTAGATAAATCACACAAAAACCAACAAGCAATGGCCACCGAACATTAAGTGGTTATGGTAATTAGACCTTACCTACCAGATTGATTGGGTGTGTCGAAAAAATAGAATAAAAATAAAGCAATTATTTGAATTATGTACATATTTATTTACTAAGTAAGTTTTGAGTGCCTACATATGGATATACGGTGTGTCTAAGTAGCAATTATAGGTAGATACATAATAATTATGTTCTATAATATATGAGATTACATTCAATAAGGGAACGCCGCAATTTGTTTGTCCGGAAAGAAGTTTTTTTAAATGTTACCTACGTCAAATAAAATCAATTTTATATTATGTTAAGAAGGTACCTAGTGGTGAACTTTGTCTACATAAGTTTTTGTGGGTATTAAACTATATGAGTAAGTACTATACTTCGTAAGTAAATGATTGATTTTTTTTATTCTATATTATTCAATGGTACTAAACTTACACATATTGTGTTGCGTTCATTCTCTATTAAAACAGGACTAATAATATTTCTGGTGTTCTGTAGATATATTGTAGATTCCGATTCTCCCTCTTAGGAAAAATTTATCTTTAAAGTATGAGTTACACAGAAGTCTGGACGTGTGTCAACTAATACATATTAGCATACATAGCGGCAAGTAGCTTGTTAAACAATAATTAAAAACAAACTTGCTATGTTTCATGATTGATGAGTATAAGTATAAAGTATGTCAGCACGTCAGCACCTAATTTAATTAATCATTGAAGACAGACAGACATTTTTGATTTATGTATTTTAAGTATCGTTAGAATGAGATATGTAGGTACAATAATAATTGAATCATTGTACCATTTATAGTTTGAATACTATAACTTTTACTTTTAACCGCTTGAATGCACCGATATGAGATACAATAGAAAATACATTGTGTCTCGTGTGGATCCACGGGTCACAAAAGAACAATCAACGCAACGCTTATTTGTTCCCATATTCATAATAGTGGTAGGCGAATTCCAAAAAAAATAGTAAAAGCAAAACATCCTTTCTTTATCTTCGAAATAAGAAGTTTCTTTCCTTTTTTGTATTTTTCTGTAAGTACATATTATGTATATCTACCATCCCTTGAATTGGGGTTTTTACACTATCCGTACTTACTTATCGAGGTCACATAGTCGTATGCATTACTCGTCTTATCGACATTAACGATGGTTTCCAACCACGGTCATAGACACAGAGCTACTATTAAATTAAACTTTTCAAATTCCTAATCAAATCTAAGTACATACAGGATAGGACCCAAATAGGACATATATCTATTTTAGATGGCTTGGGAATAAAGCTTTGTGTTTCCGTTTCATAGAATAACTAAATAAATAATTATCTGTAAATTGGCATCAAACAGAATAGGGTATTCTCATTGTTAATAACAATAAATTATAACGTTATGTTATTTGTATAGTCTAAAAGGTGAGGAATTAAACAAAAAAAAAAATTTCAAAGTTAAAATCAAAGTTTTATTATCTGTATGTCACGTGATTTTCTCGATAGTGACGTCGGAAGCATCAAAATATTTTATAGTAAATAATATATCATTCTTGTCAAGTGAAATTTTTGTGTTTAATAAATAATATTTTAATGTAGAATTCTTGCAATTTAACGCAACACATCAACAATACGGGTGATTGAAACGCATCTTTATATTATAAATACAATAAAATCACAACGCAACCAACTTGTTTCCAAAATGTAAGACTTGGCCATTTGACGTTTCATTCGTGCTATTGATGTCACCAAAATGACGGTCCGTGTTTTGGCGCGTATATTTTACGACAAATTTATGATTTTTTTTTGGGTCATATTTTGCTGAAATAAAAATTATACTTGATAATAAGTATATACGAACATTTAAACAAAAAGTTGGAGCATGGCCTATTGGGTACTTGCCATTTAGTTAAATTCAATACTTTTTCGAACTGTCAAAAACGACAGGTTTCTATGATTTTTTTTTGTTCGAGATTGTGTATTGTGACGTCAGCTTTTTTAGCGTCAAACAGCATACTTATTTCTTCAAAATTGGGGGCAAAATACTAATATTAGGTTGGTTATAAAATCAAGTAATGAAAGTGTGATTATTTTAAATATTTTATTATATTGAACAATCGAAATAATTTATTTTTGGTTAAGGAAAGTACCCAATATTGCGGAAAAAAAACAAACAAAAATGGGATTGATGGGTATACTTTGGTCACTTTAGATGATGCTAGATGAACCATTTATCAGTTTACAACCTTGAACACTTTTTAACAATATTTCACTAAAATCTTAATAAGGCTAATTAAGAGATTACAATATGCATATGTATGTACTATCATTAATTTCATTTTAAAAATGTGTATAATTAAATTAATCCTAAGACTATAATTGCACAGTAGAAGTTTTAAGAAAATACGTTTACCTACGTACCTACATTTACGATTTCTAACATATTAACTATAGAATGTAGTTACATCCACGCATATTACAAAGTGCAAACAATAAAACACAGTAACATTAAAAGTAGCTGCTAACAGAATAAATTTCTAGAAGAAAACATTTCATGAATAAAAACTTAACTAATAAAGTTATTGCTAACAAAGAGTAATGGAAGACTTTCAACTAAAAATGTAATAAAAACCATAAATTCAATAAAAATGTCAATACATAAAAAAAGTACTTATATGTATGAGTAAGTTTATATATAATATCAGAATACCTACCATCTAGTGAGTTTCTGTTAAATATTTAGAATTGATCACAACTTCCTCGTAGATACAATTATATGGGGACTACTTAATGTAACATTCATCTAAGTAACATTAAATTAACGAGTAGGTACCTACATAATGACATGTACGTTATAAATATTTCAGGTTAGTGCGTCATAAGAATATTTGTGAGAGGTTTTTACTTGATGTCGAAATGCATGCATAATTATTATTTCAAATTGATTGTATTCCACCTATTAAAAATATTGCGTTTTTAGTTTCCTACATAGGCAGGTACTTACATTATTCAAATATTATTTTGTGATCAAGTTTTTTATGCCTGTTTCTAATCTGTTTGTGAGATTTTTGTGTATGACCCGTATTATGTGTATATCCTAGTTTGCTAGGTCATGGGTCATGAATCTTGTATTTCAAGCACTGCAACTCCATGCAGTAGGCAAATAGTAGGTAGGCAGGTACATAAACCACAAATATATCGTTACATTGGTCATCCTCGACTTGGTAACGTAATGTGCGTCTTTATGACACTATACTGGGTAACTGGCAGTAAGTCAGACCATTGATTTCACAACACATTTGATGCGATTAGTCTCAATAGCACAAAGTATAGTGTTTAATCAATTTTGCGTTAAATACTTTACGCGTTAAGAGGTCAGGTCAGTAGGTACCTAGACGGCGTTTGTTTTAATGACCTGACATCAACAAGAAAACACAATGGTCATGTCTTCCGAAATGTACGACTTTCATAGTTATTTTGAAGTCAGTTAATAAGATACAGATTGTTCCTGGGTACGTTGACCAAATGTAATGACGTTTTTTTATGTAAGTTTGTTGGTACATAATATTTTGTTACTGGAGTATAATATTTTTGACTTTCCGTCAGGTTATTGTTCAATATTACGCCGCGTTGTCTATCGTTGGGCGGTTGAGGTTTAAAAACGAGCGCGGCGTCTTGCGTGTCACAATCCTGCTCGAGCTTTGTAAATCTCATCGTCGAGTTCGAAGGCAGGATCTGCATACCCTGAGTCATCGTAGCGAAGTGATCTGCAAACATTTTTCGTCATGGTAGTGATCTTATTCAATACAGATGCCTTGCTGACGGCTAGGCCATTTGGTTTAATTTAGTGATACGAAGAAATTCACGTTCAGCGTTAGTTAGCTGGTTGTAAACCGATATATCATGTTTTGCCATCAGAATCAGAATCCTTCGCTCAAACTGTTGTGGTCCTTTCGTCAAAAGACCACTATAAATCCAACTTGAGCGGTACTTTCATATTATTCTTTGTCGGAATGTTAAAGAGACTATGGACATCTGAGTTTGTGTCGACATTTCTTGAGAGAGGTGTCTGATAGGAAATGCCAGCCTCATTTTGTTAGTTTAATTGAATTGTCGTGTAAAAGTGTTACTGTGTAAGACATGTGCAGAAATAAAAGAGTTATTTCAAATAAAAATATTTCACTCAGGCTGTGTCCGATGAGTGTTGGTAAAAACTACTGAGTGCTAACCAGTACGGTCTGTACGCTACAAACTTTAATATATTTATTTACACATTTGGACATACAATCACATTTGTTAAATGGTCTTCTTGGTATTACTTATTTCAATATCTCTATATAATATATAGGGAAAACAAA